GGAATACTTTGGGTATTAATTTTTGATCTTGCCTCGAATGACAGCGAGAAGTTGGATCCATGGTCGTGGACTCTCAAACCCACTCTCTGAACTCGACGTTTACCGAAGCCTTCACTCCGCTCCTCCCGCCCTCCATGGAGCCCTCGTGCGTGAAGTACGTCACCTAATTAAGCACTTGACATGTTCAAGGACTATATCTACGGAAGATGCTGATGAAGATAAATGATTTAGGGTGCGACTACGACGCGTCCCTCCTCGCTGCTGTGTGCCGCTGTCTTCAAACCTCGCCATCAACCCCCATGCTAGCGCCCACGTCAAAAGTCTATGCATTTCCGCCCATGCTTCTCCTTCACACTTTGAATGCCCCTGGCCCAAAAACATCGTCTACCTCCTTGCTACCATCCAGCATCTCTCTGCCAATCTTAGGCCCTGCCGGCTGTCGCTGAAGCCTGCCTCTGATGTGTACTGGTGCTGCGGCCCTGCTGTTAGCATTTTCGGGCCTGCGGCATCGTCTTTGGTTTTGCAGGTGATCCTAAACCTAGCTCTTGCGAACGACGTCCCTGTTTGCGTGTCACGCCTTTTGATCTCATCCAGTTTATAGCTGCGAGGATCGCGACGTCGGTTCAAGAATCCTCAGAAACAGCTGACAACTGCCGGCTTGTATTCGTAACTTTTCTGCCTTTCTTCCCACATGCACAGCCATCCATATATATTGGATGACCTAGCAGCTCATTCGCCTCCGAACAAGTGGTTATTTTTGGTCCACGTTTGTCAATCGCTGTCATTCACTAGCGCCCATCCTGCGGACGAAGTCACCCTTTCGTCTCATTTCTACCCTCCCTTAGCCATACATATATTTATGACTGGAGAGTAAGCTCAGGGAGCCAAAGTCTATCTTCACCGTCCATTCTCAGAAAACGAAGAAGCAAAATCCAGCGCCAGGAACTGAAGGATGCCGTCAATCTCGACACGTTTGTCGTTCCATCTGTCAAGGGGAAATTTCTTCGGCAAAGCTGTCATACAGATATTAATAAGGACAGACGCCTCCTTTTCTCCTCTTTCCTCCCTTTCCTCCCTCCCTTCGTTCCCGTTCCCTACATCTCCGTTCTCGCTCCCCCTCCCATTCCACCCCATCCGCTCGCTCTCCCTCCTTTAATTTATTCGTCTTTTCTTCATCTTATTCACCTTTCTGAAATAATGACACCAACGCTACTCAGCCGCTCGAACTCCAAGGCCAGCAGCAGAGCTGGGAAACTGATCGAGTATGGAACCGAAGGAGGGGCAAGGTTCCTCGAGGTCGTCGTTGCCATCTCAGACCTGACGCCGGTACCGTATTTGAAGGCCGCCGCTGGTACGACGCTCAAAATACTTGACACGGTACAGGTGTGTATAAGTCTATCGTCGTGTCATTGTTCCCTGATGGTTAACGGGATAATTCTGCAGTTGGTCCGGGAGAACAAGTCCGAATTTGAGCGGCTGGCTCGAGATGCCGAAGACTTCATAGCGGTGGTCTACCAGTCGTGGCAAAGATCAGGAGGCACTATCGCTACCTGGTCGGAGGAGAAGGTTAACGTTGTGAAGGATCTGGTATCGTGAGCCTTTTCTCTCTGCGCCGCGCGAAGCTTGCACACAGTGTTCATGTCTGGAATTACAGTACACTGGAAGAGATTTTGACATCCGCCATGGAGCACTCGAAACGGGCCATTTGGAAGCGCACGATCTCCAGCAGAGTCGATTTAGGATCAATTAAACAGTATCGAGAGCGTCTTCTCTTTGCTGTTTCCAAATTTGAGGTGTGTTTGCGAGCTATGCCCAGATTTACCTTTTCCTTGGACTGAATGTGGATGTGCAGGTTGCGTGCCACCTGTCTGTGGAGGAAAAGATCGACCAGCTACAGGTGCTACAAATTCAAATGATGCAAGGGAATGCTCAAGGTCAACGTCTCCTGCGAGAGAATAACGAATTAATGAGGTGCATTGGCTCAAGCGACACTCAGCAGGGTACCTTGATTTCTGTGCTAGCTTCTGCGCCGCCACTTTACTAATTTACGCTTCAGGAAATCAAGTTCACGGTTCAGAACCATACGTTTCAATGGCCTCTTCGGCGATAGGAAATGGGTGGCCTGGAAAAGTTCTCTCGCGCTACATACCAGAGGCTATTCTGTCGCAACCAATGAAGATCCAGAGCCAGAAACTTCGTCCACGCGCTCCTTCTCCATTATATCTAGGTCCGTCGTTGTCAGCTCCTCAATACTCTTTACAATACTCCACGAGCTCAGCAACGTTCGGACCATTATGGACGAAGGAGGTCGAAAATGAAGGTATTCGCAGGAGCTCCAGTTTGCGGTCGAGGAGTCAAGATCAAAGGGCGGCACATAATCAGACGTTAGGCAATCGCGACATGGCAAAATCCGCAGATGCCTTGACATATATTTCGAGATCGGTTGATTCACCTATTCGAAGGGCCGCACCGCCATCATCCCTTCGTGTCAACATTTATTCTGAATCAAGCTATGGGGCGCCTCCTCATGCATCAAATTCGTCGCCGCCACAAGGGCAATTCAGCGAGGATGAAGATTCGGATTCCAGCCTGAGCGACGAAGAACTGGAATATCATATGGAAGTCGAGGACTGGTCTTCGCCTGCAGCAGTTGCACATTATCTTCCTCCCTCGCCGTCTCTTTATCCCTCCCACGACAGCGCCTCGGATGCTGACTCGCTCCAGGTCCCTGGCCTTGGCGTTCATCGAAAGCACTCAAATCATGGCGCAGTCCGTGGCCGTTCTCTTGCAACAGGCTGGGGTTCTCGATTCGAACAGGGCTATGACCGCGGGGTGGTGCAACGACAGAAATCCACACCTTTTCGCCTACCGTCCGAGTCTTCAACTGCGACCGCTCCTTCACCTTCTATGAATCGCCATGGACTATCCGAATCTAGCCCAGGCCCACTCACGCCACCAAGGTTCGATTCGTCATCTGTCTTCGACGATGACTTCGAATACTCCTCCGACCTAGAAGAGAACGATGGCCATTATGACGAAGAGGACGGCCCTCCTACAGAGGGTCCACAACCCCCACGCCAAGCGATGACAACTTCTCTTCATCGCCGGTCATCTTCCTCCTCGTCTGCCCTGTCCTATATGTCATACCATACGTGGCGGGACGAGGTTAAGCAACTCCAGCCCTCTTCCACCCCAAGCCACAGCCATAGCCGGAAGTCTGGATCGCAAACTAACTCCCCCTATCAAATATGGACTCCACCAGATGGGACCCCCAGAACAAGCGCGGAAGACCTTTTGCTCTCCTCGTTGAAGTATCGCCGCCTTCAAGCTTCCCACCCCAACAAGTCTATGCCCAACTTCCAATAGATTGCGCAGTCCTCAATCCTTTCTCGTCTCGATCTCCCAACCTGAACCAGAACGTATCTACGTCCTTTGATGAGCCTTATGACGCATCTGCCTAGGCAGACGCGACGCTTTCCTTTCGATCCTCCCTTCACTCCATGAGTTATGACCCGACAAATACTTATAACTACTGATTAACTCCTCTTACGACTGGCGCGTTTACTCTTTATTTTATTGCATTTTGTCCTGGTCCCCTTCTTTGTGGTCATCTGGAAAGCAACTACATTTCACTGGAGTAGAAAATCCTGATACTTTTGCCGGAAGTGTTAAATGCATTTCTCTTGATTCTGGGTGCGCCGTGCGCTGTCGTACTGCATTGTGGTATTTTTTTATTTATTTTCGTTATCTACTAGACACGCCCAATTTACGATGTATATGACCCCATCGCGTGAATGAAGTATCAACAAGAAGGTAAGGATGGCCAGAATACCGGTGTCCGGAGTAAGATGAAAGTAGTATGTATTTTCGTACTTAGGCGCATTTTTCCTTGCTTACCGGGCCGGCTGTTACCTGAACGGGACCTTGCTGCCGGTATACACTAATACACTATAATACTTCCTATGCATGGCGTGCGCTCGTTGTGAATGTGACATGCCAAGGGGAAGGGGGGAACAAGTAGATACATGGATAGATAGAAATGTGAAATAGCAAGGGTGTGGCGAGAAGTAATATATGGGCGACAGCCCGACGTGCAATGGGCTCTCGTGACCCCAGCCACGGATTCTGACCTATCGAGGTATCCGAAGCGAACTGCAATGGGCGGGTGGGAAAACTCGCAGATTGCAGTTGCTATATTTCTGCCTGTGTTCAATCGGATACACCATCATGGTAATGGAGAGGAACTGCCATGCAATTCCTCAATCCTTTGAGTCAAGTCGACTTGAGTCTTGACTCTCGAACGTCCTAAATAAGTCAGTGAAACCCGGTGGTGATCAAAGGGTCTGTTAATATGCAATCTGAGAAAAGGGAGTGGTGGGTGGGTGAAAAGGAAAGCTCCCGTTGGGAGCGCCCTTCGCCATCGAGAGCTCGCCCGCGAGCTTCGAGGCTGGTGGCTAGGATCAGAGAGGCGACATGTCACATGTCACACACGATGTCGCTACCTGATGCATAGGCCTCACCCTAGCTCTACGCTCCTACGTCACTTCGTTATAGGCCACAACCTTCCTTCCAGACATCCCGGGCCGTGATATGATTACCTCATCGACCATCGGCTCGACTCGCGATCTCACCTAAGTCACCATCCCCAACCTTATCGACTCGAAACACGGACACGCCTACTGGAGCCTGGACGTATCACGACAACATACGTTAGCTCCAGGCACCCAAGCCAAGTAATTTCAGCCTCTAACACGACAGAGATGCAGACCCCGCGTCTGATGTCGCGGGCCACGACGCGCCTTTAATAGCCTCCATGTTTACTCAACTAGAGGACTGAAACCAACTTCAACTCACTGCCAGCTACCAAGAAGCGCAAACTTGGGCCGGGACAATCGTTTGAATCTCAGGGAGTGCCACAACAGGCATCATTCGCTGATATTTGGGAATGGTTGAAGGAGGAAGGCACTAATGGGCCAAATGGTACGTCATACCACGTCAAGTCTATCCGGACACCAGTTGCTCACTTATTTAGCTCTAGGTGCTGAAGGAATCGCCGATTTCTATTTTGATTATGCCAGTTCGAGGTTGCGGCATCCACCCTCACCCTCAGGCTCCTACAATGTCCAGCAGCAGGTTGACCTCGAACCAGATCCCACCGACGTCGTCGCATTTCTAGTGTAGGTTCCACGGAGGTAAATGGTTCACATACAGGCATATGTAGTCGAGGTTAATAAGGAGTTCTGAACTCGCAATTATCAACTCCACATTTCTTGACAGGTTAACACGGCTGGGCTCGTACACTCGACCACGGGCGGAACCTGTCTCATATTTGGCCCTTGTGTTGAATGCAACGAGAAATGCGGACAAAGACGTTCATCGTGTCGCGGGGTAATTCTCTACGTCGGCGTTCGACGTTGAGGCTCGAGTAACACGCCTCACTTATGTCAATTTTGCTATTTGGATCGTTCATTCAACAACGATGGAGCGGTGGACGGCGCAGGCCTCAGGGCTCCTTGGTTCTTTATCGGCCTGTAGCTGATGCCCGACTATGGTCCAAGGGGATCAGCTTCCAGACTCTCATTCATTTGAATTTTCTTCCAAACAACATCTTTGGCTCTGCATTCGCTCGCGTCGCTTTTGGGAATTCTCCTCTTTCCCTGCGTATACTCGCAACCTGACTCTGGTCTGGTGATCGACGCTCAACGACTCTGGCGCGCGCTTGGTCTTGCTATGCAAAATACAATTTCGAACCGTGCAACAGGTGACAGCTACTGGCACCGAGGACATGTTTATTCCTCGTCATTCTATTTGACTTACGGTCCGCTATTGCGTGCGCTCATGCTCACTTCCTGCATCGCTAACCAACTCCGCGGGATTATCATGGGCTTCGAAGACCATCTTGCATCAGGTTTGGAACAACTTCGGCCAATATCCTAAAGTCGACATACATAGCCTCCAGAACACAGCCATCATCTTTCCCCAAGCTCATAAATTCCCTCTGTCGAAACAATCCTCGAACCTTTCTTCGACACTGACCGGGGGGGTCAGTCAGGTATCTTTATCATTCGCGTTCATTTCTTTTGAATTGACACTCAATCATCATATAGCCTGCAGGACTACTGTTAGAATATGGACCTTAGCTCAGGGAGGAGCAATGTCAGTCATCTCCCACTTGAACCAGGCGCATTGGCTTCGACGCCTTCGGATCTCGCCCCACGGACTCAGGAGCCACAGAGCACTACCCTGTGAGTATCTGCTGTTCTCACCCTCGATTTTGCACTGATCTGACCGATAATCGCCATCATCAGATCCGCTTTCTTGACCAACTCCCAGCAGGTCGAAGTCTCTCAAAGCACGTTTCATGCACAGACGCACAACGCCCCTGTCATCCATGTACATAATTATTCCTGTACACGACAAAAGTTGTCAAGTCCCTCTGCCTCTACATCTAATACATAGTTTGTGTTAGCTGGGCGCTTACCTGAAGGGAGGTCGTCCGATGACGAGGCGTCGAGGATCCTAAACGGTTAGTCGCTCCCTCGCATCGCTTGCCAGATAACATGGAAAACGGAAACTGACAAGTTGATAATCAAATAGAAACAGTCTTGAGTAGTGGGGGGACAAGACGAGTGCGCGAGAGGTGGTTCACCGTAAGATCCTTTCGTGACTCCTGACCTCATCCCTACGGCCTAACAGAAATGTGGGATCGTGATGACAGTCCAGAGCGACCTATCGAGGCGAGCAATACTATCTATGAGCGGCATTTTATTCGCAAAGGCCGAGGTTTCCCTCTCTGGACGCCGCGCTTAGATGTGTCATTCCCAATTACTTATCGGACCAAAGGCGTTTCGATAGGAGATGTCGGAATCATAACTGAAGGCTCCTTCCACTTTCTTTTCAATATCCTACTTCCATCGGATGACCCAATCAATGCCGATAGCGTTCCGCACGACTTCCAACCCCTCCAACCCGCAATTCACCCAAGGGGAACACAGAGAATACAAGTCTTTTCTGCGGGGGACTACCTATCGAGTCATGATATTTCGAGGACGACCTACACAGGGGATTCATTATCGTACGCTTCCAAACCTGTAGGTATCAGCTCCCAACTGACAATCGCCTCAATTTTTTGCAAAGCAGTCATACTTTCACATCTTCCGCTTCAGGCTGTCGAGCTTGACAGTCTTCAAAAAGTACATCAACTCCAATGCCGAGAGCTGGTACAAGTACGCAAACGGTGTTGTCAACCTCGGAGTTGGGAATGGTGAGCTGCATCTCGTCTCAGCGGTCGACAAAACAAGCGCCTAGGGCATGGCCACTTTTTCGAGCGCTTCCCATCGCTCGGACGTCACCCTCAATTTCCGAACTGTTCATCAAGAAATCGGGCAGCCCATGTACGTCTGGGAACATTCTGGGTCAGTAGACTCGAAAACTGGTCCGGACACTACTGAGAGAAACGAACTGCAAGTCGCAGAAGGACAGCCTTTGTCTAATCAGTGTTTGTTCGTGCGCATCATCAGCGTGATGGTAGGGTTGAAATCGTGGCGAGATCTTGAGAACAGTAACTTCGGAAGCACTGACATTGCGCCGGATGGGTTTCCGGAGTCGACAGAGTTGGCAGGGGCCAACGCCGCAGGTGGTGCACAATCTGGGTCTGTGTCGTCCGGGCCATCTGGATCTGCACAAGGTTTCGGAGGCAGCGTCAAGTCTCAATCCTCCATATCGCTAACAGAAGACACCATCCTTACACACGAGACCGCAACCGGATTGGTAAGTACTTGTTTGTTGCCGATTGTGTCCACTCTCAACTCTTTAACAACTCAGCGCAACGTTCATCCTTCAAAGCTTATCAACGAATTCTTATTGAAAGAGGTGAGATATCTTGAAGCAGGAAAATAGAACCGTTTGTAATACTCTCTTCCTGACCCAGGTACCAGATGCGAAGATGGCGATATCGAGTGATAGGGACTGGAACTGGATACTTGAATCGGTACGCTCCTTCTTTGTCGTCATGTTTTGGTGATTTGTCGTAGAGGCATGTCCATCTCACTTGACAGTCGCAGACACCCCCTAACGAATATGACACGGCAGAGAAATTTATCGAGAAGATATGCTCCATGCATACTATAGTCGAAGACGATGGTGGGTCCGAGCTTCTCGCGTCGGGATATTTTCAATCTTACTTGCTCCTTGCCGTAGGTGTTGTTTGGTTGGAGCCGGTTGTTCAGTCTGACGAGGTACGACTTTATTTTTCACTCTCTAGCCGCCTACTAAAAGCTGGGTTTCAGGGAGAATCTGACGAGTTTGAGGGCATAAACAACCTGTTGAACGGCTTTGAGGACGGTTCAACCACCATTGAGGCCTATCTTTTTGGCCTTAATCGCACCTCAAATCGGAAGGAGTTCCTTGATGAGTTGATTATGGATCTCTCGTCAGTGTCCCTAAATTCGTGGAATGATCTCTCAGAGCCAGAAACCGGCGGCCTCCAAGGACATCCCGATCGCCCTCTTTCGCTACATGAAATCGCCGAACATAAGCACGGGAATCTCAGCCTGTTACCGACTTTCACCCAGTCCATACGAACCATCCGCACGGCGCTGGAATCGCTCCCCATGGAACACGCACAGAAGCCAGCAGTTATGTGCTTCCTGGCGGACTTGTTCTTTCAGAGATATAGGCGGCTTTCTCTTCGAGATGATTTGGATGAAGCCATTTGCTACTATGAAGAAGCACTCGAGTTGAATCAAATGGAGGAATACACACACCTTGAAATCTTACTCGGTCTTTGCTCCGCTCTCTACCGACGCCTAAGATCCTTCGGGGATCCGCAGGACATTGAAAATCTGCGCCTTCGATTACAGGAACAAGGGAGACTCGACTTCGACAAGATTTTGCCCGCCTCTAATCAGGACTTGCAACGGCGAAGCTCAACTCCCGTTAGTTTAAATCTCCGGACCAGATATAGCTTTTCACCTTTGAATAACGTCCGCTCACCTGGTTCGTGGGCCTCTAGTGCCTCTTGCAATAGTGATTAATAATTTGACTAATATTTTCGCTCTTTCTGACAGACTCCAGGGCCTCTCTTCCTCTCCCATCCCACCAGGATACCGAGAAATACCTTCGCACGACTCTTGAAGTCCCCTTACCCCTTGAACCTCAGCTCCCTCCCAGATGAGCCCTTCGACAAGAATGTGCCTGCTGTCACGACCTTAATCAAACTCGCTATCTTCGGTAGCAAGGACAAACGTCTCACCCTCCGCCAGATATATGACGAGATCGAGAAGCGCTACCCCAGCTGGAAGGATGCCAAAGACAAACCCTGGCAGGTATGGCTTGAATGTTTCCCTCGGGGCTAGTAGCTCATTGCACGTAACAGCGCTCTATCCGCCACAACCTCTCCTTGAAGGCTATCTTCGTGCGCATCGAGAGGCCTGTGAGCCACCCTGGTAAGGGCTTCTACTGGGCCCTTGACGTTCGCCAAGGCGAAGGCAACAAGTCCGACGGCAGGCGTTGTCGAGGCCACGGTGATGGCGAGCTTGACGAGAATGTAGGCTCAATCAAGGAGCACCTGAGTGTAACTCCAACATCGCTTCTCCCGCATCCTGACGCTAAGGTTGAATGTTAAATTTCCAACATAAGTAATGGGAAACCGTGCTCCCTTGTGTCAATATGTCAACATAGTCGGTTTGGGCACGAGCGATCATGGAGAATGTAGTAGAAAAGTTAGGATTGTAACCCTTTCCCCCACTCACAGTTTCTGAGTCTCCTCTACCTTTACATAAATCAAGAACAAAGTCCCATATACATTGATACGCATAATTACAAAACATTTTGCTCAGTGCTGACGTAGACTATACATAGTAAATAAGTACACCCCTATCAGCAGCTACTTCGTTGGTACTACTATATTGTACCTGTCAAGATGAATGACATAGATAATTACTCTAGTAGTCCCGAAGTAAATATTCCTGTGCAGAGGAGAAGAGTTGCGAATGCCTCAAGGGTGTCCAATTCCATTGAAGGATGGATCGGGCCGTCTTCCCGGTAGCTCTTGGTCTTGGGTCTGGTCTTCGTGCATGACAAATTCGAGCGGCATATCTTGTCGTGAATTGGCCATCTTGAAAAAGGCGAGTATTGAATACTGAATATTTTATAGCGGTGATCTTGAATGACTACTTTCAGGTGCCTTCGACGCGACATTCCTCAAATAAATCAGGCGCGGGCTGTGCCTCAGGGTCAGGCTGTACAGACTTTCCCCTGGACGCGATGCAGTTCCATCGTTCAACTTCACCCCATCCACCTTCCCTCTACTCCTGCCCCCGCTGCTCAACTGATTGTCCCTCTCTGTACTCAGCGACGACGAGCAGGCTGAGACATGTTTTCAAGTAGCAAGAACATTGTCATTACGGCTGGCACGTTCAGCCACGTTGAGCATAATTCACAGTCAGGTGCGTCCTATGATTAGTCCGATCTTTCTCTATCGCGTCTAATAGATTTTGGCCCAGCCTTGGAGAAACTGCACGGAATGATTGCCAGCGGAGCCATGCACAACTCAGGCGAACGATTCGATCCTCCCAAATGTTATCCGGGCACCCGCGTCGCAGTGATCAACGAGCTTCTAGGGTGGATTACGGACAATCGGGATACGTTCATTCACTGGCTCTACGGGCCTGCTGGAGCAGGGAAATCAGCCATCATGCAAGAAATCGCAGAGCTCTGCTTCGGAAGGCGTACCCTCCTCGCGAGCTTTTTCTTCTCTCGAACGGCCCTCTTGCGCAACGATGAGAAGCGATTGGTGTCAACCATCGCGTATCAGCTCGTGCAAGCGCTCCCTCAAACCCGGCCCTACATCGAGGAGGTGGTTGAGAACGATCCAGCACTGTTCTCCAAGGACATCCAAACGCAGCTTCAACTAATCGTTCTTGAACCCCTCAACCGAGTCCTTCCATCCCTACCAGCCCCTGGAAAAGGCATTCCCCACCTCGTCCTCGTTGACGGTCTTGACGAGTGCAAGAACCCTGCCGCCCAACAACGCATCTTAAACGCCCTCCTTACCATCCCTGCCTCCTGCAAGTTCCGGGTCGTATTCCTCATTGCCAGCCGCCCAGAGACGCACCTAAAGATGACCTTCAATTCGGAGCCTTTCAAGCACGCTCTAGCTCGAACAGCACTCGACGATCAGTATCAACCTGCTGACGACATCCGCTTGTTCCTGGAAGGAACATTTACCCAGCTGAAACAGACCCACCCCCTCCGAGAGTACTTACCCGTCGACTGGCCGGGGCAGAGCAAGCTCGACACTCTCGTTCGGAAATCATCAGGGCAGTTCATCTACGCAGCCACTGTTGCGAGATATGTGTCTCCGCCCGATACCCGCCCTGACGACCGACTCGACGTCGTTCTGGGGCTGTCTCCGCGAGAAAACGTCCACGAGTTCCCCTTCGCTGAACTGGATGCGCTTTACCTTCACATTCTCTCTTCACTGAGGACCAAGATGCCTGCCCTCCGAATTTTTGCCCTCGTCGCATTTCCTATCGGATCGCAGGTGTATCAGTGGACTTGCAGAATGGTTGACGACTTCCTGAAACTGAGAGACGGCTCGACTAAGGAAGTTCTGAATAGATTGGCTTCCGTTATTGGGTACAGTGAGGACCAGTACATCCATGTCTTCCATGCCTCGTTGATCGATTTCTTGTTGGACGAAGAACGGTCAAGAGAGTTCTATATTTATTTGCAGGGAGAAGGGACCTATTTCGTGAGGATGTGCTTACGACAATTTACCTCCGGGACTGGTGTGTACTTCTTTCTCATCACATGGACGCAATGCTGATATTCTGATGCAGATAAGGATGTCTTTCACAATGCCGTCAATTGCTTCGACGTTTACGGCCAGTATGCCATTCCCGACGAAACCCTCTGGCAGGATATTGCTGCCTTGAATGTCTCAGCGATAGCACAAAATAAAGCCCGGGAAGGGACTTCAATCGCCCTCATTGTCTACAAGTATCTACAGTGTCCCAGAAAACTTAATGTAAGTCGTTGCCTCATTCCTTTGTATGATCTTCCGTACTTATCCTTCTTCTTTCACGCCAACCCTCAAGTTCCCGAAGCAAAGCCACGATACACTAGCGGCCAGATGTCACGAAATCGTCGAGAAGTTTGTAGGACTTCAAGTTAGCCTCTATCGATCTACGGGCCCTCTTCTCCGTATCCTCTTAGTGCTATATGCAACGAATCCAGGATTGATGCTCCATTCTACCCGGTACAAGTGTGGTGATCGCAGTCGTCCATGCACTTGGGCCTATATTGTCATGGGGCCTCTGGATGAGGAGTTCATTTCGGCCGCCTCTGTGGATGATTCATCGATGTCCCTTCTAGACGTGCCATTGCCTGCTAACTACTCCTCATCACGAGACTCCGAGCACCGAACGGTGTTTCTTCCTTTCATCGAGAAATTTCTGAGCCGGGAGGACTTCGTGATTGCAGCCAGCCATATTGCTCTGTACATCAACCATTGCGAGTGCGTTGAACCCTCATTCTTTCGTCATGCCTATGAATGACTTATCCTTTCATTCACCCCAGGCTCACGTGGATCTTTATCACAGCCGAAGACCGCCATCGAGTGTCCCAAGCAGGTTGGAACGTTGACCCAAAGGATGACAGAAATATCATCAAAGGAGAGAGCTTGGACAACACCCTGCTAAGCATGAAACACGAGGCTTATGAACGCGCTGTCAGATACTTGCCGCTCTTGTTGCTCAATGCCGGGATAGACGCCAAACTTGGCGAAATCCTCTCGCAGAGCGTCATCGTCACTTCTGATGTCGGAGCCCACAACTGGGATACTCAGCAGCCGGCGACGGCAACATGGTAAGTATTTTTCATCCAAATGAAATTTCGCAACCTGAACACCGCTTTCTGATGCAGGGAATACGGGTACTCGGGGATCGCGTCGGGCCAAGGACCTTTGGATGAGGTATTAGAGTTCAGAAACGCGGCAGCAGAAGCGATTAATGAGTATCTCAAGGTAAAGCTTGAAATTATTTCTATCTTCAATTGTCACTCCGTTCAATAACGTGCGCCTCCCCTCAGAGAAGCCACAAAGCGAAAGGGCGGAGTTTTGTCTTTCGGTGAACGATCCCGTCATGTCCAACATTCTCTTAAGCTCGAGGGCTACCTGTATGTCGGGCTGCATCTCGAATGTGCTGAAGGTGAACCACACGCATTTCGTATAATGGCCGACTCCCCGACAAAAACTCGACACAACCCGGTAATGTCAACTCTTCGACCTTTGTCCGCAGATCTGGGGCACAGAAGCCAACATCGAAACTGTTGGGCGACAGTAGGGCTGGGGCGAACCCGAACATGATATGGTCCTAATTTTGGTTCCAGAACGCCGCTAGCACCACACTTCTAACTTTGCTCGATAATGGGTTTCGAACATCTTTCGCCAAGAAGAAATTTGAAAGTCAAGTAGAAAAAATGGGGCGCGAGCTCTGAATAGAGCTATTCTTACCCTTTCAAAAAGCAAGCAAGGAAGGCCAGTTTCCAACTCCTTCGGCATGAGAAATGAACACTGAAACGGACGCATACTAAGTAGTGAAAAGTTCGGCAAGCTTTTCCGGAGACAATTCGTGTATATAAGTCTATCCCGAGCCCGTATTTCAGAAATTTTTTGCTGAAGTTCTCTAGACGGAAGAATGAAACCCGCAGCGTAGAGTTTCTTTGGTTAAAGATGACAAGAGGTTTCGGGCATGGCAGGGTTGGCCGAGGTCTCCCATTGGTCACAGTAATTCCCACGGCTCGGATCCAAGTTGAGGAGACCTAACGCGGGTCACCTACCTTGCTATATAACATATCCTTCCCTCCTCCCCTCCCTCCATCTATTCAATTAGTTGAAGGCAAAATGATGCACCTTAGACGCGTTGCTCAGCGGGTTTGTGGTGTCGTTCAGCGGTGGAAGCCTGTCGGACTGACCTTTTTTGGTGCCAGAACATCACCCGTGTGGGTAAGAGCAGAAGTACGGGTCTACGCGGTCTCGCCACTGCCGCAGAGCCATACGACGTCGTCGTTGTTGGAGGAGGTCAGTACGGTCCGCTATTTGTTGCCAAACGCGCTGACAATGGGCAGGACCGGGAGGATACGTGGCTGCTATCAAGGCCGCCCAGCTCGGGTTACGGGTACGTCATTGCGAATTTTTGGGAAGTGACTTTTCGTTGACCCTCCGCTTTACAGACTGCTTGTGTCGAGAAGCGTGGCTCACTCGGTGGAACATGTCTAAACGTCGGGTGCATACCGTCAAAAGCCATGCTGAATAACTCGCACCTCTATCACCAAGCAAAGCACGACTTTGAACGACGGGGTATTGAAGGTTAGTCGAGGCTCTCCGATTCCTTCCTTTATCCTCACACTCGTCTCGCAAAGTGCCAACCGTCAACCTCAACCTCGCCAAAATGCTCGAAGCCAAGACAAACGCCGTGACTGGCTTGACAAAAGGCATCGAGCTTCTGTTCCGACAGAACAAGGTCGACTACATTAAGGGCACTGCGTCCTTCCTCTCCAACACCCGCCTTTCCATCCAGCCTATATCTGAGTCCGATTCAACCAGCGAAATTGAGGCAAAGAACATCGTTATTGCCACCGGGTCCGAGGTAGCGCCTTTCCCAGGTGGCTCCATTCAGATCGACGAGGAGCAAATCGTCAGCTCGACGGGTGCGCTCGAGCTCCAGAAGGTGCCCGAGAAGATGGTCGTCATTGGTGGTGGAATTATCGGCCTCGAGATGGGCAGCGTATGGAGTCGTCTCGGCGCTGAGGTCACTGTGGTGGAATTCTTGGGAGCCATCGGAGGTGCTGGCATCGACGAGGAGGTTGCGTGAGTATCTTATCAGCTTGAGAATCCTTTTGCCGCTCGCTAACCATCGCGCAGGAAGCAGTTTCAACGGACGCTCACCAAGCAAGGCCTGAAGTTCAAGCTTAACACCAAGGTGCTATCAGCAGAGAAGAAGGATGGTAAAGTCTATCTGGAGGCTGAGCCCGCCAAGGGTGGCAAATCGGAGACGCTGGAAGCCGATGTCGTCCTTGTTGCTGTCGGCAGACGGCCATACACGGACGGGTTGAATATCGAGGCTGCTGGTGTTGAGCTGGACAACAAGGGCCGTGTCGTCATCGACGACCAGTTCACGACATCGCAGAAGAACATCAAGTGCATCGGTGACGTGACGTTCGGACCAATGTTGGCGCACAAGGCTGAGGAAGAAGGTTCATCTATATCTTGAACTTTCGCATTCTTCCGTTATAATGAACCGCTTTTTCTTTTCTTAGGTATCGCTGCCGTCGAGTTCCTGAAGACTGGCCACGGGCACGTCAATTACGCTGCCATCCCCTCCGTCGTCTACACGCACCCTGAGGTCGCCTGGGTTGGCAAGACCGAGCAGGACCTCAAGGCGGAGGGCGTAAAGTACAAGATCGGCAAGTTCAGCTTCGCAGCTAACTCGCGTGCTAAGACCAACCTCGACACGGAAGGCTTCGTCAAGTTCCTGACGGAGGCGGAGACGGATCGGATTCTCGGCGTGCACATCATCGGCCCTAATGCTGGCGAGATGATTGCTGAGGGTGTCCTTGCGCTGGAGTACGGTGCAAGTTCGGAGGATGTGGCGAGGACAACACATGCCCATGTGCGTTCTTTTCTTTTCCAATGGCTATGTGACGGGTCCATTAATGATCTTGTTATAGCCCACGCTGAGCGAGGCATTCAAGGAGGCCGCCATGGCCGCCAACGGCAAGCCCATCCACATGTAAACCCGTCGAATGCTTTTCGCGTTAGTGGCCATAACCCATACTTTATTCTCTTGCATATACTCTCTGTATTCACGCTCCCTCGCACGCGTGTATGCTTGGTTGAACTTATAGATTTCCCTGGCTCTCTCACTTTCACAAACAACGCCGCCATCGACATCCAAGCCAGTCATCACCAAGTGGCCTTAGGGAAGGAGGCTTAGTCATAAAATCTATTTTTAGACTTATCTGCAGCCACTCGTCAACGCAACCCACAGGCTGAAGGACCTGGTATCGATTGCTATACAACATACTTACGTACTACCACCAGATTGTCAGATATGTAGTGTGACTCCGGACTTCGAGGTGGCCCTGCATCTTGGAAGTTGGAAGCTCGTGTACATGTGAATCGTGGGCGACGGTGCGGTGTGCTGCTGACCATCGACGGCCTTCGAGTACCGAGGTTGCTGACAATTCGAACTTGGCTCCCACACGCTGTGTAGAAGACCTGACGTGCGCGCATCCTATTTATTTCGGATGACGTGCTTATGGACGGCTGCTAACGTCTACTAATTATAGCAGAAATCCTGTCTCTTCGTCTCCTCCCGGTTCTTGCGTTCGGGATGTTTAAAATGCCTGAGGGGAAGATACTTTTGGGCAAGAACTCTGCCCGAATCTGTCGTGGGATCCTTCTCATGCCCCTTCTGCGTCGGTCGGAAGGTGGATCGCAGAAGCGCAGACACTATGAATTCTCTTCGCAAATTGAAAATTTGCAACAAGCTATAGCCTTTTCGTCCAAGTCAGACCCAGTGCTATCTTTCGAAAGAGATAGCGAACTGCTTGTGATTCTTCTCGACTCTCACACGAGGTTTGGTAGAGATCAAGACCCTTATTTTGAGCGACATAATCATGTTCACGTTTGTAGCCTTGTACGGGCCTCTCAGCGGCCTCCTGGTGGGGTCCGTTCAGTACCAAGTCCTACAAGTATCATGAATCCGGCTGCCTCAGCCTGCCTGTATAGTATTGGCTGATGCGGCACAGAACGGAGCAGAAACCAAAGCGGTATGCCTTCTGGAGAAATGGCCCAAGTGGAACGTCCAGCCCTCTGCGGTTGTCCCCTCCATGATGCGTTCGATGCAGAAGTGGTGATATCACTTGTCAGGGCAAGAATCGTCGAGGACGCCACAACCGCCGAAAGCAGACGATCACGAGGACCTTTCTGGCTTCCAGCCAAAATGAAGAGAAAAGGGGAACCACCCATGACATCGCTAAGGCGTAATTAACACTCCAGTAATACACGCCGGAAGTTGGAGTCCGATCGCGAACCCATAAAGAATCGATAAAAGGGAACGTCCAGCGCCAAATCCTGCTTCAGAATCAAAATCAGACATCCGGCAACTCGCAAGACCCCGTCAGAGCGTCCGTAAGCTATGGCACATCATCAAAGATGTGATGAATCCCCGATAAGTAGGAAATTTTGACAGAGGACTGAGGTAGGGGAAGATTGCCCACCCGACTAGCGAAGAAAGGGACGGAAAGATTAGGCCCTCCATCGAGGCCCAAAAGCCTCACGTCTACACCCGCAGGATTACTGGCGCCCGGCATTCCATATATAACGGGGACTCGGACACGAGCAGAAGACAAAAGACGACCTTTGCCCATCAGGAGGATTGCTCATTGGAAATTGGAATGGCCCTACGTGCATACACGAGCAATGTCATGAGACATCCCAGAAAGAACTGCCAGTGGAGACTTGGAATGCCCGTAGGAGTATGGCGGAAAAGATCCGAAGAATGGCGGGATTGTGCGTAGAACTGCGGAAGCGCCAGCGCTCGGGATTCCGCTGTCACTGAATCCTTAGCAATGGGCGAGAACAGCATCAATGGGGAATGCGCAAGATGGGTGCGACGAGGGCTGAGCGCTGAACGTTGTATGTTGAACACCCGCCCTCCTAGGAGTTGGCCAGAGACTGACAAACCTCGACAAGAAGAAATACTGGAGCAATATAAGCTTAAGAAACGGTAGGCTGTACTTAACTCGCCGAATCAAGATGGATGAGAATCAAACGGAGAACCGTACCATTTTGCGTTGCCGGCACGATAAGGTGTCGATGGGGATGAGGGCGTCGGTGCAGAACAGAACAGAAAAGATCAAGAAAACATTTGACCAATCAAGAGCCGGAGGCGATGAAAGATCTTGAAAGATGGAATCCGGAGTGGCCATCTAGTGATATTCAGGTAAAAGTGGTGAGGTAGAACGACCCGAGGGCGCTTGAACAACCTTTTGGACGTGTGTAGACAGTGGGAGTCGGTCCCCAATCGCTGGAGGAGCGATTCAAGGAAAAAGATCGTCAGGATGTGGTTGTAGCACATAGAGTAGACCTGAAAACAACCCGGATCTTGACCGACAACTCTTTGATGCTACATCCGTCCAAATATGGAATGTTATACCATATGTGGATGTGCAGGGTCCTTCGAATCGCTCCTCAGACAAAATCCACGGTTCAGAAGCACACTCGCGATTTTCATGCTTTCCCGCGGTCCCGCGTACTTTACCCCTTAGATTTTGCTAGAGAAAAGCGCTGTAGTTACCATAGGAATGTTCGGATGCATACAGCAAATCGTCAACGACGCACCATTCAGATCAACGTTATTTTGTCGTCAAGAACGCCGAGCTGTGCATACTGCACCGGTCAGCAAGTTTATTTTATTTTAATTTCTCGGCTGACGGTCGTGTAGAAGGAATTTCAACAGTCAGCGGGCAAATTTCAGTGTTGGTGGGAAACCGTTTAGCATGCGGTTTAGGGGAACGCCAAGGCCTCCCTTTCCCTCCAAAAAAAACCTCTACCCCCCGGCCCCCCACACCTCCACGAGGAAAGGCCCCAGAAGGACAAATGCATGGAGCACGACGCGGAGGTGGGGTAACCGTTCCCTTTGGGGTTTTAAACCAATTCCCTCTCGAAAGGCGAACATCTTTCGTTGGTCTGCGAAGAATGCATTAGGATTTCAGCTCTCTTCCATCAACAGGCGGTCAGACGTTGTTTCTGTATAGTCTGCAGAACTCTGCATTACCTGCAACTAAGACCTTCCCTAAGGCCAAAGGACTTTCCGATTAATGAGTGGATGCAAAATCTCAGCCTCTTGTCAACGTCTGCCACGACTTGGAGAGGCGAATGTACCTGTGCATGTGGGTACACTGCTGTGACTCCGAAGAGTTTGGTCGACGCCTCCCTGGGCGTGAAGATCTCTGTTGAGATATCACAGGCAAGGGATTTCGATTACAGGGGCACTTCTTGTTTTGCACATTCTGTTAGGCGCGTGATGGTGTACCACATGCTACCACATGGAGACTTTCTTCATCAAGCTTCATCCACGCAGAAGATCGGAAGATCTCCTAGTCCCGATTATCTGGGACTTCCGGTCGTGTGTGCGTAAGGAGATTTGCTGCGAAATGCTGATTCAAGAATGCGGTACGTATTTAAGATGACTCCACTTCTCGTTCCTCGACCCCGTTCCCCGTCTTCATTTCCCCCAGACCGACGTTCGCCACGATGTCCAACGCACCTCTGCACAAGACCCGCGCAGTCGCGCTAATCGTTTCATGGTGCTTTGCCGTCATCGCGTCGTCTGTCGGTGAGTAGTCGCACAGATTGTTTTCGAAACCCCGCCTGACCTCCTCCCAGGTCTCAATGCTTTGATCAAGTCGAATCAGGAAAAGTCGAAGCTTAAGAGGCTCGCACCGTCGCCTACGCGTGTGGAGATTGACACCGACGGTGAGTAACTTGTGGAGTTGCGGAAAGTACCATCAATCTCATTTCTACGCCCTACTAGACATCTCCGTCGCTGGAATTGTCGCTACAACGGCTTCGCTCCTTATCGCGGTACTCGCCTCGAATTTCTTCTTCGCCATGTACCTCTCCTTCACGAAGGCTTTCTCTGCCCGTACGCTGCGTCTGCAAGGTGCCATCCTCTTCGTCGCCTCCTTCTTCCTCTTCGGCGCCCTCGTACCGTACCTGGTGTACTTCGTGAATCGCCACGCCGAAGTGACCGCGTTCGTGGGCGATACTCAGCTCCCCGACTCCGTTGTCAAGGCTGTGGAATCGGCTTCGGGGTCTACTAGCATATACAAGGATATCTACTACCGTGAGTGGCTATTTCTTACCTCGCTGTCCTTGACGTGACGATTTTCGTTAGTCAAACTCGTCGCCATTCTTCCGTGGTTCTCGTTGCTGTTCGCACTTATCGCTGCCGGAATTCTGTTCAAGGCGGGTTCATCGACGCCGAAGGCGGAGGTTACGCCTGCCGCCGACAGCTCCTCAGCATCAGAGAAGGAGGACGCCTCGCATCACGAAAAAGTCAGCGTCTAACCTCCGTTCTCTCATTCTTGGGCATTTTTATCTCTTCGTGGTTGTTTATGCACATTCATGACGACTGACACCGCTGCACTAATTTTTCGTTGATTATATACCTACACACACATACGTCCATACCGTGATACCATTGAAGAATGTATACACGATGACATTGTTGACACCTTACGATAGCTTTCTTGAGACAATAAATGCATAATTCTTTCTTCCTTAATTCCTCTACTGTACTAGCCGCGGCGTCAGGCTATGAGAGGCCGTACGATGTGCTCGCCATAGAGAGCACCTGGCAGCAGTTTGTCCGAATGAGTCGAATGACGGACACTAAGGTTCAAATGGCGACGGTGAGAACGCGCGATATCGGGACGACATATCTGCCGCTGCTCCATGCAGTACAGAAGATTTTCAGTTATTAGCGAAGCATCCTGAAGTGCCAGACCCACCGTTTGCTCGCGCCGCATGGCGGAGTCAACGATCGAGAATTGACGCGCGTCCATCGCTGTCAATCAGACGATCCGCCAGAAAAGACCGGCTTCTTCGTGAGCTTCTTCGATTCCGTAGGCACGCTTACACAGGTGACGGATTTACGCCAAACGAGCATCTTTTTTCGGCTCCAAAATCTAACAGACTCAATTTTGTGATAGCGCATTTTTGTCGGAATTATCGTATACCCCGTCGGCACCGAAAGGCAGACAAAATCCATAGAAATGTGTGTCAGGAGAGGTTTGTATATCCCAATCTATAACGGAGTTCGCTGGGTGAACGAGAATCGAGCGAGAGCTTAGAAACCTGCAAGGCCCGCCTTTTCCTCGCCATGTGCGCCACACTATTCCGATCCGGCAACCATTGCGACCCTCTCCATCTTCTCCAGGGCCAAGACAACCTAAATAGACCGAGACTCGGAGGTCCAGCCCACCGACCCCTACCAACTTCGCACCCCGATATTCAGAGAAGCGAGCTCCCAATTAGCTTGTTTTAGTGATAAGTGTAAGGTCGTTTTGGTGACGATGAAAAGTGCAGAACCAATAATATGTGGTGCATCTACGCTACATATCAAGTAACTCAGGCCACTTACTACTATACTCTGCATACATTAATGTTGGCGGCGAACCGCATTTAATTTACGACAACGTCATGGGACTGTAGATCCCCCAGAAGAACCGAATTGTTGTACCCACTGCAACGACCACGAGTAATAAAATGCCTCCTGCAACCCCATGTGTTGACATAGGGCGAGGACTCTCAAAGGCATAGGTTGCAATAGAACAGGTAAAAACGAGTAGGGACCACAAGAGAAGGATAAGGGGAAGGCAGAGATAGAAAGCCAGCAGTTTGAGATTGCCAGTTCTCCGCGATGCGTTTCTGAAGTAGACACCCTATCGCAATTGATCAACGTTTCAGCTGCGAAAGGACTATTAACGGTAGAAAAAGGGCCTACAGCTTGTTCTGCAGTTGATTCGCGTTTGTCCCTGTGTCTCCAAATGTGATGCAGACCGACGACGATAGAGCCAACGGCGAATAGTGTTGACAGGATACTGCCCGTTCGAGCTTTATCGCTCAGATCATTAAGGGCTAAGAAAGCCATGTTCGCCCTACACAATTCCCTTCAGCAACGTGGATTGATCATTGCAGGTTTTAGCACACTCACGAAAGGGTGACGGTGGCGAGCAGGTTAGTGTCTGACCACTCAATAAGCAAGGCTGATACAAGTGAACGCCAGCCCGAACATGACACAATCCCCGCAGCCCAGACGTTCTCCAGCCGTTGCACGTATGCAAGATGTGTGAAGAGCGACAGGCATCCAACCATGTAATCGATCAGGGTTCGACTCGTATAGTGCACGTTCATGAGCCTGTCCGTGAGGGCATCGATCATGCCGTGACGATGGACAGAACGACTGTGCACTGCAATTATTGTGAGAAGTGTCCTCAAGTGAACGTATGCGACCTGACTCACAGATGAGGGAGAGGAGCCGCGCGATAAACCACGTTCGGTAACTCTTGTCGTAGCCGGGCAAATTCTCCTCGTGTTTCTCTGTCAAGTCAATGGGACAACGCTGAACGCGAGCAACGCCGTATCCTTACCATCGAGGCTCTCAAGGAGTTCGAGGAACAGCTTCGCATCTGCAGCATTCCACGGCGTCGTGGCCGATTCTCGCGATGTCTTGTGGTCTACAATGTATAGACAATAAGCGCTCGTTTTCACAAGATCCTAGGGACATACCAGTGCAAGTGTAGGTCAGTGTCCCGTGCAAGAAGCTTGACGCTTCGGGAGGCAGTTCCGTATGGCAAGGGAAGTTCTCCAAGTGGGCATAGAAATTCCGCGACACGAAGATATCTGAACGATATCGTAAGGACATAAGCGCTCAGTAAAGTGTGTGTTCCTTGCCGTAATTCGACACGCTGGGATCGCTCTCGTCCAGAATTCGGTATGTCCGTAGCTCCTCTTCTTCATAGTCTTCCAACCAGAAGATGTCTTGAGTCATATGATCCACAATGTAGTAGCTGCCTGTACGTGTGTCGTGCGACGGAAGACCCAGGTACCATTCATAGTGCCCGTCCTCTTTCGAGATGGGATTTTGAGTCCATTTCACGTTTATCTGAGCGAAGAGCTGCTCAAGCTCCTCTCTACGACCCTCCTCTCGCACGTCGACCTCTGTTACCAGTCCACGCTCTTTGTCGCGAAAATACGGCTTTCCGTCGGGGTGAATGTATTTCTCCCAGCTCGTGAGTCGCTTTTTCGAGTCGTATACACATCTGGATCGTCATGAGTTGAGTTCTTTTCACTCAAGGAGAACATACGAATTAGAAAGGTTGGGTCCTTTCCCTTCATGCCTACCACCGGGGAATATTCTTAGCTTGTTAGTAGGAATGTCGACTCTAAAGCAAACGAGGGCCTCATAAGCCTATGCAATTCTGCGATAGTCTGACTTGCCTCTCTACTAGATCGTATCGAGTGGATACAACCGGAGTCACAGGGATAACTTTCAGTGGTTCGTGTACAGATTTCGACGAAGGCGTTTTCGCCAGCGTTTTTGTTGACGAGACACCAGATGGGACTTCCTGCCGGGCTACTTCAAGTCCTGGATGGGGTGATATTATTTCTTCGGACGAGCTTGCTGAAGACATTGCGCGGAAAGTTCGAGATGGTGGCCGTTTGGGTCAGGAAGCATGCATTTGAGTAAACGAGTGACCGTGCGAGTCAGGGCTTGTATTCTGATTAGATTAAGATTTCGCCCACAAATGTCGAATAAAAGTAGATAAGATATATGATAATCTTCTTTTCGCCAACGAGATCCAGCCGCTGGTCGATTTGTAGTAAGGAACGTTTTGTTATATGGGTTAATTACTCTTGAGCTTGAGGACTTCGTAATAGATGGCCGTCTTGCTATCTTCTTCGTGTTGGATACAAGTGGGACAATTGTTCTCAGAAGATGAAAAAGAAGATATTGTAAATGTAGACGTAAGTAGTTACTTCTTCAGCGTTGACGAATTTTTGAAAAAGGAAATAAATAAGGCCCAGCATATAATTCCCGGAAATGATTTTTCTCATGAAGAGAAGTACGAATCCGAGAGTAAATGGCGTAGAATTGTGATAGGATACTCTCTTACTAAAGCTATGGTAAGCGTGGATCTCTCAGCTCAACTGGATAGCGCTTGTCAATATGTAAGGATCACAGGCAGTAGTGGGATGTTGGATGACTAATCCTGCTGTGTGCCACACAATTTCGGAAGATCTCCACGTGATCTTTGACAATAGACGCGACGAGATTGGTCGCGTCTTGGTCGCGTCGTCCTATCCTCCTAGGGTCGAAGGAAATACATCCAACCCACTTCCATTTCTACGCAGCACGCGTGCGAACGACACAGAAAAGGAGCTTCGGCATTACGAGAGGTGCTTTCGCCGCCCAAATTATGATGCAGGGATGTCGCATAAATGATCCTTAGATTTGTCCCGTACGTCCCTAACTCCACGCCAATACATAACAGAAAATTCGAGAAATCATTCCCACATGGTGCTAATCTGCCAGATGAGGCCGATCAAGCGACAGTGCATCCCTCTTCGCTGCTCATCGCGTCGAAACCAGGTGGGAGTGGACCCATGATCTCACTTGGAGGAGACCCATATGTTTGCATCTTGTTCAATGGATTCGGTAGATTCGATGAGAATAAAGCGCTTTAGGGGGCAATTATAGGCTTACCTCGCTCATCAGTTCCACGATCTGTTTGCTGTACTCCTCGTGGCCGTCGCTATAATCCTGCTTTTCGAAGACGACCAATATTTTCTTGACGCAGACTAGTTGGTTATCGTATCGCTTCTTGTCTTCCTCTGGCAGTGGTTTGGGTGGGTTTGCGAGATAAGGGGGGAACTAATCCAGAGGTTTCAGTGAGTTTCAACGACGACGAGGGTATACACCTACACCCTCGGCGAGCTCCTTCAGTGGATCGTACAGGACGTCCTTGCTCATCAGCTGCGACATCATGGTCTCGAGGAACCCAGCAAGCTCCTTCTCGTCGCCACCCTCGCCACCCAAACCAAGATCGCCTAGCGACTGCAGCAGTGCCTCCAACGATTCCGGTGTCGGTGCCGCCCCTGATGAAGCACCACCCTGAAATTCAATCAGCAGGCTGTCATGAATCAAATGGAACACGTACCATCTTCGACTCGCTGTCCTTCAGCTTATCCATTGCTTGCTTAATCTTATCCTGGAACGCGCCACCAGCGGCCTTCTCCTTGCTTGGCCCTATCTCTTCACCTAGGTTCGCGAGATCGCCTGCATTAGCGTTCATACCCTCGACCAGCATCGCCTCCCAGGCTGCCTTGAGTGCCTTCCCGCGCTCTTCATCTGTCATCGTCTCCGACGCCGCGTCGTCCTTGTCCTTCCCCCCTTCGCTCGTGATCTCACGCATGAGGTTCTCCATCTCCCGTGCTAGCTCCTGCGCGAACTCGTTGTTAAGGGCTTCTTCATCGTCGTTTTCTTCTGCAGTAACCGCTAGCTTGCCCGTGCCCGGGACTGACTTGGGTGGCGCATCGACGCGGGTGTTCGTCCGTGGTCGGCCGAAAGTGGTTGTCGTGGCTGCCGTTGGTGGAGGCGGGCCAGGAGAGGGTTTGGGTGAGGTAGGGAAAGCACCGGGGTTGAACTCATCGAGAAGATCTGAAGGAAAGAGGGGTCAGAGTGGAACGGAGGTCTCGTAATGCCCTACCATCGAGATCGTCAAGGTCATCCTCCGCATCAACTGCAAGCTTCTCTACTGTCGGTTTCGTGGGCTGTGAAGACATTTGTGGCGCGCTTCCGACGTTCGTATTGGTTGGCTAAGTTCCGGAGTGCCACCTACGAAGCAGTAAGTCTTCGGGGAGAATGGGATGTTGGAATCACCGACCTGAAGAAGTGAGACTTGTGACCCCTAAATGAGCAACCACTCCTGGCCAGCACCTTGGAGGATGCGTAAATCGTGAACACGATGGTATCGGGACTTGGTAGCTCACCTATATCTTTAATTGTGGTCTTCAGAACAAAGTTCAACAAAATCTGAAAGACGTCGAGTGGAGACGGGGACTTCAGAGCCGGTGGTCAGATTTACTTACATAATTATGAATCAATATTAATTCGGAGTCAATACTCGAAAATTAAATAAATGAATCTCGGCTTCTTCCTGTGTTCCAGTTTGTCAACAAGGCTCTTTTTCATATGCGTGAAGAACCGTTTATTTTATATGGCACGTCGCTAAACAGTACCAACATCCTCGTGTTGTCCTCGTGATTCAAACTAAGGTGGCTCCAAACTTCAAAAAAGACGCAGAGAGTCAGTCGAATTCCGATATTTCAACATTATGGGGCAGACAGAATTTCTTATACTTATCCGTAGGCCTCGTTTGGGCCTCATGAGTCTTGATTCGAATTTACTTACAATCGTTTTTCATCTCATAGTACTCTACTATGTTCAGTATAAGCAAAGGCCAAGTAGGGTTTATTCATTCCCAGTAACGTCCTGTATTTATTTCTGTGGCCTATTAATCTCGACGAAGGAACGGTTCCGGCTGGAGATCCTAGAGCTACTTGTCGAGAATTAATCTAGAATCGGAACGATTTGGGTTTTCAACAGGTTTTTAATTGAGGTAATCATAGATTTGGAAATGCCAAATAATCCTATGCTCACGAACTATTCTGTGGATACGCTAATCGCTCGCGTATGCAGTTAAACGTCCACTGGAAAAATTAGCGCCCGTTGCCAAGCCAGGATTAGGCAATTGGCTGATTTGTTTATTTGCCCCGCGGTCAAATCAAGAACTGCCAATGATGTGCAAACAACTGCACCTTTTAATCTTTTACCATCACCATATCTAGAGGCCTACCCCAAATAAGCCTCGGCTTTTGAACTATGCAAACTCTTACACTTGACTCGGAATGGGCCCACGATGCTATACCTTTAGTACTGTTTTCTCCCAAATGAGACCCGTTAGTGCCCTCGAGTTGGCCATGTGGTACTTCGTCCGCCTGACGCGCCGAGCGCCTGATAGCATGTGGGCCGGTACGGCTCAGCATTCACTCCATTGCTTCTTCGATGACGACCTTACAACTTTGCATATCAAGAGTTCACTCCATCTTTCCTACGACTGTGGCACGCGCTGCTGACGGTGAACACATAGCCCAGATAACGGTGCGTGATTGTCCCGTTGACCAGTTTCATAACGTCTATCTGACCCACTGACCGAACCTTCAGGCTTGAGACCAAAGGTGGCTCCCTACGGCTCAAACGCTCCTGAAGCGTCTATTCTTGGTTCCCTAGGATCCCGAGGAGTCTGGCATATGTGCTTGCTCAACGGATTAGCTTCGGTTAGGCCTGTAGACCGGACTAGAACCATGAGGGCAGTACCACAAGGGCAGCCCGCCTATGAGAACGTTGCTGAAGGAGAACGAAAACAGGTAGGACCGATGATGCCTCTATTGTCCGTGATAACGACTGGGCTTGGCCGCCGCCTTCTTTCTGCCCTCAGCCGCCCAACCACACGTCCGTGTCGTCTCCCTAGAGACATTCGCTACCAGCAGCTGACCCCCTCCTCCTCGATAGAGGCTTAGATAGGTTGATGCACATGACGACGACCCACAACGCATCAGAACATCTCCACCAATTACAGCACTTCTTGCTACTTTTTGAGGTGGGGTTGTCGGATTAGTTCCCTTCATGAAATCATGCCTGTCTATCACGGGTCGTCGTCCACGTTTTCGGAGACCTCTCGTGAGGCATGGCAAGGTGGGACCAATGCCAGCAGAGTTTCGCGAGGATGGAGCTGCAGTATAAAGCCAGCGCTGCCGAATCCCTGTAGGCATCACTGACCGCGATGCGCGTACGCCTCTCGTTTGGCACGACCACCGTCGTGCTCGCGCTAGCCAGCTTGGTATCTGCGCAGCTGGGATCTACATGCACCACTCCTCTCGGAGCGGGCACGTCAGGCCCAAACGACCCGTTCTGGAGGGAAACCATCAAGCATCAGGGCAGGTCGCCTTTCAACCCAAATCCGAACGGATATGTCGTTTTTCGAAACGTGAAGGTACTCCACTTTGAGCTCATTTACAAATATGGCGATTTATCCCTTTTTCAGGATTTTGGAGCGGTCGGCAACGGTGTGGCTGACGACACCGCAGCCATCAAGTGAGCCTCATCTGTATTTAGTCTAATCCGACTGTTCATCCCAATCCTTTGTCAGTGCTGCTATCACATCAGGCGGACGATGCGGTGGAGGAGGTTGCCGCTCTTCGACGTACGTCTATATTTCTTGGACTGCTGTGATCCGCTGTTAAGAATCTCTTCAGTGTCTCCCCCGCCATCGTGTACTTTCCGAGAGGGTAAGTTCTTCTTGATCTCATCCTTCAATTCCTCACTGATCATAATTTATGATAGGACGTACCTTGTCTCCGCACCGATTGTACCCTACTATTATACCCAGCTTATCGGAGATGCGAAGAATCCTCCCACTTTGCTTGCTGCCGCATCGTTTGATGGAATGGCCGTGATAGGTACGGTACATCCTCCCAGCCTCACCAACTGCACCTACTCTTATTCTCCCTTCAGACGCCAATCCATACATTCCGGGAGGCAACGGTGCTCAATACTGGACGAATCAGAACAATTTGTACGACACTTCTCATATCGAGGGACTGCTTTCCACCTGACCTCGAAATAGCCACCGTTCCGTTAGGAATTTTGTGATCGATGTTCGACGGTACGTGTCGCCGCACCATTCCCTTCCAGTCCATCTAGTTAATAACTATTCAGAGTTCCACCAGAGAGGCCGCAAGGAACGGGCATCCACTGGCAGGTCGCTCAGGCAACCTCTCTCATTAACATCGTCTACTACATGTCTGACGCCCCGAATACGGCCCATCAAGGTAAGTTTACTGTTCGTTGACCTCGAGCCTGCCTGATGCAGTGTGCGTTACTGAGGCATTTGGATGGAAAATGGGAGGTATGCCGTTTTGTTTCATTCTGCATTCCAACGGCCTGCTCATTGGATGACTTGCAGCGGTGGCTTCATGGGTGATATGGTATTCAATGGAGGTAATCAAATACTTTCGGCGCCTTCACAGCTTTTCTGAAACGCTCTAGGGAAATTCGGTATATGGGGCGGAAACCAGCAGTGAGTGATACTTCATGGCAATTAAGAACTCTCGGTTCTAAACAGTCATCCGCAGATTTACTGTCAGAAATATAACTATCAACAACGCCCAGACGTGCATTTATAGTTCATGGAACTGGGGTAGGTCCCAATTCACCTCGCATTACGACTTGAATTGACGTCCGTAGGTTGGACCTACCAGGGTCTCACGTTCAATAATTGCCAGGTACGGCTCCCCTCAACGCCTAATAAGTCCTTACATCCATACTCTCTGTAGATTGGCTTTGATATCGCTACCGGTGGCTTAACCGAAGCGACGCAGGTGGGTATAATTTTTGCAGCCTCTCGTTATGCTGCTGAGTCTATTCATTCTAGACAACTGGCGCACTGGCCATTATTGATGCTGTCATCACCAACGTTCCTATCTTCATCCGAAACTCGCACCCCAGCAATAATGCTCTCGCCGGCTCCCTCGTCTTGAACAATGTGCGCCTCAACAACGTCCCAGTTGCTGTTGGCGTCGTCGGCGGCGCTGTCGCACTCAATGGAGGCACTACCACCATCACGTCATGGGGCCAAGGGAACGTCTACAGAGGAACAAACCCTGGTGGTCTCTTCACGAAAGGAAACATCCCAGCCCCAATGAAACCGGCCAGTCTTCTCGACAGTGCAGGACGTATCGTCTCTAGGACACACCCGCAGTACGAAGCTTATGCTGTCAGCCAATTCGTCAGCGTGAAGGACAACGGCGCCAGAGGAGACGGTGTTACGGACGATACTGCTGCGTTGAGGGATATTTTCGCCAAGGTGCGTCGCGCAACCTTCAGGTTCGTCATTCACGTTGTCTCATCATTTGGTTCATAGTATTCGGGCTGCAAGATCATCTTCTTTGACGCTGGGACATATGTTGTGACCGACACATTGACGATCCCAGCTGGCACACGGATGGTCGGGGAGGCGTGGACGATACTTGCTGGACGTGGACCATCGTTCCAAGACCAGAACAATCCAAAGGTCATGTTCAGAGTCGGCGAAGCGGGTTCTCAAGGCATCATGGAAATCACCGATATCGTGTTTACGACAATTGGTCCTGGTTCGTTCACCCTTTTCACAACGCGACATGGTGTTGAATTAAGCGTTCTTCTAGCTGGTGGTGCAATTGTCGTGGAATGGAACGTCAAGGAGCCTGCAGGTGTTAAAGCTGGTGCAGGAATGTGGGATTCCCACATTAGGTGCGTCGAGTTATTCGACGCAGGGAGCAGGAATCTAACTTCGGGGCTCAAAGAACCGCCGGCGCCGCAGGAACGAATCTCGAAGCCGATCGCTGCCCAACAAGTGGCGCTGGAGGGTTCGCTGCATGTTCGGCCGCTTTTATGAGCCTGCATCTTACTCCACAATCGACCGCCTATCTCGAGGTATAGCTCACAGGTTGTCGGCGTCACGCATCCCTCTGACCTATTTCTATAGGGAACGTGGGTGTGGCTATCTGACCACGACTTGGATCTCCCTGGAGAGCGTCGCATTTCCGTGTATTCAGGAAGGGGTATTCTTTCGGAATCACAAGGACCCGTTTGGTTGATCGGTACAGGTACGTCGATGTTCCTCTCTCCTACACAAGAGTTCCGTGCTCATGCCTTCCTCATAGGCTGTAAGCTTGGTTTTCTTTCGTTCGTGTTCGCCAGCTGACGGTTCTCAGCTGAACATCACACCATTTACCAATACAATCTGGTCAATGCTGCAAATCATTACATGGGACTCATCCAGACCGAATCGGTGAGTGGTTTACTTCCCGATCTCTCCAACGGTCTTCTTATCCCCTTTCGACAGCCGTATTTCCAACCTAACCCAGTCTCACCCACTCCTTTCAGCATAAACGCCGCCTACAAAGACCCTACACCCTACTCGCCCAATCCTTCTGCTTGGGCTCTCCATATCAAGACCTCGAGGAATATCCTCATCTTCGGTGCAGGGTTATATAGCTTCTTCACTGTATGGATGCGTTTTCAAATCTTCCTGCACCTTATGTCTCATTTTGCTGCTCTTTCTTTAGAACTACGCTCAAACTTGCCTTGCCACAAGTACCTGCCAATCTCAACTCGCGAACATCGACAGCCTCAGTGCGTCGACTGGTATCAACATCTACAGTTTGTCGACAGTTGGGACAACATATCAAATAAGCGTGAACTCTGGAGGAATTGTCAATCAGGCAAGTAACGTCAATGGGTTTGCTTCAACTCTTACAAGTTGGAGCCCAAATTGAAGGTGTAGATGAGATAACAGTTGATAAAAATATTTCTTGTGTATCACTAACAAATACCATTATGACCTTGAGATTTTCCTGTCGGAGGGTGAAAGCGGAAAAAATCGTACAACTGTCAGGTCGGTATCGATTAGGGGTTAAATCACTTCGTTGTGGCGTAGTCATTCCGAAGAGCCACTGGTTCGATTCCAGTTACCGACATTTTGCCGTGCCTTACTTAGTTTTGGCACGCCGCATCAGTCCAAGTACATCTTTTTGGCTTTGAAGTCTCAAAGGGCACCGGTTGTGGTTGTTACCTCAGTCAAAGTCATCTACTTTGCAGACAATCGTGTCCTAAGCCAGAAACAAACACAAACTTGGTATATCCAGGAAAAGTGGTCATACAACAGCCATGGAAAAGTACAGATCGTCCTACGTGGATCGCAGATGTGCCCCAGTAAATAGATGGTCCTCAAGTTCCTGTGAAGAAAGAGGTAAGAGTGAATATCGCACACAAAGACCAAGTTTGGCAGCTGACGTACCGCAAGAGTCAGAAAAGTTTCAGGGCAAGCTTCGTTGTTTCCGTCCAGCCTCCACTGGCACCGGTACACGAACTCATGCCCGTTGCCCTGGCTATCCTCATCGCCAGCTCTCCCAATCCGATCCAGCTTGGTCAGCGCCTCGTTCAGTTCTCCTGTAAGCCGCGTCGTTTCCTTCTTCCACTGCATCAGCTCTGCATTGACCCGAGACACGTCTTGTTCCTTCTCCTGCAGCTCGATCTCGGTGAGCTCAAGGTGATTATGAAGTTCGTCGATGTCCTTTTCTTGCTCCTCACAACGCGCTCGGAGTCCAGGTTCTTCCGCTGCACGACGACGTATGTCGTCGTTTGTCCGTCGATCCTTCTCGATAGCGAACTCAGCCATCTTGCGCCACACCTTGGCATCGTCCTCGAGGGTCTTGATACGTAGCTGGAAGGTTGACTTGACAAGGTTGACGCCCGACTCCGCCTGCCCTTCTGCAATCTGTGCCCTCTTCTCGAGGTCCTTGTTCTCATCACGAATGGCGTTGACGAACCCTGAAGCTTGTCCGTACTGCTCTCGGAAGAAGTCGCGGTCCTTCTCCGCAGATTCCTTGCCCTTCGTCGCGGATTCAAGGCGGGCAATGAGCTGGGAACGTTCCGTCTCCCATCCTGCCTTTTCGCCGGCCCAGAGGGCTTGGAGTTCCGTTACTAGCTTGGTAGTTTCGATATCCTTGCTCTTGTTCGCAGACTCGGCACGGGCGATGAGCTGAGTGCGTTCGGTGGCCCATTCCGCTTTCTCGCTGTTCCACAGGACTTGGATTTCAGACAAACGCTTGATTGTTTCAGCATCCTTGCTCTTGGTGGACTCCTTGAGCTGCTGGAGCTGTTTCCGAATGGAAGTGAGCTCCTGTTCGAGTGTTTCACTCCGAGAGCGTTCCTCCTCGAGGCGGCTTTCAGGGATGGTCTCCTCCACCTGCTGCTTGAGGTTCGGACTCTGACATAAAAATTAAAAGATAAGTCAATACGCGAAGAAGAGCAGGAGATGCACCTTAGACCGCGATCTTGCAGTGGTAGGTTGGGCCGACCTCCTACTGGGTCCTTTCACAGCAGGTACTTGCAAAGTACTCTTCGGTTTGCTGCTAGCCTTGCTGCTGGCAACGGTAGGGGTTTTGGACCGCGATCTTGAGCGTGTCATTCGTTGAACTGGTTGCGGGTCGTCATCTTCTGGAGAAAGTGAACGAGTCGACGGTTCGCGGCTCGGGTTCTCGATGTGTATCTGCGAAAAATAATAACAGTGGTTAAAGGTATGCGAACCGAAAAGCGGGAAAGCGCGTACTTCTGGGACCATTGACACATCATCGCGGTATTCACCCTCTTCATCCTCGTCGCCCTGAGGAGCAGCCTTGGGAGGCCCAGCAGCCTTGGAGGGCCCAGCTGACCAGCCAGCGTCCATGTCAACATCCTGCATCGGTCGCTGTTGCATCTGCGCCGCTCGTACCTCTTCCATGAGGTCCTGAGTTGACTCCTCTTCCTCCTGCCGCAGATCCTCCAGATCGACGGGGGCGGGATTGGCATCGTAGTCGTTATCGATGGTTTCATCGACTCCACCGCTCAAATCGACGTAGGCGTCCTCCATCTGCTGTAATGTCGTCAGATCGTGTTCCGGGGGGGCCATAACGGGTGCGGCAAGTCGAGGAGCTGCCTCTGCATTAGCGTCATTGACCTGTGGCCCGGAGCCTGAGGGCACGACGGTAGTAGATGCGTCTGCAACGCCCTCCTCCTCCTCTTCATCCTGTTCGTCTCCAGCAGGATGTTTGGAGCTCCCAACGCTCTCGCTCCGACTTCTACTCCGGGCGATGATCTCATCCACGCTCTTCTTCTTCCGCTTGTGAGGCTCGTCCTCGTCTGCTTCGGCGCTCGATCTGCCCTCTGCCCGCACCTTCGCCCGTTGCTTCTTCTTCGCCGCCTCCGCGAGCTCCTGCCCTCGCCTGGCCACCTGCTCCGAGTCCCAAATGTCCGCATTCTCGTCCCGCTGCTTCTCCTTACCCTTTCCCTTCCGATCGCCCACGCGCTCCTTCCGCAGAAGAACCTTCTTCCGGCCTTGCATTGGCTTATCTTTCTCTGGCGAGTCAAACTGCTCGATAGAGCTCATCGGGGCATCTTCTTCCTCTCCATCGTGGTGGTTGTCTTCGTGGCTGTCTGCCGACTCGATGATGCTGTCTGGCAACGAAGAGTCAAGCTGCATGAGAGGATGGAAGGTGGAGGGCGAGAGCATCGGGATGGGTCGAAGAGCCTTGCCATTAGCGTTGTCCTCGATCTGTGCACTCGAGGAGTGACGAGAGAGGGGTGTTCGTGGCTTCATACGTGACTTTAGTGTGGGTTTGCCTTGCGGGGTAGATGGCGGGTTTGCAGGGGGCTGTTCCTTTTCTTGCGATTGAGATTGAGATTGCTCCTGGTCAGTCTCGGGCACGACGTCGGTGATGTAGGAATTGGTGTGTGCGTTAGTCGGCCGCCGTTGGGTGTTGCTGTTGGGGGGAGGATTCTTAGATGTAGACGACGTGGGTTTGTCGTAGTGCCTGCTAGATACAGGAGGGTATGGCCCTTTCGAGCTCGTGGAATGCGAACGCCTGTCCTCCTCGTCTGCCCTCTCCCTCTCCTGCAAAATTTCGACCTCATCGCCATCGCCATCGTCACTCTCCGACGCCGCCTTGCGCTTCGCCTTCTTCAGCCCAACATCCACATCGAACTGCTCCAGCCTCTGCCAAGCCGCAGGCGATAGAACAGGCTCACGTTGCGGCGAGCTGACCGGAGCCTCCCAGAAGCTGCCGTTGGCAGGTGCGAGCTTCAACGCAGAATGCATGGCGAGTGGGCTATCCTGCTCCAATGTAAACCACTCGAGACCCGGTGCGTCGTGCTCTGTCTCCGACCCGAGGTTGTATGGACGCTCAGTTCCAACCCGAGGCTTCTTCACTGTCTGCGCAGGTTTCTTGGAGGGAGGTGCCTCAGCTTCCTTGGAGGTTGATTTGGACCTGGAGTTGGATTTCGATGTTCCGTTGGCTTGAGATGGTCGCTTGCCCTTGGGAGGACCGATCCTGCGTTCTGGAGGTGGAGAAGGCGGGGTGCTAGCGCGGAATAAAGGGGATTTTCGTTTGGATGAGAACGGACGGGCTTTTGTGGCTTTCGGAGATTCATCCTCGTCATCCTCTTCGTCGTCGGGTACAGCCCTAGCTTTGCCCTTGCCCTTATTCTTCGTCGGTTGCGGTTCTTCAGGTTCCACGACATCCTGTTCGTCAGGGTACACGAAGTGCTCCTCGATGTTCATATCATGTTCCAAATTGCGCGTCGGACTCGGTAGGCCCTCCGAAAGCGCATCCTCGACCATCCTTTCCTCTTCCTCGTCCTCCTCCTGCCGTATCGCAAGAATGCTGGCCGTTGCCAGTGAGAACCCTGACACCTCCACCTTGCGCTTCTTAGACGGGCGGCTAGCAGGAACAGGTGTCTTCCCCTTCTTCGTAGTCCCTGCGTCGTCCGAAACCTCGACGTCAACGGTGCCTCCACGCCCTGAGACCTGGTTTGCAGATGAATTAGCGCTGTTGGCTTCGACACGCTTTCGTTTCGTCCCCTTCTGAGCTTTCGTAGGTTTCTGAGGCTGAATAATCTCATTCTCTTCCTCGTCTTCGTGCATAGCGTCTCGTGTAGGTTTCTTCGGTGTAGCTGTCTCCGTAGAGCGTGAAGTAGCAGCATTAGAGCGACGGCGTCGGTTTGTGGCCTCATCCACTGTTGTTCTGGTGGATGTTGACAAAATAGTGGCTTTGGAAAGAGGTTGCTTGACCGTTGACGCGGTGGAAGCGCGTTTGGATGCAGTCGAAGTACGTCCTCGTTTCGCAGCGGCTGCAGTACGCCTCAGATATTGTAGGAACGGAAACAAATGCGCTCAACGCACATTTACGCTGTTGCTTCTCCTGCTTCTTCCTCTTCCACTCCCGAACCAGGTCGTCCGTGCAGTCATGCTTGGCCACCCAAGATGGCTTCCAAGGCTTCATCGTCTTCGGATCGTTCCCCTTCCATCGCACCTTGTACTGGGTTTTCTTCTCATCTAGGATTTCTGTGACCTCCCAGAGCGTCTCCTCGTCGTCTTCTTGCGGTATGAATTTCTGAGAGGGGTCAGAGAGTAAGTCGACTTCTGAATCTGACATTTCCAAAGCCCAGCTGCAAAGCTATTAGGACCAATTTTAATATGTAGATAAGTTATGCGCACCTATACCTGTTCTCCAGCAACAACCTTGAAGAGAACGGTACATATAGTTGAGATGGTTGACTCTGAGAAGGTTGAAGTCAAGCAGGCCTGGGGATTTAATATTATGTAATCTAATTCTCCCACGGTAATCGCAAGTTCAAGTTCTACTTCAATCTACTTCAATCCATCTTCAATATCTGTAACACTTTCTACAGCCAGCTGGGCCCTGGAAGGCTCTCTATACAGGATATTACACTGTTTTAATAAGCGCGGGTCTGTTTATTCAATTCCTTGGCGACAACTATCTGGCTCTTCTCTCCTCAGCGACGGCATTCCGACTACTTGATACCGCTATCTGATACTCTGGCTAGTTAAATGGCGACTGCAGGCTTATTTATGCCCTTGTGGCTCTCTCTTTTGTTCTGTCTCCGACCCATATCGGCTCTGGCATCTCTGTACCCTATCAAACCTGTCTCGACGACCTTCTATACTGCTGGACAAGCCGCGGAACTCAGATGGGTGGAAGATGGCCAGCGGCCTCTTTTGAGCGCTATGGGTCTCATGAAGATTGATCTCTACGCTGGCAATAATGTGTGTTCCTCTCTGGATCCGTTTGTTCGTTGGATGTTTGCTTAATATTCGCACTAGACATACTTGGCCACCATTGCAAATGATATAGATCCTCTAGCGCTGAGCACAATCGTCTATATCCCACAAATCATTCCAAAGAACTACCATCTCTGGTACGTCTTTCCTACCGAAGACCGTCTCGTTTTGACAAACGACTCGCAGTACCCTCCGCTTCATCACGGCCAATCCACCCCAAGTCATTTACACCGCCGACTTCAACATCATTCCGAGCCCATATCTTGAAGATCCTCCCACCTCGACGACCACGACAACATCTTCCTCCTCTCTCCTGCCTACGACCGACAGCACCATCTTGTCGAGGATCAGCTCAACACAGCCTGCCTTGCCGAACCCATCAGACAAACCATCCTCAAAGAGTACTTCGTCGAGCTTGACCTGGTCCTTAGGCGGTAGAGGCAAGCTGGTTGACGTGGAGCGTGTCAAGTTCAGGCTTCTGTTCATCGTCTGGCCCGCGCTCGTTGGTCTTTCGTTGGCGATGTGAATCGACGGGCTATTTGTTCGGGATCTTTCTTAGGCTACTACCTGGTTCGCAGCCTTCTTCAGATACTCGTTTTGGAAAGCGACAAAATTCTATGATGAAACGAACTATCAAATATAAATTAGGCAAGGTGCACGGTATCGTCCATCCGAGTGGATCTATAGAGGATGTGTGGAAAAGAAAGTATAAATGATGCGATTGCCCCGAAAATTCCCCATTGTGACCGAAGGGATGTGCACCACAGCAGCGACCTCTAAACTTCCAGGACCGGCGTCAGGACTGGCGTTGGACTGGCGGCTCCAGCTCTAGCCGGGTACTCGCGTAATTTACCTTCTACCATCTTCCCCGCCTCAGTTTCTAACCTCCACAACGTCTGGCCTCGAACTAGTGCCCTTCATACACCCTTAAGAGTCAGGCTTCAGCGCTTCAGCAACAACGCGTCATGGGCGCATCAAAGCTCGCCCTGATCGCCGCAATGCCCCCGCCAAGGCAATTCTATGGCAATATAAAATCCCTCTGCAGAAGAAAGCAGGCACCCCGTGTTTGTCTGGTTGCCCTGCAGTATGGGAGGCTCTGACTTCTTCTGTTCGGTATGTGCCATTTTCTTGTACTGGATGAGAGACACGAACTCGGTTTATCTCCCACAGGTGACAGGAGCTCATTATCTCTGGGGCGTCGAAAAGGTAAGCGTTCTCCCCTGTCTACCTGTCGAATGACTCTCATATATCGCCATGTAGGTAGCTGACGATATACTCGAAGCAGCGCAAGATGCCGAGGATTCGGAAGGGAGTGCAGATGAGCTCGATGACGAGGAGAACGGCCAAGAGGAGGGAGGTAGCCCTGTTATGAAGCGTCCAAAGAAGAAGCTCGAGTCTCTTTCCGCGAAACTGAAGAACGGATTACACTACTCGCAGGACGACGTCGAATGGAGCTGCCAGTTTGTTATCATTTGCCCGTACGTGAGGGACGAGACTGGCGGACAGATTATACAGGCGGAATATGAGGACCCTCGTGAGCACTTGCATCTGCACCCCAGTGATCAACCTGGTGAATAACGACCCTCGGTGTGTCCAGACCCCGAGCATCCTTCGGAAGACAACATTACGCACGTCTTTAACATCGAACCTGGGAGGAATCCGGAGCTGGGCGACTACGTGAGCAACCCCGACGACGGCAATCGATATAGTGTCCTGGGATATGGCAACTGTCTCATCATCGCTCGGACGGCGTTTTACATCCTCCAGGCGGCCGCGCCAGCCGTCCAGCCTTGGATGATCTACGCGCTTGCGTACAGCCAAGGCAGGGGCACGCAGGGGCACATAAACGGTGTCGACTACGGGCCTGTGTCGTACACTCTGGAACAATACTCTTGGACAGCAGCCATTTGCGGTTCTCAGGACTCAGATGTGGTCAAACACTTTTGGAGAAACCTCTTGACTCAGGACAAGACCGATGAGGAGATATTGCATGAGGCGTGGAAGGGGCCAGGTAACATGTGGGTGTTCAAACATCCAAGCAGGCGAGTTATCATCCATTTTTCATCCATAAAGAGCAGACCCTTACACCGCTACTAGATTCCCAGTCGAGGAGACGATGGCGGTAGAACCGTTCCCTATCTTTTCTATCACTGAATCAACCAACCCATTTGGAAAGCCCATGCTCGACAACCTCCCAGTCGACATCCTGCTCAACACTTGCGAGCACCTCCCCATACGATCCACCTGTGCTCTAATGACCACTTGCAAACGGTTCCGCGCGAACATCCTCCCACACGCGAACGCCATATCCTACCGCCGACTGGTCCAGGACGAACCGTGGTACCTTCCTGTCGGCCCGTTTGACACCCCCCATGGACACGACGAGGTCGATTGGTGGGAGATCAATTGGTCACAGACACTTGCTGTGCCGAGGGACGCTATTCGCGACAAGATCCCATGGCTGTTGTACCGTCGAGCGTGCAGCGGCAGCATGAGCATGTGGAATCGAAAACGGATCTGGGATATTTCGCGACAGATAGAGGAATTGTGCCAAAAGGAAGGCCATTTATCTTCTAGCTAGGATTCCAGTGTATTCTTTTAGCACAGAGTTTTCTGGATTCTAGAGTTGCATCTTGGCTTCGAGGGTTATTTCATCCTCTCACCTATTCCAAACTTCGAAGTGCATCACCTCCGAAAACTGGTAAGAATGTGACGATCTTATCTACCCGACCCCGGCACAGCTTTGGCAGATTTCGGCACATCTGCTCCTTGCACCACAACAACTCACACAGATCATATTCTGGGACGGTACAGCTGCTCTCATGAGCTCTAAACCAGGTGGAATTGCCAAAAATTTCCGCCATGATGTACTGAACCAGGATCCCGACATCTGGTATGAGGACGGGAACGTCGTGCTCTGCACAGAAACCCAGTCGTTCCGCGTACATCGCAGTATCCTAGCTGCGCGCTCAACCTACTTCAAAAGGTATTTCCAGGAGCACGGAGCGTTACCAGATCACGAAATACGTCTCCCCGAGCCCGGGGAGGAAATCAAGGAGCTAATTTTGGGCCTATACGATCCGAGGTGGGCGCTTGCGACTCAGATGCAAATCTCGAAGCTCAAGAATGACATTTTCTTGCTTCTCATTTAAGCTTCTTTGAAGGACCGCCACATAAAACGGAGTTTCGCAATCTCATCGTGTTCACCCGCCTGGGGTTCAAATATGGCGTGGACCATCTCGCAAGACGGGCGCTTGAGCATCTAGCACTCGCCTTCCCGACCTCGCTTGAGCGCTGGGACGATAACAACTCCGCAACGTTCGATCGGCGAGCAATATCAGCTGCAGACTCTGTAGAAGCTCTCATCGTGCTGCGTGCGGTACGAGCCACCTGGCTCCTCCCCACTCTGTTCTATTCCTGCTACAGGGAACATAGTCTGACACGCATCATGGACGCTCCTGCATGGCAAGAGATGTCGCACGAGCGGCAGAGATTCGTCGTCCGAGGATACGAGGACCACGTCGATGCCTTGCGCGGGTCGCTTGGGTTCTTTGGGCGCCTGCCGACGGGGGAGTGCAAAACACATGCTGTGTGCGAAAAAGTCTTCAAAGAGTGGTACCTCGAGACCCTCACCTGGAGAACGCGCCATCCGCTCTGGAAGATGACAGCCAAGAAAGACAAGGCGAAGCTGCTGGAGAAGACGTGCAAGAACTGTCGTTGGTGGGCAAAACAGTACCACGCTGAGGAGAGGAAGGCGCTGTGGGATCACCTGCCGAAGATGTACGGTTTCCTCCGCACATGGGAGGGATTTCAGGAGAAGGAGAAAAGAGCGCTCGCAGATATAAAAGCGTTTATTGAAGAGAGTAATGACAAGACCCGGTCTGTGCCAAACGACTCGAAAGGAAAACCGTGGACACAAGACGGAATGGATTAGAAATATGTAGCTATGATTTCAATGCACCCTCTACGACCTCGCTGGTATGCTCCCACAATTTCTTCCGTTGCTCTTCATCTCCGTAGTACCGCTTCTTCGCCAGGTCCTCGCCATGGAATCCAGTCCTCCATGCGCCCGGTGTCTTCGCCGTCGAGTAGATGGCGTTCCACATGTATTCCGCGCAGTCGTCGGCTGACACCGTCCATGGTCGAAGAAGAGCCATCCCGACGGGCGCGATGACCCTGAAGAGGAGGGAAGGAGAGTTGGCGAATAACGGTGTGCGCACGAATCCAGGGTGAGCGTGAATGAAGGGAATGGTCGAGGCTTTCTCTGCAAAAGACTACGAAAACATGAGGTCAAGAAAGATAGTCTCTATGAACGTGAAGCCTACCTCGCACATCAGGTCATTGTAGGTCGACGCGACCAGGGCAACCTTCGACAACGAGTAGGTATTCTTGAGGGCAAGGTCGTTGAGGTCTATCTCGCCACCGTATCCTGGAGCGAGGACAGTCATGACCGACGCATGCTCCCCAGCATCCTTCGCCGCCTGAACCGCTGGGAGGAGGTCGTGAACGAACTTCCACCGAGCATAGTAGTGCACCGCGAGCTTCCTGTCGATTCCCTCCGCCGTCTCCGTCCTTCCCGCCGTCGTCATGATGCCCGTGGAGACGACCAGGTAGTTGATCTTGGGGAACTTATCGAGGATACCGCGCGTTGCATCTTGCACGTTCTTCATCAACGTGGCGTCGCATTGGACGAACTCGCGGGCGACAGTTACGCCAGCGTCGGAAGGCGGTAGCGACGCGAGAATGCGGTCGGCGGCGGATTGATTCCTGCCAACGATGACAATGCTGCTGTTGCCCTTCGTCTGACGTGCAAAAGCCTTCGCCATGCCCTCCCCAATACCCGAGGTCCCGCCAACGAACACAGCGACTGGTGGTGGAGATGTGAGGTGCGAGAAGGCAGAATTTGCTGTTTGGATAGCATTTAACGAAGGCATTGCAGGATTTCTGGCTGATCGCAAGAGGAAAGGCTTTGAATACGTACCATTCTGAAATGAAGACCAGGTCAAACCTGCGAGGTGACGAATTCGGAAGGCGCAGTTCGCCGAGCACCTGTACAACCAATCGCAATATTTCGGAGTTCGAAAAGGAGGATTTCCTCATTCCGGGTCCCTTGCCGGCAGCCGAAGACACTCGTAGTCAATCATCATCTGCACACTCGTCCTTACACACTTGCCGGACGAGTCCACCATCATCCAATCACGACAGTGAAGGGGTGGAAAGGACGGCGACAGCCTGTCTATCGCTTCACTGACCTTTCCGACTATTCGATTAGCAGCTAGCAAGCAGATATTTCCTGGCGAATGTCTGTCTGTGTGCGGCTTCTACGGTCATTGTAGAGCCTCTCGGGACAAGCAAGAACCCCGCACTTGCAGCCGCGTTATATAAAGGCATTTTGTATCCAAGAGAACATTCAGTATGTGGAGTGTAACTTACCCCCAATGAAGTTCCAGGGAAGAGCTGAAGTCTCAGTCTTTTTTTCTCCCTCTGGTTCAAAAAACTTTAACATTATTCTGCCCTCGTTGCAGGTGTGCTGCGAATATTGCTATTTCCCATAAAAAAACTAACAATGGACACGTCTAAGTTCACACCTGTGTTTTCCAGTATCATTGGTCATCTACAACGAATTTTGGACAAAAGCCCCCCTTCCTTTTTTCCAGAGATTGTTCAACCTCGAACGCAGGCCCCATGACAATGTTGGCCGTTCTTAGCTAATAAATGCGACATAATCAGATTCGTTTGTCGAACCTGCTCTGAAGCGTCCAATGCTCACGTCGACTGCATCCACCGCATGTTCGATCACGACCACATTCCCCGCAGTGCGCACGAGGATTACTTTGGCACCGCCGATCGCATTTTAACCGCCTGATTGTCCTGTGTTTAGCTGCCAGTTGTGCCTGACGGGAGTGACACAGGCGATAACGAGTGCGAGCAGGACGAGGTGTCCGTTCTGTACGTGCTATGATGGCATGACTATCACAAAGACGGTGGGAGTGGTGGATGAGGCGATAGAGTCGGAATCGCCATTCCCTATCACAATGGAGAGCACGGACGACGAGGAGGGCTCGTACGTTTCGTCCTCCATTCAACGCGTTGAAAGAACATCACGAGCTGCCGGGTTCTGCACATGCCCCACAAAGTACTGGCTGGGATATCAAATGAGCAGGGTATGGTAAAAGCGGTTTCGGGACCATACCAGGCCGTTAAAGAGGCGTTCGGAAAGATTCTTTATTTTTCAGTGACCTGTAGAAAGATGAGGAAGAGAACAAGAGGTATTCGATGGATGTACTTTACCTATACCCCGGCCCTACTAATTCATGTACATAATCGTGCCACCAATTGCCACTATCAGTGGCATTTCGGAAATTTCCGATGGGCAAATGCCGCAAATATGCGCAAATACTGTTCCCACCGCCTCTTGTCCCAAACCACGATGTTGTTCAACTTCGCGTGTTATTTTCCTGCCGAAGACCCTCTGTTTTTTAGTATTAAAATTGAAGCAGAGGACCGAGTAGACCAACTAACGGAGGCGATTCAAGTGAAGCTCCGATCGCGTGGTCAAGATGTCAGCCTTGGGGACATCCGCCTTTTCAAGGTAGACTCGTCCTTTCTCTGGTAAACGGCCAACTAACCCGCAGCAGACAGACGTTCTCCTGAATCCTAAAGAAAGCCGGCAACCGCGTGCTCTTCTGTGGCTTCATCAGCAGCCAGACAAACAGTCACCTCGAGAAGATACGCTCTCAACCGTCTTTCCCAGTGGACCCCATCCACCATCCGATCGCATGCTAGATATCATCATTGCCGATACAGAGGGTATGTTCGACTCTGTCATTCAGTTTTGTATCACTGATCCCGTGTTAGTTCTGGAGTTGCGCGACGGCCTGGGCGACCCATATGACCGCAATAATAGGAAGATCAAGAAAGGTGCGCAATGTGCTGATACTCTGTGTTCGCTTTCCTCATCCTTATGACCTAGCTCTCGACGAGCGTCTAAAGCGTTTACTCCCTGGTGATTCTCCGTCGGACATAGTCAAAGCGCCCAAGACCCAAGCCAAAATATTGGGCGGTGACAAACCTCTCATCCACCTGGGTCGGCCTGGTGGAGTCCCTGCTACGATTTTTAACCCCGCCCTTGCCACCCTGCAACAGCGTCTTGACGATCTCGAAAAAGTCGAAGTTGACTGTCAAGAAATCGAGCGTGCTGCCAAGTACATCCTGCGCACGGTCGAATTTCACGAGGACGAGGCCCACCTTCAGAAGGAGATCCAAGACCTACTCGATCAAGCAATCGGAGAGAAGGGATGTATTCTTGATTGGGCAAATAACATCAAACCTGACTGTTCCTGGTGGCGCCAGAAGTTTCTCATTCTGGCCTTGGAGCTCAAGAACTCGTTGGGCCTGTCTGGGGACGCCCTCCTTCAAGCCGTCCTTGTTTACAGCAAAGTAGTCTCGCGAGAACAGGTTCGATGACACTTATCTGCCGCTCTGAATCCCGTCGCTTACCGTTGCTTGCAGTACAAGTGTTTCCGGGGGTTATGCAACTTCCCTATCGTCCTCCTCGGTGCAACCGCAAATCGCCTCGAGATTTCCGTCGCCGTTTGCGTAGGACCGATCTACGTGACCAAGTTGCTCACACTCGACCTTTCGTTAGGGTTTCATGCCTCCGACAACATCATGCGCCTGGCGCGTGTCTTTCATGTCTTGGCTTCCTGTCGGAAAGATCTCCGAAAGTACTACGACAAGGTCATCTTGGAGCCTCGCGGGGTCTCTGGTCTGTATCCCTGCCCAACGACCACTGATCCTTCCAAAGTATTGCCCAAACTTACCTATCGGCAGTTTCTGACCCGAGCTGGTCAATCCACCTGCAGTCTTGTGGACTTGGGAAACACGACCTCCGCCATGTACATTGCCACCCTCGGTGACACTGACGAGGAGGTTATTGTCAAGTTCACAGCACGTTACAACGAGGTGGCGCATCGCCTACTTGCCGATGCTCAGCTTGCCCCGAAACTCCACTTTTGTGGGCGTGTTGTGGGCAATCTATTCATGGTCGTTATGGACCGTGTAGATGGAAAGTCCATTTGGCAGCTTCAAAAGGATGATAAGCCAGTTCCTGCAATTGTCTTGGAGAAGGTCACAGAGGCAGTAGGTATCCTTCACGCAAATGGTATTGTCTTTGGGGACTTGCAGGGCCCGAACATTCTCCATGTTGCATCCAAGGATCATGTAGTTCTTGTGGATTTTGATTGGCCTGGGAAGGATGGAGAGAGCAGATATCCGGCCAGCCTCAACTCAGCGAACACCTGGGCAAGGGAGGTTGAGCCTAATGGTGTTATGTGCAAATCCCATGATTTATGGCAACTGAAGCAGTTGGAAGCCCTTTGTAATTCTGCCACTTAGCTGGCTGTACCCTTCTTATTCCTTGCATTCATAGTGATCCATTGTTCCTTGACACACTACTATTGATATCTGATATCATATAAATTGTTTGTCCACGGAAAAAAACGCATCTCACTGATCCTTCCTGGAGGAAATTGAAAAGCTACTTTTAAGACTCAAATGTGAATCTCAAAGCTAGGGACTAGCACGGTTTGGCTAATACCAGTAATAGTCTGTGTTTGTTTGTACCGTTGGCCATTTTGGCCGGACCGCGGTACCACATGGGGCAAACCGCAGTTTAGCACAGTTCCCAGTCCAACTGTGATGTCCCAGCACCAAAATTCACCATTTGATGCCTCAGTGTAATAAAAATCCTATTCAGCAGCATAAAATTCATTTCAATGTACTCCCTGACATTCTACATCCTCCAAAAATCTATTTTCCTCACTTAGAGGCAGCCAGGGGGGGAAGCAGGCTGAAGCAGCACTGCCAGGTGGCTGTGCGGAATGATGCGTGACACGTTCGGCAGAGTGTCACACGGAGCCTACTCCAACGTCACACCTCCCTTCTTTTTTTTTTTTTTTTTTTTTTTTGAAGTCTTCCACGTAGGGTGTATTTTAGACGTACTCCAAATACACAAAAAATAGGGTGTTCGATCACAGTCCCTTGGAGGTAGGCTACACCTAAACGACCCTCCTCATCATCCCATCCCTCGACCCGCCGCCTTTGGTTGAAGCCCCATTGGGCGCCGAAGCTTCCAGCTGTTGAGACAGTTGGTGAGAGCTGACCAGTTTCCTTGCGGTTCACCGAATCTAAACAATCAAGGGCTTCATGGTGTTAGTCCTTCCCAGCATTGGGCGCCGAAGCTTCCAAGCCGTCAGTCGCCTGCATGGTTGGTGTGCCGGGCCAACACCATTGATGGGGGCAGCACATGTAGGTGCTAAGTACCCCTAACGAGATTGGATGGTTTGGAAGTGAAATGTTGAAACGAGTGACTCTGCCTTCCACTATGCCTTCCGCCCTCTGATACAACCCCACCCGCTTTCCTCCCCCATTTCCCAAACCCTAAGGCACGCATCCTGTAGCATCCCCCTACCATGCGAAGGCGGTCGAATATCTAGTGTTTCTCCCCAAGGGGTGTAGCCGGATCATAGGCAACACGGCTGATGATCGGAGACTAGCCTCCTCCCTCCATGGGTTGCCTTCCATGACTAGGTTGCGCCCCCGAAAGGTCTGCGCGAAGCAGAGCAAGACGGTACACGGGCTGCCTGTCAAGTAGGGCCATCAGTTGCGCTTTGAGGTTGTTGTAAACAAGGTCTTCGGGCCTCCAACAAAGCGATTGGGATACAACCACGCCGAAGTCGCGATCTTCTCCGATAAATAAGAAAAGGTGTTGGTTTAATGAATAGATAAGGAATCAGGCAATGAGTGGGGCCCGATGGAGGACGATGCCGATTAATGAGAGGAGTTCGGTAGTGTAGAGCGCGGCCATGGTGGGGGCAACGAATTCCCACGGCCGGATGGTGATGGTTCAAAATCAAGAAGCGTCGTCACACCTCCCTTCTCTGGAGATAGGTTTTGGGTTTCCGCCCCATGCACGTGATGCGCTTCCATTACATAAACCATTATCTAATTGTCCAAACCGACGCAGCTCGCGAGCGATTCGATTTCTTTCTCCGACCGTATCAAGCCGTATCAGGGCTTCTTGGTGGCGCGGTGGCGCAGCACGCCTTTTGTTCCCAACCACCATCGTCAACGACCCCTCTCCGCCTCCCTCCCTGCTCTTCCTTCTCCTCTTCGCGTTCCCGCTCCTTGTAGCCCCTCCGCACTGCTGACGGCCCCTCTCCGCGACGAATATTGCGCGTTTGTGTCGACGCGCGCCTGCCTCAAATGCAAGAACATGGGAGTGAGGAGTGGCACGGAGCGCACATCTCTCGTCGTTCAAGGCGCCCCTCTCCCGACACTACGCGTTAATCGACACAGAAACACACATGACACATGCTGCAATGAAAGCCAGATCCAGGGAACGGGAGGTAGCACGGTCCGTGTATGAGTGGCATTGCAGTGGGCTACTGAAAGCATGGACACGGTGGAGCATGGGATACATTGGAGGGCCATGAACGCGGTGAGCAAGTACCTTTAACCTCTGCATCGACTGCGCCATGCTCACCTTGCGCGTCCCTGACACCGTTCCCAATACCTCCGACTCAGCCACCACATAGCCGTACGACTCCGTGCTCCCCATCCCTCTCTGGCTGCTGAGCCACCTCTCGAGTCCATAATTTCTGTACACTAGAACCTGTAATAATAAATCAAACTTCCAATTACTTCAATAATAGTGTGAATGGTCCTTATTCGGGCAGTTGGTCTACAAGTGAGAAATGGTTTGAAACTTGAGCCGTTCATGTAATTCACTCATGGTGGCCCTCAGCCCGACGAGCCAGCTCGCGCACTCGCCTTCACTCTAACGAACCGCCTTCCTATTTTGATGTTTACATAAGTGATGACAAATGCGATCATCACGTGCATGGGGCGGAAAGTCGCCAACTTCTGGAGATTCTGACACCCTTTCACGTTGCTTTCAGGCGCTTTTCCCATTATGTAAAATCATTACATATGTTTTGACATTCAAAATAAATTATAATTTTCTCAGAAAACAAAAGCCAGAATATGTCGACTAGGAGATCCATCTGCCTGCCGTGACAAGTCTCACGGTCCCGGCGGTCCAAACCGCGTTTGGGCTGGATCGTACCGTATCGTACCGTAAATGGTATGGACTGCGGTACTAGTCTCGGTCCGGCCCGGTTAGTACCATGCTAGTCCCTACTCAAAGCTCAAGATTGACTGTTTCTTGGTTCTCATTAAACCTTCTTCAAAGGACTGCCACACAAGGTGGGGTTTCATGATCTCATCATGTGTTACAGAGAATGGAAGAATTTGATCATTAGGGAACAAACTGCCACTGGTAAGTTCTGGTATGCTTTTGGCATTTTGCAGCCACCATTCTCTTCCAGGACCCACTTTGAGAGCCCGGATGGGTGTGACAACGGGAATCCAGCTCCCGATCCTCTTGGTCTTGGCCCACCAGAGACCAGCTGAAGGAGCTATGAGAATACAACAAAGGAGAGAGGGAGAAACAGGCTGCTTACTCGGTAGGAAGGCAACTTCGAGACGGTCGTATCTTGGACCATGTGGTGAGAAGCTCATGTTCGTACTCCATGCTGTCGAGCATCAGTCTTGGAGGGTAGTCGGCCGTCAATTCTATCTTCCTCAACGAATGGCATTTTTGCAAGATCTGCTCGACACCTTCGAACAGAGCCTAGGACAGGGTAAGAGAAGAAGAAGACGGTCGAAGGAGAGAGAAGACGTTACTGGGAGATTGCCTTCCCAGAGCGGCACGCCGTGGAAGTTGAACTCGACAAGGTCGAGGAGCCGCTCTGATATTTTCAGGAGGACGTTTCGAACGACGACGGGATACCACAGTGTGAGCGATATGACCTTCTCACTAGAGCGGGCGGCTGCCGAGATTACACGTCGTTCCATGTCGTAGTCGCATGGGTCAAATGAGGATGGTGCAATGCCGATTGCACGAACAGGTGCTTTTGGGACAACAGCCTCAACTAAGTGAGCCGGATCATAGATATGCTCGAGATTCGGTAAGGCGATTGGCCCAGCAAAATAAATCAAGATGCTGTCGGCTGGGTTGTATAATTCGATATGGACCAAGGAAGGATGAGACCGGAGGAACGACAAGAGGCCAGAGGAGATGTGTTGAGAGGACGCCAGGTACTTCAATCGGGGAAAGTGTTCGGTCACCGACGCGAAAATGTCTCGGTCTTTTGCCAGTATGCAAAGATTAGTTACGTTCTGCGAAACTCTAGCGAGCCCTGCACAAAGGAGACGGAGGGATTGCGGCGGGAGAGGCTCTTGTTCGCTTGGGCAGACAACATCAGGACGAAGGGCAGCTATGAGACCGATTGGGACCTACTGGATAGTCAAAGCGAGCTTTCGGACAGAGTGAGCCGCATCGTTATTCTCTTTCAGGGTATTAAAGAACTGTATCATGCGATCGGTGTCATGAAGGGACACCTGTCGGTACAGGATACGAGTGGACGCCCATCTAAGAGATTGAGAACTTCGAGCTACTTGAAGCAAGGCTTTACGCGGAAGGTGCTCTAAAATTTCGTCATAGATCTCTTGAGGAAGTGATATCGCAGGAGGAGGAGGTTTATGAGGCGCCATTCGAGAAATTTCGCGTAGGATGCAGCGACGGGTTCCCGGGGTGGAGAGAAGACCCAAAGTAATGGTTCAAGTGCAAGATAGAGGGCATTATATACCACACAAAAGGCTAGATATGCAGCCGAAGCATTGACCTTTGAGATGATGCGTGAATCAGCTTCCTAGTTTTTCTTTGAAAGGCAAGCATTTGTTGGTGGCTCACCTCGACCTCTGGCCCTCTTACTGATCAAACGAGGATCTTTGGACGCTCGTGTCTCCATTGAAACAAAGAACATAAAGGCTACCTTAGAAGTTCCCGACGCGCCACTATCCATGCTAACAATTGTCGAATTTCGGAGGCGTGAGTCAAAGGCGTAGTGGTGGAAGCTGCCTAAGGACTAGTTGTGATGGCTCTGGAAGAGCCTGTATTATGTAATCTCATTGTTCTTGTCTTCCATCCACTACAGCGTCTCCTCGTTTCCCGAGCATTTCTACCATGTCCTCATCGCGTGGAAGGGTAGAAGACGTATATGAGTCGCAGAATGACCAACGGCTCGACGAACTGCATTCAAAAATCAGGACATTGCGTGGGGTACGTGGTTCAGCCTCGCAACACACCGTATTGCTTACCGTGGAAGTTATCTAGATAACGACAGACATTCATTCAGACGTAGAGTCGCAGAATCTTATGCTTGACGAAACAGCGAGTGTTCGTAACTTGGTGCCCGCTTTCATTGCTCATTGCCATCGTCTAGGGCGACCGTTTCTCGTCTTTCGGTTCTCAGCTAATGCAGACCTCTCGGCGGGCCGGGCAGGCATTTGGCATCGGTACAGGCAGCCTGAAGCCGTGGCGGATTGCCATGCTTATCGTTGGCGTTTTCCTGGCGTTCTGGGTGTCATCGAAGTTGCTGCGGTGGTGGTGGGGCAGTCCCGCATGAGCAGCTTGGAGGTGTTGACGGTTATTTTATACCCTTTAATTATCCAGGTGCGTCTTCGGCATCTTGTCTCGTCTTCGTTCAACCTGTACTAACCCACTTCTAGATTGAATTGTACAGTAGGATCATATTCACCTTGGGGACCTCTACTCTCTTCTTGTAACACTTCGCAATTACACCAACTATGTCACTTGCCTTCCTGCCTCTTTACCACCGTCCCGGTTGCAGCAATGCGTTCTAGTGGCCATGATGCCATTAGGAGAAGGAAACTCTTCTTTGCCGAACCTAGACCCCAACATTGGCTCAGTTCCTGAACCTTCTCCCGACGTTTCAAGTCAAAACATCGACCTACGCCTACGCCCCTGATGTGATGTGCTGTTGAAGGGATTGATTGTACTACATTCCTTCAAGATCCGCTGCTGTCTCTTCTTGCGTTCCTCTTGGTTGCCCTCGGGCCTAGCGTTGTCGCGCACTGCTTATCAGCGAGGAAATTGTCCTGTGGGACATTACTCAAACCCACGGATGAATCCATTCAAAGCAGAGTGACGCGTCAGCCGATTCATTTCATATCTTTATGTGACGATGTGGCACCGATGTTAGCACTGGACAGAATGACTATTCAACCTTCTTGGTGGGTACGAATCGGAAAGGCTACAAAAAGCTAAATGCTGTGAGTGAAAAAAATTCTACGTGTGCGCACCACCCCAATGATCGAGCAAGGAAATGACTGCAATGGAATGAGTAACAGGTACAGTAGTGGGGTGTATGTTTGAGAGCAAGGATTAGGCAATAAGAGGGACGATGAGAACACAACATGACATAGTAAATGTAATGGTAAACTAGGCATGACGCAAGGAGAGTACATCCCCATCGAAAATTAAAGCTCGTGTGCGATAAGTTAGTTTCAAAGCATGCAAGAATTACATCAAACGCTCCTTTACTCCAACGGCACGAATCCAAATCTCGCCTGGCCGACTGCCAATGCATAAGCTAGTCGGACAAATAAAAGCAATAACAACAATACGCACCTCCTCTCCCTCAAGATCCTGAAAACTTTCCTATTCTCAACTTGTGCCTGGTGGATCTGCCCATGCAACGGTCGAGGACGAGGGGGAAAAGCCCCAGGGCCACATCGATCTTGCAGATCGGCAAGAGCCTCGTTTGTGCCTTCTGTCTCTACAACGAGCGTCCCATACCACCCGGGGTCGACGAACAGGTTATCTGTATCGGGTATGGGGATGCGACCGTTTTGCGCAGTCTTTGGGCCAGAGTGGGGATGACGTTGGCCACCCCGAGAGCCTCGTATCGTGAATGATGAGCGATGTACCCAGCGCATGACGTTATGGTAAGCTCCTTGCGGCCTGAGTGATCTGGTCAGTCTTAAACGGGAGACACAGCAAGAATGGTTCTCACGTTTCCGTCTTGACACGGTCCTGGAGGAGCTGCAGGTTCATGGCGATCTCCTCACCCCAAGATGATAGGTCGATGTGTGCAATCGGGTTGGTGCTCTGTGAGCCTGTTCGTATCACCTTGTGGAAGTACGATGGCGGGAAGGCGAGTGCTGGCATGTACTTCGGAAGATCACCGATCGCCGAGTATGTGTAGTCCAGATCCTGCCCAAGACAGAGTCAATCTCAAAGCCAACAAGGAAAGGAAAATTGCCAGGTAGCATGGTGGTGGAACAAAGCGCGAAGTGTGGACCAGCACATGGCGCGAACCAACCAAGCTTCAGTCAACGAAACTCAGACTTACGATGAGATAGCTTCCATCCCACACCAGCCTGCCCACGTTGCCCTCGTCTCCAACAGCAACGTCCCATACTACGTCTCCTAGCCGCATGAGGTGGGCTACGCCCGCCCGTTTACACTCCGCCTCACACTCCAACACGCTTTTGTCCGATAGCCAGTCTCCTTCGGGCGATGGAACGAACACGCGCAGTAGTGGTGCTCGGCGAAGTCGGAACAACGGCGAGCGGAAGGTCAGGCTTGTCGTCGAGTTAGCTGGCTGGATCGTTCCAACACCGTTGCCGTTCGCGTGCCCATGATGCGACTGAGAATAATTTGAGGTGGTTGGCGACGGTGCACGACTGGACACACGAGATGTTGTGCCCCCACCACCGCGGCTAGGAGAAAAGTTGAGATTCTTGACAGACACTGGTGGTGGATTGGTCGGAGAAGACGTCTGTGCGAGAGAAGCTTCCTTCTCTGCTTGAGCACGTAGGCGTAGGAGTACACGCGTGTATGCACGAGTCGAGGATGTCATGCTTCGAACGGTGTCTTCCAGGAAAGGATCACGGTGGTTGGGGTGTATTGACAAGGAATGGACGTACATGCCCGCGACACGGGCATATTCGTGTGTTGGCGTCGATACACCGCGCATATAGTCGCTTAAATCCTGTGCCAATTATGAGAGACCATTAGAAAGCAATAGTGTCCGACGCACCTGAAGAGACAACGATAAAGGCTCTTTATCATCCCACGACCACCTCGAATACCCAACAGGTTTCAAGAACCTCTCCAGCACCTCCTCCCGGAGCAACGGCGCCCGCACGAGAAGAATCCGTATCTCCTTCGACAAGGCAGACAGGATGCACCAGTCATAGAAAGACAAAAACGAAAGCAAACAAGCAAGCACTTGAGGATTCGAGAGGAATTGATGCATAGTCATAGGGTCCATAGGTACGAGAGCCTTCTGCGCAATGACGTGCTCGACGGTCAGTGGAGGCGGCGCCGTGAGCCCCTTCTTCGTCTGCCTGAAATGCTGAGGCGATTCGGGGGTCAAGGGTAATGCCACACTGTTGGTCTTCCTCGATTCATCCATCCCATCAATATCAACGGCGTCTTCATACATGCTCTCCGTGTTCGAAGACTCCTTCATCGACCCCTTCGCCTTCATCTTCTTCGTGGCGAGCGGTGGCGGAGTGGCGGTCTTCAGCAATTTCACGCCCTCGACACGCGCGAAAGGGTCATCATCGAGAGGGATGCCCGCGTTACGTATGGTCTCATCGTCAAGCTGAATGGGAGGGTCGAGCTGGCCGTTTGTGTAGGAATGTAACGAGACGGAAGGAGCCTTATGCGAGGAGCTGGGCGTGCCCGGGCGGACTTTCAGGGAGGACTTGTGGTTTGGAGTGCTTATGGACCCATTGATGGACGCTGGATCTGGTGGATTGCGTGTCTTGCTGAGCTTCCTCCCTCTCGGCGGGGTCTGAGGTAAAAGGAGCCCCTGGCTTGTGTTCGGACGGGGGTCATCTTGAGACTGTCGAGGCAATGACTTTGAATTCACTTTCGGAGTGTACGTCTGCGCCAGCGGCTGCGGTTCGATGGCAGGAAGCTTCGGAGGCGAAGCAGACAACGTGGACGTAAACATCAGAGCAGGATCCACGTCCAACGCGCCTGACGCGACTCCGTTCGAGAAAGATGGGAGAGGCTCCAGGTGAGATTTTGGGGTCATGAACAAGGGTTCTGCCGCCGGCTCTGCGTACGATTGTCGGTGGACCGCCACGCTGGGATTCGGGCTTGGGTTTCGATTCTGAGGAAGGGTAGCAGCGCGTTGTATCCCATTTGTTTGGTTCTGCAGCTGTGTCTGCGGCTGGTGGGATTCGGTTAGAGGGTGGAGAGAAGGCGGAGGTGATTGGAAACTCGGTGCAGACTGCGGTTCGCTCTCCTGCGCTTCCATAGCGGCGAAGATACGTGGCTTGCCTCTCGTCATAGGCATCGGGGCACTCGTTGCATGCATGCTAGCAGGTTTTGGGAAAGGAACTGGTGGAGGCTGGGGTTCGAGTGCTGTAGGCGGTTGAGGAGATATGTAGGGGAGAGACGGTTGTCGGTGCTGGTGTTGGCGTTGCAGTGGAGGATTCGGGAATTGGCCTGGCACTGGGGCCGGAACATCTTGACGTGGATGTTGGAAGGGTTGGTAGTGAGAAGGCAACGCGGCGCCAGGTGGCAAGGGTGCTGATGTTGAGCGACTGTTGGACCGAGCAGGAGGCTGTTGTGATTGTGATTGCGGTTGCTGTTGAAGAGCAGCAGGCTGCTGGAAATTTACGTTGCTGAAGCCGTTATACGTCGGACTCCGTCCATTCATGTTGCCCGCGACATTGTTCGGGTAAAAATCTTTGTAGGAAGATGGGAAAGGATCAGATACTGATGGCTGGCTAACCGCGACGCCCATCTCGGTTGCTGGCGCCTGCGCAGGTGGGGGAGGCGGTAACGGAGGACTTGGAATTGGCAGAGGTCGAGAAGTGGAAGCAAAGCGAGGATTTGAGGAAGGCAGAATGGGATGCTGTTGCCTTTCCCCGTAGGTGCCCTAATAACATGTAAAAAAGCACGCTAAGCATCCAGCCTTCGTGATGTCATACAGAAATGAAAAAGTAGCTTACCGATTGGGGTCTACTCGAATCAGGCACCTGGTCGATAGACTTCGTGGTAATACCATTCGAAGTTGCAGGTCGACGAGAGTTTAACGAGTTCGGGACGCTAGGCGCGGCGATCGTCTGCGTATATTCCTAAGCAATTCAGCGTCAGCGTCGGATGATCTACGATGAATAGCGCATGCGGAGCATGAGAGGAGGATATGGAAAAGAAAGGATAGATGAGATAGCCGCTGCACAGTGACGAAATCTGGTTGATTCGACGCCATTACGTTCTTTCCAACCGCACAACGAAGCACCGGTTAGGTTGATCGAGGCCAAAGCTTCGCTTGATGAGATATTCGCGGACAGCGGGATCTGAGCATCGACAATAAAACCCCACTTGCACCAGCATGACGGGTGCACCAGCGTACCAAGATGACGACAATTTGACCAAGTTGCACTTACTTGGTAGAAAGCAGCCTCAGGAGGTAAGTCAATCGCTCCGACCGACATGGGGGTGAATTCGAGATGGCTGTCTGTATCGATGCCTGACGATGCGAGACTTCCGTTGCCGTTGATTGTTGGTGGCCCATTTCCGTGCGCATTTGGCTTCGGCGACAGCGTTTGGCTTGCATAATTGTTGTCGGGGTAAGGGTACAGCTTGCGGTTAGGTGGGCTGATCTGGGGGGCATTGGTCGTGCTCGAGACGGATCCATTACGTCTTCTAGGCGTGGCATTAAAGGTCGATGGCGGTGGTTTAGAATCATGGTAGTATGATTGAGCGGAGCCAGGTCGTGGTAGCGGCTTGCTTTCCCGATCTTGAATATCCAACGACGACCGAGAAAGTACGTTTTGTTTCTGGAAAGTTGGAGGCGGCCCACGATTAGCGGTCGTTCGTCGAGTCACAGCAGGTAGTGCTAATCCGCTAGGGATGTCGTTGAAGCTTGGAGATGGAAGAGGCTTGTCCAGCATGGCTTTCGAAACCGGCCTCGGCACTGTCGGCTCTCCTGGTGCGTCATACGGCGTAGGAGTTGGCTTCGTTGTCGACGGCGGTAGTTCCTGCACTCTTCTCCGCGCCAGCTCAGCGTCCCGACTGCCTGCAGCCAGCGAAGCACTCGAATACCCCGATCCAAGCCTCCCTCCCCCTCCTGCCGTCTTCATTAACACCTCTCGATCCTTGCGGGGGCTTGTGGGAGACGAAACAACCCGCGGCGTCGCCTGGACATCATACGTCGAGCCTGTTGCAAACTTGGCATACAATGGTGGAGGAGCTACGGACGATGCCAATGTCACTGGCCCAGAGATGGTTGGTGGACTTCGGACCTCCTGTTTCGTCTTTTTGCGAAGGAAACCAGCCATCGCCGTTCAGCTACTGCATGCAAGTCGTGTCGGTCGTCAGAGGGCTGGCAGACGAAGGCAGACCGTCAGAGAGAGCAGCCTCGAGGCCGCAAACATCAAGTATTACGGAAAAAAACCTCGATTCGTAGCAACAAATGCTTCCACGGTTGTTTGGGGTAAGCCGCTGATGATGGCTTTTGTTCTTGACCGCCACTCTGTCGCCGGACGTTCAGGTCAGTGAACAGAATGGCAACGACGAACTCTAACTTACAACAGCTTCCAAACCCAGGATTCAGTTTTCAAGCCGCTGTTGGATGGTGGCAGTGAAGAGTCGAGTCTTGGCTGCGCATGATCATGACCAAGGTAATGATCAAGTTGCCCATCTGAAGTTCGTTCTCATTAGCCACTATGTTGTTGTCGACAGGGAATTGGTTTTCTGCCGACGAAGTCGCGCATATTCCTCCGGAGTCGGGGTGATTTGATGTATGTTCGGCGGTATGTCCCTAGATTTGTCTGCTTCAAACTGAGGGGCCCGTCTCGCTGAACCTTCACATTTGACATCAGCTTCCGTTAACACATAGCGCCTGCCAAAGTGCGTATGATCAGCGAAAAGCAACTTTGGGTACCCCAGAAGAAGCTTCATCAACTGCGAACTCTGGTCCTGCCGTTTGCCAAGGATCTCCCTTCAATCCCCATGTCGAAGTTATTGCGAGACACGACGTTTAATGTGAGCAATGGAACCGGTTCTATGTTAAGGTTCTGACAGTTTCTCTCGCAGCCAGCCTTTAGAAATGAACAGCTGATAACGGCATCGAAGACTTGGAACGAAGTTAAGAGTGAAAGAAGTGGCTATATGCGCCCCAAATGCTAGGAATATAGCAGGTTCGTAATCTCAGGCTATCTTGGTCACAGTGCTCACAAAGACGTCTGTCTCTTACTTCATAGAGCTGCACCTATTCTCCTTTACTCCAAACAATCTGTTCTGACCGACGTTCTGTCTTTGGATTACCATCTCATTTCCTCGACATTCTTTCAATTGCCTGGGTACGATATCTTCCGGCGAAGACTGTTGCGACATCTGGTTTCTAAGGTCACATTTTGCCGATGTATGTCCACCGAAGCTTTCGGATTTTTTTTCTTTCGACATATGGCCTACACATTGCCTTAGTAAAACTCTGAAGCTTCCGTTAATCTGATTCATGACAAATCTCGTAGACTGCCGAAATTATTCTTCAACAACCGTAGAGACCGGGTGTCAGCTTGCAGACTGTCGACCAGGACAATAGAGCGGTGGTGAAAGGATTAGAAGGATGACGAGAGAGGGCCAAAGACGATCAAAGAAGATGCAGAGAGCTTGCCTTTTTGCAGGATAAAAGCCTTGGAGTCCACGTTCAACTCTAGGCAAGACGATGTCCGCGTAGGCACTCTCCGTTGCTGCTCCTTCCACCGGCTGATTTGTCTAGATCTTGGATAAGCTATGGATGCAAACGACATCTATATCTTCGTTGCCACCCGTCCCTTCCGATCAGACTGAATACAGGGACGAGTGCCATGAAGAATTATCTGCTCGTCGCTCAAGACATGTTCGGGATCCTGAAGGCAGGCACTAGGACCGAAGTCACAACCTGTTAGAGCCTACTGAAGCGACAGAAGGGACCTGCAAATCAGAATTGTACACTGTTCGAGACGGAACTGCGGAACGTCACGGCATGCTTGCATGCAGTAGGACACCGGCACTGGGGTATTTTGTGCAATATTGAATCCTAAACTATTATCTGGCGCTAAAGCTTCTATGTGGTAGGCTGTTCGAGGCTATCCATCTGAAGGCGGCAGATAGCCCTAAATGCGAAGGGAAAGGCCAGATATCGACGCGATAAGCGCCGAGTACGCCGCCCGACAGGGGCTGTTGCTCGATAAACCTTACGCACAATTAGAACCCCGCTAGAATAAGGGAGCTAAGAGAATATAAAGAAGATAGGACTGTCAGATTGTGCTTCACCTACACCCATCATCTTGCAAGAACGCCCATAGTAGTGGGAGACCTCGTGTCCCTATAGGTGACTCTACCGATGGGACATCTCGAGCTCGAAGGGCGGCCGGCCCGGCGCGTGCGACAGAAGAGAGGCACACCGAACAGGAAGGACCGAAGATTCCAGCTGATGAGACGAGAGCAGAGCGCGAATTGCGATATGCGATGTCGGCTATGTATATTGCGTTCTATGGAAGAGAGGGTGCAACAGAGCATTTATGAGTATTGGCCCCAACCGCATTTCATTCAGGCACCAGTACCTCCTCGCCCAAGAGGGGTGGCGCCAGGATGGGCGGTTATGGACGCACGAGATGGGAGGGGGTCGGTCTACTACTCTTGGTGACGAGACAGGCATATTTGGATGCTGTACATAATACCGAACGCTATTGTTTTGTTAAGTTCTTGATACCATAACTCTCGACCTTGCAATATTTTTCGAGTAACGGTTGATTGCATTTTCGATGATAATAGCAATGTCACCGTATTATCTTTCTGAACACATGTATGTGTGTATTGTGACTGAACTGCGAGTGCAGTGTCACAGATGCTACCCGCGCAGGCCATAAATAGAAGGGGGACTACCTTATTTGGGTAACCGGTGATGCCGGTCGGCCAATCAGGAGCTGTGCCGGAGCTGTGCGCCTTGCTCCGCAGCAAACCTTATACACAAATAGAACTCCAGTAAGACAACGAGGCAGGGAGGATATGGATATAAGATGTGGCAATCGAGTAGCAAGCTTCGCCCACAACCCCTTCCTTGGCTCCTAGCCATCATGACCGCATTTCCTCCAAATCGCCCTCCGCCCGATGCAGGGCAATCCACGAAGCCTCATAACGCTGGAATTGCTGACGGAAGTCTTCAGGATAGACAGACGGCTGATCCGCAGCCGGAACGGGAACAGACTTCGGTCGCCCGAGGCGACGCCACACTATCCTCACCGACCCTTTCCTATCGCTCGACAACTCTTTCTTCATCTTTGTCGAGTATTTCGTCCGATCGACCGACTTCCGGTTCACACAGCGCTGTCGACAGCCAAGTGGAAGGACCACCACCATACACCGATACTCTCATTGCTGAGCCCATCGACTCTACATCTGACGCTCCACAAGCGCCAAACGATTTCTCGTCATGCCCGGGTTATGTTGAAGAAGCGATTACCACAGGTGATGGGAGCATCGATCGAGTTGCACTTCCTTGTGATCACCACAATCCTCGCTGCGAGGCGCTTCGAAACGATCTTGCCGCGCGAGCCTTTGAGGACTTCATGCCCCAGGCGGGCCCCATTCCAGTCTACGGCGATCCTTCAAACGACAGAGGCCCTCGCACCTCCAGCAGGGGAAACACGGGTCCAGCAGCAGGATCCTGGACGATCATTGACGATCCCACAAACATGGCGTACTTTTGGAACAGTCGCACTGGCAATTTACTCTCCGCTTCTCTATCAGGCATCAGGGATTTTAACTTCTTATACACTGCCGAAAACCCTTTCGTTAACCATCGAGACTCAGTGCATGAAGGAGTGACGACGACCCCAATGACACAGGCAGAGGCCCAGGCGTTCCGGGAATCAATGCAAAGGACCACCGAGCACATTCAAAGGGATATGGAGCGAGCTCAGAGGGAAGCAGAGAGGGCACGGAGAGACGCCGAAAGACAACAGAGGCAGGCATTTGAGCAAGCGCAGAGGGAGATGGAGCAGGGTATGCGCCAAGCGGAGCAACAGATGAGGGAGGCGCAAAGGAGAACCGAGCATGAGCTGAGGCGTGCGATGGGTGAGATGAATCGCGGAATGGGCGAAATGAATCGTGGACTGCACCGCACTTTTTCCCAGTCCCAGTGGCCGAGATGGGGCGGTTGGGGGAGGCACTACTAGACCTTGAGGAAGGAGCCGTGAAGATGGCGAGACACTTGGTCTTCCAGTTGGCCAAAGGTCTTCTTCGGCGTAGTCCATGTAACGATTGTACAGATATGTTTTCTTGCATAAATGAATTGGAGCAGTGACTTTATGACGAATAACAAGGACTCGGACGCACTTTAGCTTGACCTGTCGTTGCTTCGAATAACGGGAAGTCGAGACATGGCCAAAATTGGAAGTGGTAGTCGCATTTTTAAAAGGCAATCATCAAAGGCTATGGTGAATAAGACGTCGTCTTGGAAGTAGGCGCTTATCCCAATTAGGTCATGCCATTACTTTATTCTTCCTTTTCTACCCCCTGTTCGAGAACAAAAGAAATGAAGACAAAGCGTAACAAGACATGACCCTGATTTTGCGACGCTGGGTATAAAAACTTGAAATTCAAGACGACATTATCCACACCGCAGACAGATATTCTCCACCAGCTCTACGCCAATCCTAACATCCTTCTCGCCATCCATCAACACCCCTCTGCATCGAATTCGAGATGAAGGTCACAAATAGCGTCATCATCTCCGGAGTTAACAATAGCAACAATTACAATTCCTTCGGCGTCTCTGGCTCGTCCCTCCCAGCACGATCCTACCTTCCGTCCAATATCGAGCTCTACGGAAACTCCCAGATTATAACGGCCGACCCGAAGAGGCCTGGAGGCTATGTGGTGTACACGGCCGAGAACCCACCCCCACCCGCGCGCCAGGAACAAGCAGCCAAAGCGACTCTTTCCAAGCCTACATCGCCTCCCGAGCACAAGAACCCAGAGGAATCTGCTGCTTCTGAGTCATCCCACGAAGACGAGGTCAAGTCCACTCTGAAGTCAGACTCGCAGGACGCCGACAAAGCGTCGAAGCCAGAGAAAGAAAAGGAAGGCACCAAAGCACATTTCCTCAGAAAGTTGAAGGACGACATTCATCGAAAGTGTTGCAGGCATCCACAGGAGCATTTTGGCTCTGGGTCGGAAAGCAGGCTGTCTTCCAGCTCGCCTGCCGCGCGAGAGGGAAACAAGCCCTGTACTCCGTTCGTTAAGCCTGGGCCCGACGCATCCGACCCGACTAAAGGCTGCGTCGTTGTCGGGGCATCGATCTCGAAGAATAGCAACAATACCGCAGGGTTCTTTGTGAACAACGCGTAGACAAGTGTTAGACTGCCTAAGTTAGATATCGAAAATATAGCATTTGGTTTCTTCGAGCCCTGAATACAACGACCGTATTAATGAATCTTGAATAATTTTGTCGAGGAATGCACGCACTTTTGACAAGACATTATAACAATAGCGCTTGGGCCATAAATGGGAATTTCTTCTCGATTTGGGCAACAGGCACAAGATGTTTGGACAGCCACCAGCAGCGCATTGGGTCCGTTATGCACGCTTAGGAGGCTGACAAGGCGTCCATTCCACTCCCAAGCGCGCCGCCTTTCCCCAATTTGTACAGTGGTACGGTCATCATTCTATAAAAACCCAGAGAAATGGGGTGTCCACATACCCTTATCCCCAGCGTTCTTTCCATCTCGTAGCCTCCATGACAGCTTTCGACCCGACGAAGCTTGCTGATACCCAGTCGCACCCAGGAGAATCGCCCGCTGGCAATACCGCAGTATCGTCGAACCCCAAATCTCCAGAACAGAAAGCCGAACAGCCTGAAGGTCAGACGCCTTCGTGCCCTGGCTACTTCAAGGAGACAGTCTATGCCGGCGGCGACGTCCTCGAGACCGTCGGTGTACCTTGCGACCACGATAACGACCGCTGCAAGAGACTCCGCAACAAGCTCGCCGCTTCGGAAGCTGGTTTTGAATCTAAAGGCGCTTCCCGTCCCTATATCGTCAATAACGTCGATTGCGGCAACACCACGATCACGACGCTCTCCAACATCGGCCAGGACAATAGCAAAGTGTATGTCCGCCTCCCTAAGGGACTGCCTCGCGATCGCGAGAGAGAACCGACCCCAAAGCCAGGAAAGGACGCTGCCAACTCGAGGTGCGCTGAGGAACAGGACCAGTCGTCGACGGGTGATGCCTCTTGCCCAGGATACAACACTCGGGTCATCTCTAAACGCGACAGCACTTGCGAGACTCTGGTTAGCCCTTGCAAGCACGACAACAAGCGCTGTGAGAAGCTTCGGCGAGACAAGTTTGGGGAACGCAAGCGCGACGACAGCACCAACTTGAAGAAGCCTTCTCAGCGGCCATCTCAGAGGTCTTCTCCCGATTCTGAGGAAGCCAGACGCGGCACTGCTGGACCTGGAGGGCATAATTTCAGTTACGGATATGGCTACGCTCCTGCACCACCTTACGCACCAGGATGGACCTCCTCCTACGCTCCTTATCCTTACGGGGCCTACACCGCTGCAGGCGCATACGCATACGCGGGATACGGAGGGTTTGCCAATGCCACTACGGTGACGAGCATCGGCAGCAACAACGTCTATAATCATGTCATCAGCAACGTCGGGAACATCAACACCGTCGAACGAGAAGGCGGCTACTCTGCGAAGGACCTAGCTTCAGCCGACGAAGGGCGCCGCATAAGGGACGAAGGGAAACGTATAAGAAAAGAGGCGAAGCGCTTGAGAGAGCAGGCCAGGAACGTGCATGAGGGTGAGCGGATGCCATACTACCCTCCTGCGCCTGGCTGGGGCGCGTATCCAGCATACGGGATACCGTCGGCGTATAGTGCGCCTTCGTCTCCGTTCCCGCCGCCCCCATCTCCGTATTTCAACGAGCCAGGCCCGAGCCAGTGGTACGGAGCTAGCCCTGGAGGCAGCGGATTCGCTGGCGATTCTGCTAACGTGAACTTGGGAGGTCCTAGCTCGGGCTCGAGTCGTGCTGGAGGCTTCGCACACCTCGAAGGAAATATCAACGGAAAATATGTGAATAGGTTTGAGGAGCTTTGATTAAGTGGTCGTGATCTTTATTTCCGCTCTTTGTGAGCCAAGAAGCTTGTGACGTATGAACAGTCGACGATTATTAGGATCTTAGTTGTTCAGATAATGCTCCTGCCTGAATAGAGTATATTTATAAAGTTATTGAAGTCGGCAAAAGAAAGCAACTTACAGTCGAGTTGGTCAAAGTTGCAGAGTCAGTCCCGACCTCGTCAAGATTCTTGGTCCTTGAGTTTCGTCGGATTTTAACTGTTGGATGCCTCACAATTATCCTGCATGGTGCTAATGAAAGAATACAACGGACCTCTTTCCCCCCATCCAGTTATCACACTCATTGGTTGGAGCCAAGCCGTAGTGGGTCATTTGAACATTTCACATTTCACACCACGGGCGTTCGAACTGCGCACGGACCAGTCCAAACTGAACATGCGTTTGAAGATGCTGCTTGTCGAATATCGAGCTGAAAGCGAACGATGGGAACGTAGTTTGCGAATCGACAGCCATAAAAATCATATATATTCAGGAGAAAAGGCGCCTCCGAGCCAACGGTCGACAGGGGGAACGGGCCACAATCGAACACGAACAACCTGCAAGGTGACCTAGCTACGAAAAAGAAAACCCTGAGCACTATCGAAAGCATCAAGAGCAGCCACACACCAGGATCCGGAACCTCCAAGGAAAGGGAGAGGCCAGAAGGTGCGACGATTGCGTTGAAAATGACGGTGGTACCGGGGAGGGTGGAAGGGAAATGTAGGAGCCGAAAATGAGGTTGAAGGCAGACCCGGAAAAACTAACCAGGCAGCAGGTGCATAAGAAAAAGGACACATGAGTAGTAGTCGATAGGAGAAACAAGAAAGAGAGAAAGTAGAATAAAGGCGTAGAAAAGGTGAACGAGTAAAATAGTGGAATATCGTAACGATGGGCGGCCACCAGAACTCGTAGTACACACAATCATACAGAAGATCATACAATGTTCTGTGTACACACTTTGGGATTTACCGAAAACAATTACGGAAAGCAATGAAGAACGCAGACGGGTGAAAGAGAAGTTGAATATCGGGAGGTGGTAAGGATACGGGAAGTGGTGGGTGAAAGCAACAACGACAGCATGGCGACGGGGATTTTGCGACGGGACGGGGGAGGATGGTTTCGACGCGAGTTCGTTTGTTTCGTTTCATAAGAATAGATATGCCAAAACATCGTTACACCAAGACAGAGGAGACAGATTCCAGATGGTACATCGCGTTGGTATCCATGCCAGTCACCCTAACTGTGTACTGGGAGGAGGGTTCATGCGGAATAGTTGAGGATGAGGGGTGTTGTCGAAGGAACGCAGACGGGAAGGCAGGATGGTGACGCGAGGAGACAAAACTGCGGAAGGGTCCTTAGGCCTAAAAATGGGTACGCGAACGTCAATTCCAGACAACCAACGAGGTTTAAACGAGGAATACAAACCTCAACGGCGGCAGCAGCCTCAGCTTCAGGTTCTTCGGCAATAGTTTCATCAACCTTAGCGGCGCCAGCTGCAGCGGGTGGTTGCGCCTCAGCCTACGGAACGTAGGTCAGCCCCATGTTGAAACAGGAGAACATTGCCAGACCACACAAGTGGCAGTAACGACCAGCAACAGCGGGATTAACGCCTAGCCTAGAAGGGAGGACATACCTTGGACGCAGGCTTCTTCGATCCCGCACGCGACACAGGTTTGGCTGAAGCAGCGCGGGATGCAGGCTTCGAGGCAACCTTGGACGCGGGCTGAACAGATGCCTTGGACGCGGGCTTAGCAGACGCCTTAGAGGCGGGCTTGGTAGCTGCTTTGGAAGCAGGTTTAGCGGCGGGTTTGGCCTTAGAGGCAGGCTTAGCCTAAGAGAAGATTGACTTGTATGAGTATCAACCGTTCGCGGATAGATCAACCCAAAGACGAACCTTCTTAGCCGCAGGCGCCTCCTCGTCTCCGTCCGCGCCATTTGGCTCTTCAACGGCTTTGCGCTTGGTCCCCTTGGTGGATTTGGGTTTTTCTTCCTTATCCGTACCCTCCTTGTCGGCTTTCTTCGCTCTAGGTTTCGCTGGGGCCTTCTTGGGCGGTTCGGCCTTTGGCTGCTCCTTGATACGGCTCGAGCGACGAGGCTCTGTTCCCGATTCAGTAACTGATGCTGCGGCTTTGCGAGGCATTGTAAAGGTGTGGGCGCTAGGCGGGAAAAATAGGAAAAATGGGGGAGATGAGAAAGACGCGTTCGGAATCGAAATCAACGAAACGACTTTGTTGACGGACCAAACAAACTCTCGTCACGTGTACCGCGTCCAATCACATGATGCGACTGTTCGCGTGAACTCACTAAAACTCCGCCGCCAGTGGCCTCTCTTCCTCTAATTTCCAACGATTATTTTTGCCTTGACTCGTCGCCAGAATATCTAAACAATGTCTTCTACGCTTGGTGGAAATAATCGACGGTCTCTTGAGCGACTCAGTCCTCAAAGCCATAAATTATCATGAACGAGAAATTCAGAAGAACTTACCCAGGCAAGGACTTGGAGTTTGCGGCGTACGCTTTGTCTTAGGTGAGGCATATGTTTAAGAGTCAAATATCTAATCTCACAAGTATCAATCCCCTGGAAGTGCTCCAATGTCATGACTGGCTCTCCTTCGTCGCCTAAGTCCCCAAGAGTCCAAGTTTTCAGAGCTTCTCGTCGATCCCACTGGAGGACTCTGACTGCACTTCTGAAATATCTCAATCAATAATTTACGGTGGCTCCCAGAGGCTCAAGTGAATATAATCTGCACTAAGTATGTCCACCGCATTTTCGCTCTCCTTTCGGAACGAGGAACTTGTTCACTGAACCTCTTTGAAGCATGTACATGGCTGTCGGGCAGGATCGTATTCAACGTTATAGAGCCATTGGCATGCATAACTCATGCATCCAAGTCCGTGACACCCGCCCACCGGCGATGGTGTGTTGGCGTCCTGCACTACATCTCCGCTTTGCGCACCCCGACGCTTTTCCGCACTGAGAAATGGCACCATCCAGCCGCTGAGCGCAAAAGGATGGCGAACGGGAGTTCAAGACGTCTGGTGCTATTAGAGGTCGTCTTTAATCGGCACAATGTCCAAGAACATGGGAGTGACAGTGAGTGTATCCGAGCAAAGATGGGGAGGCAATTGAGCCTTGAGGCTGATTGTCAACTCGAGTTAGGTTGACTTTTATCCAGGGCTGGGTGAAGTCGAATTGACACTGGTTATCTAGACGTGACTTGGCAACACGCCTTCCAGTCGTTTCTCGGTTAAACCCAACAAGGGGCAGCCACACAAATGGAGCCATCCTTCAGTAAATTAAACAGAAGAAGCTCGCAGCTCGACAGATCATGGGAGAGGTTTGATGCCGCTTCCTTACACCCGGTAGGTTTCACCGACTCGGATTCGCTAGATAACTGACCTCACTTGATGCAGATAACTTATGCCCAACAGCGCCCGAGGTCAGGGCATCCCCACTAGTGAGCGTCCCAGAGGAAAATAGGTAATCGCAGAAAGCGTACATAGGCTGATCCTTGCTTGTTCGACGAAAGGCCGCCCAAACCTTCTCCTTGAAAGTATCGCTCTGGTCGATTGGACCTGGGAAAGGGCGCTCATGCAGATTCAGTACTCGACTCCTCCCTCTATGGGGTATATGTCACGGAGCATCTCTGGTAGAATGCGCAGTCGGCCAATGTAGAGCATCGTTCTTCTCCCGAAAGATTCAGTTTACTTGTACATATCCACTTTAGTGTTTGTGGCTCATTCTAAAAGTGCAGCGATATTCCACTAGCCACGTCTTCTCATGCCTCATTGCCCTGTCATACGGCAAACCGGTATGTAAGAAGCACGATCAAAAGGAGCAGCCTACATCGCCTGCCTTTCCACTGACTGGTTTCCAGTGCGTCAGTTAGAAGTGAACTTTTGATGGTATTTTGCATTCTAATTGAAGACAGCTCGGCACAGTTGACACCTTTGTCCTGGCCGAACCGAATGTTTGTGGAGCAGCTGCGCAGGGTCTCTGACTCTCTGTCCCTTCAGATAGCAGTTATGGATGTTGACGAACATCGTTTCGCGGAGGTTAACTTGCTGCGATGACGGTCCACAAACCGCTTGTTCTTGGCCATCGGCGAGCCGATAGATAAACAGCCAGAGAATCTAGGACTTCAGATGTGTACAGGCAAGGGAGGACAAGACAATGTCAATCAACGATCCATCAAAGACGTTGAATTCCCGAGCTCCGTGCGTCAAATTGAAGTGATAGTGAGTCACTGCGAGGAAGCATCTTCGAGGGCTCCATGCTGGGACTTCTATCAGACCTGTATCATGGCTTGAAGACAGTAACAATTCGAATAGTGGCGCAAAGAAGATTCTATTGTTGGACAGCTTGATTTCACAAAAATGATGGGTCAAGAAGGGCGCTTATTTTCTTTGCTTCCAAATTATGAAGTAGACCCGTTAATTTGATGTCGCTCTCCCTACCGTCAAGCCCTCTCGTTGGTGTCTGGATCGACAGTGCTAGTGAACCGATGTGAACCAGATCCGAGTACGTTTTACGGTGAGTTCGGATAATGCATGAAGACTTCCAAATAACTTCCAGTCAAAATGTACAGCTGACCTTTGCGCTCCCATCCCTCCTGAAAATTGATTGTCCAGCTCGGCGTCGAAAAACCGTGTGCGATACAATCGGGGCCTTCAGGGGCCGATGTAGTCGAACACCAATGAACGACAGACTTCACCGTATTCACCGTATGCTCCGGGCGGAGGGAGGAAACGGCCAATCCAGAGTGCAGCCAGATCACCACAAAGCAAGGGGATCCCAGGGCACCAAGCCTTTTCCCCACAAAGATGACATCAAGCGCATGTGCACCGTGCGCCTCACATCCAAATACGGCCGCTTGGCGAGACCTGGGCTGCGCCTCACGGTAGCTCACCGTGCACGAAATCAACGGCGCGTGATACGTTCGGCGGGCGGCATAGGTGGATGAATGGACTGAGTGGGGTAATGCGGCTATGGAGGGGGATGATGGTCGTGCGCTATCGAGATATGTATGAATGGAAGCACACGGACGAACACCACGGGCGTTCTTGGCGTGTCAGAACCATGGGGCAATGCTTTGACCGGAGAAGGGTATTCTATGAAGGGCTCGATGAGTCGAACGTATCGTCGACCCTTGACTCACTGAAGGCAAAATCACATTCACATATCGATACTTGATCATTACACACCGACGTACAGCATATTCAGCGTGCTCCAACGGGTGAGAGATGAGAAATGGATGGTTCTATTAGTGGCAAATGCGTAATTCCGTCATGAAAGTATGTATGTAGGAGCACGCCAGAAGTTTACAATTACACCGACACTCTTGAGCCCCAGGTGCTCCAGAGGAATTAGTTCGTGAACAGCATACGGTAGATACGGATGTAGAGCGGGGCGCGCTTCCGCTCAGCACGGTATTCGCGCATCTCCTCAGCGGTGAGCCAACTCTTGCGGCCGGTCTGAGAAAGACGTTCATTAGGTGGTGTTAAGAGTGATGAGGAAAGGAAGCTCACATCGAGATCGATCTCGTGGGCACGTTGAGGGAGGGTACGTTTCCAGGCGTAGCCGATGCCATAGAAGAGGATCATGACGGGGAAGGCGAGGTAGGCAGCTAGACGCATCTCGCTGTTAGCTACTTCCAAACAAGAAGACAAGGGTCAACGTACAGAAGAATCTCTCAGCGACCTCCTTGGGGTCATCGGACATGCCGCCAATAGGCCAGATGGCGATGTAGAATTGGGCGATAAGGACGATGATAATGAGGGTGACACCGAACCAGGAACCGTAGACACCACCGAGAGCCTGGAAAGGGAGCTCCTCGATGGAGTGGCCTTGGACTTCCCAAGCGCGGCGGAAGCGTATGCTAGAATAAGAGGTAAGAATATGATCAAGTATTGGTGAGCGATATAGACGTACTGGCACAAGCAAATAGCGAGCCATGTGAAGAGGGTCGAGAGACCTGACAAGGCGAGGAGCCAGTTGACTAATGAAAGTAAACAGGGTCAATAAACATAATTAAGAAGCGGCCGAACAAGCTACGCACAGACGACATCTCCGGCGGCAACGACGTTGACGTAGGCGAGAGCACCCCAGATGAGGATGGCGATGACGGACCAGAGAGGGCGAGAGGACTTGTCAACGTAGGCGAAGACCTTGGGGGCATATCCAGTCTCAGCCAGAGCAGTGAGAGTACGCGATCCAGCGTAGACGCAGGAAAGACCGATCGACAACACGGAAATGCAAATGGTGATGTTGACGAAGTCTACATGCTCCGATAAGGGTTCCGCTAATTCCTAACGGAGGAAGCAACTTACGGTTGAGACCCCTGATCCTGGCGTTGTCAAGAGCAATGACGAAAGGAGACGCGTTGGCACCACCACCTCCGAAAAGGCGTGGCTCATCGTAAGGAATGAGCAGGCCGATGATGGTCAAGGAGGTGACGTAGATAATGGTAATGCGCCAGAAAGTACCCTTGACGGCGGCGGGCATAGTCTTGCGGGGGTTGGGGGTCTCAGAGGCAGCGAGACCGACAAGCTCAGTACCGGCTGAACTATTTGGTCAGAGATAGGCATGAAGGGACTAGCAGACGCAAAGACTGACCGAACGAGAAGGCTGCAGTTACGAACACGGAGCAGACACCCTTGAAGCCGTTGGCGAAGCTCCCGGGGTTGCTCCAGAAGCGACCGCCGATGTACTCATCGTACATGCCACCTGAGGGACCGCCACCGCAAATGCAGATGCTGGAATACGATAAGATCACGGGATGTGGCGCAAAAAAAGGACTTGTACTCACACGCCAATGAAGATGAACATGATGACGACGAAGAGCTTTAGGCAGGACGTCCAGAATTCTTCTTCAGCAAAACCGAGGGTTCCGAATACGCAGATGATAGCTAGAGAGGGTAACACATGTTTGAAACGAGGGTGAGCGAGACATAAGAAAGGACGTACTAATGACGATCCAGAATATCGTGATCCACCCTGCGATATGCATGATATCTTCACCCCAATATTGTACCGTTTGGCCGGCGACCGTGATTTCTAGTGGTAGTACGACAGCCCATTGGAAAACGTAATTCCAGCCCATAGCGAAAGCGAACGAGGGATCCAAGAAGCGAACAGCCAGAGTATAGAAACCCCCAGAGACGGGGAAGAGAATCGACATTTCACCGATAGCCTGGGTGACGTTGATCAACATGATACCGATGAGAATCCAGGCGATGAGGACACCGGCCGGGCCACCGTTCTGAAGAGCGTTTCCGGAACCGACGAAGAGACCAGTACCGATACTGCCACCTGTTTAAGGGTTAGTACGCAAGGAAAGACGTGAGGAATGGAGGTTACGAACCGACAGCGATCATCTGAAGATGCCGGGGCTTCATCTTTTGTTGCAACATGGGAGCATCAGCGAGGACGCGCTCCAAGTCCTTGACATTGTTTCCTCCCGCAACGACTTGACCACTGGAAAGAGCGTTAGTCGAGAAGAAAACAGCGAGCGTTGGAAACCTACCCAGTAGTTCCTGGGGCGCGCTTGAAACTCTCGAAATTCAGGCCGAGACGTGTGAGGCGGGACTCCTTCGACGGGTCGTAGAACTCATATCGGGGGCCCGACGCTGAGCGGACGCTCTCGGACTCGACGTCCTTCTCGTGTTTGGAATCCATCACGGCGGAAGGAGGGGTGGAGAGGAGGGTGGACAGAAGTCGTGTCGCCCGCTGATATTTATCCCAGCCGAACTGTCATAGCCACCACGGTGATCGAGGTGGTGGTGGACCCCATGCGTGCGATAAGGCTGGCTGCAGCCGAGTCGAACCCCAAGGGCATCTTTAGCCTCTAAGGGTATCTTGGAGTTGCAGGAGATCTCATCACCAAATTGAAAATGATCCTGAATGGTAAACGAATCAGTTTGGTGCACACGACCCCGTTTGGAGCGTCGCCCGCGAATACGGCATCCCAGCATGTGAGCGGAGGATCGAGATCCCTCCGCCTTCGATCTTACAGAATTGTGGTCCCCTTGGCTATGTTCAACCCACCAAAATTTCTCCCGGTTTCTTATCACCAGGATAAGGACTGTATCGGGAGGTGCCTTGCAACCACATGGAGGAGATATGGTGTCTGATTAGCCACCTGCCGCATTCTCGAACCTCGGATACAGAAAGGCGCCTCTCGTTTCGATCCCGAATACCGTCGAGCCCGCAGCAGCAATCTGGGTCAGGATGCCCTAGAACGATGAGAAAAACATGAGTGAAATGGGTAGGCCTCAGGAAAAAAATTTCCCCACAAAAACCCCGGAAGCAAATGACAGGATTCCCCAGAATGTCGTGCTCGGAGATGGTGGTCAGGACGAAGAAGGAAAAAGGGCGAAACCCGTATTTGCGATTACCGTTGATGGCAAACACCTGGAAAAACTTGGCGCCTGTGACGCCATGTGGCACCTCTCGGGCGCCAAGGAAACATTCGTGAGATATGGACAAAAGTGACAACTTGCCAAACTCTGTTCCCCACAACCTGATAACATGTGACTATAAAGCTCCTGTAAAGTCGACAGGACCAGGCATTGACGACGGTAAGGTGGTCTTGGAGGTCGCTGGAGATCATCGTCTGCAACGTGCATAGCCTGTGGTCCGTTCCTGTTCATGCTTTGGACGGGGCTTGGAAGTGAACGTTTGAACACCCATTGTGGTTTTCCCATGTGGTGGCGGGTTAGTGTCATCTCGCTTACTCAATTGTCCTGTCTCGACAGGGTATCTGGGGTCTGTGGACCCGGCCCGGATGTATCTTGTCCTCCTCAATAAAAAAATAGTTACCCACTTTCGAAAGGCCCAAATTTCTTTTATGAGTTACTCCGTCTCATTTGTGGCATTTATACCATAATACTTCCTACCGAGGGACCCTTTAAAACGTGAACAGGGAGAAAAACCAACTCGAAAATCACAATTTGGCGCTGTCTCCCACGGTGAAAAGGCGCCCGTCAGCGACTTATGCCAGCAGACAGCCACAGAACAATACCCCGGGAACCGCAGAAGAAACGAGTGATTTGATTGAGGAGCCTCCGAGCCATATCGCGAACCAGTTCAAAGAAGCCCACGCCCACCTCCGTTATCGGAAGCCTATTAATTAAGTCTAGTCTTCCGGTCGAGAGTGTCCTGCACTCCAAAAAAAACTTGTCAAAGGAAAGGACACCGCTGGACTCAGAACAATCGAGAAGACCCCACCGAAAGTAGGAGGAACGTCAACGGAAAGGGCACCTTTTTTACCCCTGACATCAGCATCGGAAACCAATGGCTCCGTGTAGATTTAAACTGACCGGTGGTACTGTGGTGGCAACTTGAATGTCCTCATCGCCTTCGATGTCAAGAATCTGGCAGGAACACAGTCTCCTTCAACTTAATCCCGAGAATTGAGGAAGCGCACGACGTCCACCAAGTACAATCGTGCTTCTGAAAATCCACCTCCGACACAGCTTCAGAAATTCCTTGCTCCTCCAGATGCGTCTCGAAGCTCGATTAGGTCGTTCCCATTCAAGCAAGCCGGTGTCTATTGCCATCGAAGGCCAAGGGAAGGCCGCATTAGGTCGCCAAGGTACGTCGGGAGGCATATCTGTGGCGCGTGACTCCCGATTTATGGGTCCGTGTGGTTCGAAAGGCTTGTCTATTTCTTGGGAGTTGCACGCTAACACGCTCTTTCAAAGTTGTTCAATTGACCCGCATTGACGTACTCATGGTAAGTCTATTTCTGTACGCGAGCGAGCTTATGGCTTCTCCCTGAAAGACCAATGTAGGGACAGTGATATCCTGATCGATGGAACCCCCTTCCAGGCGTTTCCTCCTCTTTTACACGGGTGCTTTCTACGTATGTATACTATTTACTTATGATTACTTGTATATGTGTAAGCGCCGAATGATGAAGTCGCAACGGCGGGGATGCCCGAGATCGATAGAACGCCTTCCTGGATTTTTTTTGGCGCGCACTTCCAGGCGCCTGTACGGTATTTCGACCCCATGATACGCCCATATTTACTTGTCTTTACTTGTGTGTATGTTGCTGCAAGAGAAGGCACTGTTGCCGACCAGAGTTTCCCCTGGACACCCGATTCACCGGTCCGAACTAGCGCAGATATGACGCCGTGAGTTCGCACAGGTCGAGGAGTCGTCTTGCCTCGACCCTCGGCCAACGATTATCCAAATGATTTTCAGGACCAGGCCGCCGAGAAACGTCGCGTCTGCAGGCCCATATAATTCGTTGAATCGAACAGGGTGTCTTATATGGCCTCCGTTAACAAGTAGGATCTTAGGGAAGAGAAGTACTTCGACCCAAATTTATAATACTGCGATTTTCGTCTGCACAGAATCAGATAGGATCCAACCGCTTTCCACGCTAAATCGGAGGAGCGAGCATCTAAAATCACCCTCCGACCAGGAAAGGGTCTATTATTTTCTATTAGGATTTTCATATCTTGGTCGGGCTGCTGATTGTCCTAAGTGGCCATTCCGTCATCTATCTTCCAACGGGATGACCGGACATTCTGAGATACTCGAAAATCTTCATACGGCGGGTAGACGCGAGCAGACCGTATCCAGCCGAGCCCATCGCACTCAACGCTCCAGATGGGGACTGCGTGGTTCCTTATCAGCTTGATGAGCACCGCCGACCGCGTTCGCGTTGCGTTTGATCTGTATCATTTGGGAAGTGTGGCCTCACCTTATCGCTCGACGAACAGTGCGTTTGAGGTGTATGAAGGAGAGCTTGGCTTGCTGGTGAGATAAGTACAAATGTATGATGAGTGCTAAATATACAAGCCTTAACAAGCAAAAGAGAGATAAGTGCATCAAGGAGTTCAAGCGCTAAGTGAAGCGAGGGATAAAACAAAGTTGTTTCAAAACACGGAAGTCGATTGGGTGAAAAACAGGAAGGAAGCGAGGCCGACGAAGCTGAAGCATGGAGTGTTGTCCTCATCCGGAAAAACGGTTCTGTGGCGCACCATCAAATGCATCCAGTTCTCTTCCGTTATCCGCTTCATTCCGGCTCCCATGGGACTCAATATTCAGACGGAATAGTACACCTCCAACTCTATTTTCCTGACATAGTTCGCCCAGCCAGGTTACTACACACCCCTCAGCTTCACCCGAAACTTATAGGAGGAAAGACTTACCATTGCTCTCGCAATAATCGCAATCCGATCCCACTTATCCAGTGCGGCGACGAACCCGTCTCCCGAACCAGCTCCCGTCGTGCCATCGCTTCCAGTCTTTCCAGGACTCTTCCCAGATGCCACATCCTCACTGTCTTCTTCAAAACGGACCTCATGCGAGGCGAAGGCGCTGGACGCCCGCACGTTGCGCTGGACATCCCATACATCCTCCCATTGCTCGGCGGGGGCGTGTGGATTGCGCATGGTGATAACGCTGTGTCCCAGTTCGCGCTCGCGCCGGTTATGTGCTATTGCTTTCTTGACGAAGGCATCTGCCTCGGGAGACGAGGTGATATATTGGGGATCTCGAATGATCGCAGCTTCGAACCATGTCCAGGACGGAATGTATAGAGCTGGGTCCACGGAATCACATCCTTTCGATGAGAAAAAGATTATCTGACTCACAGGGACTAGAGTTATCGTCGCACCATCCCTGATCATGGCTCTCCAACTTGACGTGAACTTCTCGTACCTTGAAGAACTCACTGTCTATCCACTTCGCAACGTGGGCGTGAGGACAAGGACCTCAGCCGAAATGTACTTGTCTCTGTGGCGCGCGTAGATCATCTTGCCTGTCTCATCGTCGGCCTGGAAGCTCGTGCTGACCATCGGCCAGTAGCGCGCATGGTTGGGTATTAAGTTCGCTAGTTCTGGAGGTACACGCTCGCTGAGACGAGCCTGTGCTACAAAGACTTCGTTGGGTGTTGGAATGAAGCGAGCTGGCTCGGGATCTGAGGCTATCATCGATGTCGGTGTCAATGGGGAGGTTTCGGCTAGGCGACGTGCTTCGCACAACGATCACGGTGGGCAACGAACAACATCTGCGCCCGCATCTTTATATACAAAAGCCAGAGAATGGAAAATCGGGCGGTCCGGACCAGATCTGTAGGAGTTGGCGCTGCTTCACAGCCTTTTGTTGAGATCCGCGGAACATTATAACGGGCGAGCCACGAAGTGCAAGTATAGTGTGTCTGGTCACCCAAATCACTGTTAAATGCAATAAGGAAGTACCAATTCAATTGTCTTTATCGTATTTGCCTGTGCAGGTTACTGCGAGGTTCCGTTGGTCAGCCGGGGAGAGAGGCCACAAGAAACTGGCGTCACTCCCCCTCAGCCTCCCTGTAAGTAATTGTTATTCCCTCCCAACTCTAGCGAACTGACGAATCCGCACCGCTCCCGGCACTTGTATCGCTATGCGCTTCCGAGTCTCGACATCGTCGAAATTTTCAGATGTCCAAAGGATGTTGTGCATAGTGGAGACTTCGGACATACGAACGTTTCCCAGTATTACCCAGACATCCTATGCATCTGCTGCTTACCTTATTGCCCAACATACAACATGTCTGCGCCTCAACCGCGGATGAAAGAGAGCTTGGCTTCTTGGTGAGAAAAGTATGAATGCACTAAGAGTGTTGGATACACAACCCTTACAGGACAGCGCCATCTAAAGTATACAACGAAACAAGACATTTTCGATCCATGACAACAGCAAGCGAGGGAGATAACTGAAACCTATGAATTTATAGCAGCCAGTCTTTATGAGGAAAAAGGGGTGTTGTGGCGCACCATCAAACAAATTCAGTGCTGTCCGTCACATTGCTTTCATACGGAATAGTACACTTCCACTTCTATTTCCTTGACGTGATTATCCCAACGAAGTTTCTAGACGGAATGCCTGAGCTTCAGCCAAGACCTGATATATCAGGAACAACTTACCCTGGCTCTAGCAATGACCGCAATCCGATCCTCCTTCTGCAGGGCACTGACGAACCCATCTCCGGAGCCAGCACCTGTCATGCCATCGTTGCCAATCTTTCCTGGAGTTTTTCCGGATGCTACGTCGTTGCTGTCTTCTTTGAAGAGGATTTCATGCGACCTGAAGACGGACGAAGCACGGACGTTCCGCTGGATGTCCCACATGTCCTCCCCCAGCCCGGCGGCAGCATGTAGATTAGGCACGGTAATAATACTTGACTTTGTTTCCTGTCCGCGGCGGCTTTTTTCTAAGGCTTTCTTGACAAAGGCATCTTCTTCAGGAGTTGAGGCGGTGTATCTGGGATCACGAATGATCGTAGCTTCGAACCATGTCCACGACGGAAGGTATGGGACTAGTATTCATAGAATCAGCGCTCGTCATAGAAAGGAACTGATCTTCGCTTACGAGGGCTTGAGTTTTCGTCGGCCCAACCTTGGTCATGGCTCTCCAACTTGAAGCGAACCTCTCGTATCTTGAAGAAATCAAGGCCTATCCAATTCTCCATTGTCGGCGTGAGGACAAGGACCTCAGCCGAGTTAAGATTGTCTTTGTGGCGCGCAGAGATCACCTTTCCCGTGCCATTGTTCGTCGGGAAGCTCGTGCTGACCTTAGCCCAGTAACCCGCGTAGTCGAGGATATCATTCGCCAGTTCTGGAGGCACACGCTCGCTCAGGTGCGCCTGTGCTCCAAAGACATCTTCCAGGGTTGGAATGAAGCTAGGCTCTGGTCTCGAAGTTATCATCGACATCGGTTGGGGGCTTCAGCTGCGCGTGTTGCCTGCAAGGTAATCACGCTGGGAAACGGATGACATCTGGGCCGACCATGCCTCTCCTTGATATATGTTGCTCGAACGCTAACAATAGTGGCGCCACAAGACTTCTGGACAGCCTTTCCTGCCGGAATCCTCGGAATATGGACGTCAAGGGAGCTGCCGGTGCTTGGTCACATAAAGGACATGGCCGTAAGAATATCAAATGGAATAACGAAATTGTAATTCAATTCTCTTTATCGTGTTCACCCAGCCAGGAAACTGGTAAGTTCCATCACGTTGTCAGCCATTGGAAGCACAAAAAACTGGAGTCACTGACCCTCGCTCTCGCTATGATCGCTAACCTATCGCCCATCTCTAGCGAACTGACGAATCCCGCACCCCGTCCCGCACCTGTATCATCAAGCGACTCCCTTGTCTCAACATCATCGACGTTCTCAGCCGTCCAGAGGATGTCGTGTGTCGTATGGCCCTTGGATGCACGGACGTTTCTCTGGATAACCCAAACGTCCGGATCGTATGTCGATTGTGGGTTTCTGGCTGTCTGAATGCTGGGGCTCCGAGTGCTCCTGTCAGTGTTCTCTAGGAAACGCTTGATTTCAGAGTTTGTCTCGGGATTCGAGTTGGAATAAGCGGAATCTCGAACTATGGCCGCTTCGAACCATGTCCACGAAGCAGCGTAAGGTGCTGTTTGGCTGAGTCAACAACCAGAATGCTTTGCCAAGAACTGCCTGCAACTCACGAAGGTTTGGGTCCTCACCACACCATCCTTGGTCGTGGCTCTCGATCTTGATAGATAGCTCACGCATTTTCACTGGCATATCGATGCCAATCCAATCCGCCAACGTAGGTGTCAGGATCAAGACCCTTGCGGCATTGATGTTCGGGGCGTCACTTGCAGAAACCGCAACGTCTTGATGCGGCCGAAATACCGCTGTAGCTTTGGGCCAATATCGTCCTTCTTCCAGAATATCGTTGGCGAGTTCAGGTGGTACTTTCCGAAGGAGCCCGTGCCTGACATTAAATACATCTTCCGCTGTTGGAACGTAATCTTCTGCAGTTGGAGCGTTCTCTTCTGCACTCGAATCGCCGTCTTCAATTTCTCGATTGATTGTCGATGATAAAGTTCCCATGTTGAGGAAATATGCCCTTGCTTGTTCTAGTACGTTCGTGGTAGAGTGTAGAGCGTAGCAATTGTAGCAGTTGGTGATGGTCCAAGAAGTGCAATCGCGTGCAGCGCAGTAGAATGACGTAGAACAAGATCTTATCTTATCTTGGACGATTATCTGAAGGGCAAATGTTGTCTGCTTGCAATTGCAACATCAGCGTTAGGAAGAGTGCTAGATCAATTACACGATCTCATGGAACAGCAAAACGTCGGGCAGTTGACTGAGGGAAGTGATTTTTCTCCAGAGGTTGAAGTGCAAACATGGGCGCTTGATTTCTTCAAATGGATACGGAACCAGGTCGAATCGTCGTTTCGCGGACACTTTTATCTAGACCTTGTTGAGCATGGTCAGCAGGTGTGAGCAGGTCATGAAAAGAAAACAACGGATGAAAGTTGACGACAAGATGCAAGGAATGTGACCTTAGACAAAATTATTTCGAAGCGATTGAATTGCCGGCGTCCCCCAATTCTCGGCGCCTAAAAATGTGGGGTAGGAACGCCGCCGATCACGACATAGAAGTAGAGAAAGTTGAAGCTCCGGGCGATTCGTCAGGCCTCAGGTCCAATGACGACACATTACAGATGAATTACACAACAGCTGATGAGTACAGAACTCAGGAAGAAGAATAGATGCGGCATAGAAGCAAAAAAGTCGACGAATTGCGGCGAAATTCGGGAGGACGCCATAACGAAGGCACAAAGATCTCTAACACCACCTGCTAAAAGCACGAAAATAGGACAGGTTTTAGTAAGATTGCTGTTCAAAAGAAAGGCAAATCCGAGAAGACGCACCTGTACACTAGAACACACCCCTCCTATTCATCATATCGAACCCATTCAGCGCAGCCCATTCCCTTCTAGATCCGTCGCAAATCGCCCCTCGGCGTAACCACCACCACTTCTTCCAGGACCACCCACGGGAGCATCCGCACTAGGTCCAAACTCGGCTTTCATCGGACTGTTGGGATTGCTGTGCACATACGCCCCGATGTAATCATACTCATCTTCCTCTTCCCCTGCAGTGCTCAGCGGACGAACGCCTGCGCCACCTCCTACCGGCGCAGGTGCAGCCAGACTCGACCCGTAGCCATTGGTGGCGACAGCGCCTGAACCCGTGCCTGTCGGGCCTGCTGTGGAGGCTACACTCAGCCCCGACGGCTCTCGGTCGCGTGTAGGGTACGGGGAACTGGGCAGACTCTTCTTGAATGGATCACTCGCGACGTTGTCCGTGCTAGCCCCACGAGGCCGCCTGAACGCCGACGCAGAAATCGTGCGCGCACCTGTCGGCGTTACGCCCGAGGCGCTGTTCAATGACGTGTTCGACTTGCTGAACGCAGACGTGATACCCAGCGAGCGGGGGTACTTCAGGTCGTCCTTCTCTGGGAGGCTCATTGACGGCGGAATCGGGGAGGAATTACCCGGCGGAAATCGAGGCGGGGCCTGCGTTGCTGTGGCTGGGGGTGAAGTCCTAGAGCCATGAAACCGAGGAGGCACCTGATTTTCCATCGATTGGTTCAGAGCTTGAAGTCTTGGAGGCAGGTTCGAGGTCGGAGAATGGGGTTCTGGGAGTTGTGGGTGAGATTGAGAGGCCTGGTATGATTGGGCATATGCCTGAGCTGGAGAAATGTTTGTGTTCGGAGGCGATCCATATGGGCCTGAGGTTTGGTATGACTGAGCATACGACTGTGCAGGCGTGTACTGCGGAGGTGCATAACTTGCTGAGGGGCCGGAGTTGAGATCGGCGTAAGGATGAGGTGACACAGAACGTTTGGCAAATGGAGCAGAAGGAGGAGATAGAGGAGAGTGAGGAGATGGATCTCTTCCTGTATTCGAGGTGTAACCTTGTGGAACGTTCAAAGCATTGACTGGTCGGCCACGATCTGTTGTCGATTCCGTTGGAGAACGTGGGCCAGGCCTTGGGGACGCTGGAAGGTGAGAAGTAGTGGGACTGTTATTCTTGATTGCTTCCAACTCAAGCGTGATCTCGCGAGCCGCAGCGGCGTTAAGGGCCTTTTCTTCTTCCTCAGGATTAAAGATCGGTGGTGGAACACGTCCGGTCCTGGCAACGTTGTGGTCGCTGGAAGGCGTGCTAGAACCATCTGTCTCGCTGACTGGTGGTATCTCAGCTGTTAGAGGATCAGAAAAACAACTAGAGCAGAGCTTAGAAAATGGACACACTTTTCTCCTTCTCGCCTGCAACTTCAGGCGCAGCCGGAGCCTTCCCATTCTCCTCTTCTGAAGCCCGCTTCTCCATCTCGGTATCAACGTCTTCGACCTGCCCAAACCGAACATGCCTGCTGACATGCTGTTCCTCTTCTGTAGCAGGCGGAGCGGCACCTTTGGGGCCGAGGAATGTCCTGTTGGCGGTTGGACTGGACGATGCCTCCGAAAGCCGTGAATCTTCGTCTGCTGCAGTCATATATGCAAGCAGGGCATCGTCATTGTCGGAGAGGTTGCGAGCATGTGTGCGGTTCTTAAACGTGTTAGGCTCCTCCTTCGCCCCTGCCCAAGGGTTCGACAACTCAGGAGGAGCCGCGCCAGGCGGAGGTGGGAGTGGTCCTCGAGTAGGTGACCTCGTTTCGGAGAAGATGGTAGGAGAAGGCCCCGTATTCGACCAGGACGCTGATGTATCCACCGTAGGCGGAAGTGCAGCACCAACTCGTCCGGACCAGGGTGATGACGGCTGAGTATTGTGCGTCCCTTCTGTAGCTTGCGCAGTCTCCAACGAACCCTTGTCGTCCAGGGCTGCTGCAATCGAGGCGGAGAAAGACGGCTCGATCTCGTGGCGAGAGCTGAGCGAAGGCGGGTCCTGGGGGGTGAAGCCACCAGCTGAGCCTGGTGCACGCGTCTTCACCGGGAACGTTGCGAATCGACCACCTGCGGGGTTGGCATCCAGCAGAGTCAGAGGAGCTGGGCGGATGCTCACTCCGAAGTCGTCCAGCGATTGGCGTTCAGGATATCCCCCTCGGGCATGCGGCGATAGCGGCTGAGGTTGAGAGAAAGAAGAAAGGGTTCCTGGTTGTTGGTATGGCGGTGTTGAGAGTGATGCACCGGTGCTCGTAGATGGTGAACCTGGGGCATCTAGGGCGAAGGGCCTCGTAAAAGCGTAATCGTCGCTTAACCGAGGCGGAGGAGGTTGTGGTTTGTCTTCGACAGGTGGCGACCATGGTGTAGGAATGGTGCTGTACCCGTCACCCCCGGAAGGTGCAGGTTCTTGTTGATGCTGGTTGTATTGGCGATGGTCACGGAATCCGACGGATGGGATTGTTGAGAGTTGAACTTCGTTGATTCGCTGGTGGGCCTCGGCGGAGAGGGATTCTGTCTTGCTGTGGCCATAGTACATGCTGCGCGGTAGGCCAGGCTGTGTGATCTCCTCCGATATTTCCTGAACGGATTGTTAGTCTCTCTCCGTTGTTTGATAGCACACGACTCACAGCAATGATCAACTTGCCGAATTCTCCAGCAATCTAACGGTAATGAGCAACAGAGAGCTGTGAAATCGACCAGGACTGACCGTTCCCTTTTCACAGCATTCAAGCAGTCCTCCAAACTTCAGGCCCATCCACATCCGCGTCGCCGTACGTTTGAAGTCTCCCAAAGCTGCCTCCTCCGCCATGATGTCCGTGTCCATCATGCGAATCTCCTCTCGCAGACGGTTCAGCGTCTCGGTCTGCATAGCGAGATTCTTGTGTTCGGCGCCCATTCTGCTGACTTTCTTGTCCGCATCTTCAGCCTTCCGCATCACCGTATGTCGCCGTCGTTTGAGTTCTCCGAGACTCTCTTCCCTCGTCCTGATGGCTTTGAGGTGCTCTCGCATGACATGGCCGTGGGCTGCATACTGAGAAAGGGCAGTTGAGAAGTGGTTGAGAACGGTTGTCGAAGCACTGAGGATGTCCTGGAAAAAAAGTCAACATGCAACCCGTTCCCAAGTCATCCAGACTCACCCCGAGATCGTCTCCCTCGCTCAAACCCCACGTTCGCAACGCCTCCGATGCCTTCGAGAAGTCTACACTTAGTTTTTGCAGTCTAGTCGATGACGTTGAGTCCACCTAAATGAAAGAAGCCATGTTCTTAAACTTACGCTATCAGGACTCCTTTCTCCGCAGTTATAAGGTCCTGTAGCGGCCGAAGTTCCTGGTTGCCACCGAGAGATGCGAGAGTCGAGTTGTGGGCGATCTTTGTCGCTGCTGTCCGGAACATGGTGGTTGTGGAAAAGAAATGGAATTGCGCAGCCCTCTTCGGGTCAAGTGGCGGTGATGCTCCAACAATTCCACTTTGTTCGTTGTCTAGTCTGGCCTAGCACACATTCTGGCATTATCGTGACGGTCGTTAGTAAGGTACTCGACGGCCCTGAAGATGTCGACTAGTGCATCCGAGATAAGATTTGAATACCAGGAGATTAACCGACGCACTGATCTGCACAAGGACGCTGTTTCCCTCTCGTGCTACCGTGATTAGCTCGTACTTTCAATTTTGCGATCTTCAGGATGGCGGGAAGTTCGGGGTAACTTTTCTGATGGTCTTACTTGTCGCGTATCGACCAGGATGTGATGAATGGAAGGGAGACTTATTTCTGACCATTCAAACGTACGTTCACGACCAATGTAACTGTCTAGTTTCTATAAGCTTCTCGTTTTGTTTTCTTTCTTTTATGACGCTCAGATGACGCTAGGGTATGAATGGTTTAGATAAATCGGCATCAGTGACAGCTGTCTACTGAATGCAATGGTACAGAAGGCGAGAAAGATAATCAATTCAAGCTTCAACCAAGCTTCAGCAGCAATAAACTTGATAATTATTCTCGAAATTTGTAACAGCCTCCTGCGCGTTACGGTAATTTCATACAAGTGAGACACCAGGTGGAAAGCGTCACCAGCCACAAGGCGTTGCGTTCCTTGAACCTCCCAGACTGGGCGATGGTCTTTTACATTGTAATTTTAATACGAGCTCAAGATGGGTTTGAATAAGGATCTATTACGGAAGCTCGAGGCATATTTACGCCAAATTATATCTCTGTAACGCGACTCGTGGACGTTTGAACCTCGGCGCTGTTCATAAACGCATGGCGACATGCAACCTTCTGTAAACCTCTGTCGGAGATAGTTGAGGTAGTTTCATGGTGGACTCGATAACTCACATAACTTATTATTGACCTGACATATAGAGGAGATGTATCTTTAGATGTTGAACAGCTTTACAATTGACACCTAGGGACTGTACCAATGAGAAATCAACCCAGTGAGCCTGGAAAGGGGACGAGGCACCCTCCAAAAACGAGTGCGAACAATGTAGAATAGAGGCTTTGCGCAAAGCCAGCTGGAGCCAGTGCTGGCTCAAAAACGTTGCGCTTTGTCGTGTAGCCAGTAGCAGCCAATTAGTGACTATGCTTTTAACTGAGTCTTATGTAGCACCATGTATGTCTGGATGCCAGGGGAGTTCAATGACAATGCAAGCATCTCATTGTATTCATCCGTGCAGCTACGACAATCTCCAGAAATTAACCTATATATGGAAATTGAGCCAGCAGAAAATATCAACCGTGATCAACGGTTGAACGTTGAACGTTGATCAACCACCCCCACAGACTGATATCGCGTGGAGCTCTCCAGCAAATACGAGGTTATAGAGAGATGTAAGTAATATTAATATATGGCATTCATTGGTCTGATATTCAGGTTCTGCTGGCTAAAGGTCTCAGCGCAACGCATTTGAGCCACCACTGGCTCCAGCTGGCTTTGCGCAAAGCCTCTAATATTTAAATCTCTGAGTGCATGAAAGTAATTTCAATGGGCGGAGGGACAAATACCTTTTGATACAGCTTTCACGGAGCAGGAAAAAGGTAAGTACACTGATATTGTGGACTCTCTTTCTCCCGTGGCATTTATCAACATCAAATGTTTAAACGTTTAAACGTTTAAGGCTCGCAGCAGGAGTTATATTTCTCGCTGTGCGGAATTATCCCACTACCCACCGCCTACCACTTGAAGTTCCTCATGAGACGTTCGTCGGGGATAGCCTAGTAGGTGCAAACACTAATGTTCTGTAGTCTATATTTCGATTTTTGACGTTGGTAGGCCTGCAGAAAATCCACAAATCGATTTAAATGTTAATTATGCCGGACTTCCACAGCACTTATTGGCAAATAACGATCGGCCAGCTACGAAGTTCGCGAACAGTGTGGCACAAATTCCCTTAAAAGGAAAATCAATCAAATCGCGCTTGAAGGTGCCCTATCACTTTCCCATCAACAATCACCATCCTCCCAGCGGCATCCCAAACGGACCCAAGGAAGTCAAGGAATAACTTGCACGTTCAATCCCAAAGATCGCCGAACCTCCAGTCGGAATTCCGCATGAACAGGGGCAGCGAGGAATGGAGCCACTGCGTCGGAAGGACGTCGGGCGTCCTCGTTGCTTACCCCCCTAGGAATATACGACAATAGTGAGGATAAGTACCTCGGAGATGGATTTCAGCGACACTCCTCGAGTCTGCAAGTCTGTGGTGTCAATTCGAAAGATCCAGGTGCAAGTTTGAAGCAAGGACTTCCGAGTCGCGTCTGCCAGGTGCATGGTACGCTGTCACATTCGACGAAACGCTTTCATTAAAACACGTGTTCAGTTGTAGCCCCAGATCTAGAATGAACCCGACATATTGTAGCGTCATGAAGAGGTTCATGTAATGCTTCTGATGATATCGTGACTCGGGAACGCACCTCAGTTCCGCACTGCCTTCGTGCTCCAACCTAGTGGAGAGTGGAATCTGGACTTCCATTTGCCGCCCTACATTGTGTCAAGGGCCCTCCCTATTCCTCACCGACAATGGGGTCCCGTTGTCAACCTGAGGGGTATAAGGGCCACAATGTCCCACACTACGTGTCATCAAAATTGATTCCCCCCCAACTTCCCAAGTTCAATATGCCTTTCAACACAGAACGCGTTCTTCACCAAAAGACGGACACCAAACTCGACCTATCATATGTTCCTTCTCTCCATGCCACCAGCGACCTTCCTTGCCCGGAGGACAAGGACAAGGAACCCATTCCCCTACCTCATTATGGCCCAGACGACATCGCCCGCGTTCAAGCCATGTTGACCCATTTCATCCCAGTCGAGCTGGCAGACGCCATTCTGGACATGGCTGAGTTCTGGCCTTGGATCAGTGTCTCTCGGAATTCATACACCTCCGCGTACTCTGCTCTTGAAGGGCCCGATTGCAACGCCCAATGGTGTTACCTCGTCACACCAAAAATCCCCTCGGTCGAACGGAACGGTCGGCGCGTGCCCACCACCGTGAAAATGGTCAAGTTCTTCGTCAAAACGTACGGATCGAGCTGGGGTGGAAGTGGAAGTGATTCCGGTACGCCCCCATTACTCTCCTGTTGCGATACCCAACGCGTTGTTCACGTAAATTTCCAAGGCTCATCGCAAACGTGGTTCGAAAGCGCGATCATGAAACCCACCGACCCCGAAGCTGTTTCGTACGAAGACGGCCTTCACCCGCACGGCTGGTTTGAAGGACTCGCAGCACCCCACCCCAAATTTCTGAACGATTTCAGGGACACCGATTTCCCCGGCACCGCGGTTCCGACCTCATTCGACGCGAGGGCACGGTGGCATGTGACGAACAACGCGCTGAATACCCCTCGGGTGTGGCACGAAACCACTTGGAGATCTGACGACAAGAACAGTGACATCGTCGAAAGTCAGAGTGGGGATGGAGTTGGGTTTGTTCAGTCACTCTCAGTAGATGATCGTCTTGTTATCATGGCACGCGCCAAAGTGAGTCGCTTTCCTATCCGAAGAGTATTCCATTAAGAATTTCACAGGCGCCAGGGTGGACTGATACCATATTCAACGTGAAGATCGAGGTTTATTACACCCTCAATTCCTCCTTTTAAGAAAGTCTGGAATTCTGGGGACGTCCATAGAATCCTTCTTCCATGATTCAATAAATAATGGGGTATTACTTCGCCTACGCACATTGTTCTCTGTTCCTCCCGTGAAATGCTATTGTAATCGGACATGCTAGTCGATCAGGGCCTTCTCTTCTCCACGAGGCTGTAGTTCTGGAGCCTCGATGGAACTCCCAACTCTCAAATGGAGCAGATCACGCTCCATGGCAGTGCACCCCGTTCAGAGTAGCCAGCAAACGGCCAACGAGCAGAAAGAGGCTAGGGTACACTACGGGGCATTCAGATAAGCACCCTAGTCGCCGAACACCTTGATCTGCGTGCATTAAAATATTCTCGTTGCACCGCACTCTGTACAATTCCGTTGCGAATCGAAAGGGCTACCGGTGTCCATTTGTACATTCTGTGGAACGCTATATGCAGAAAGTTGGAATAAAGAGTATTAAAGTGGTGATACGTGATTTCGTTCTGTTCCTACTGTAAATGAAATATAATAGTAATGTCCGATAATAAGGACTCGGCTCGTTAAATTTAAACGGGACTATACACGGGAGGAAGCTCGACAGCCACAGGGCGAGCAGGAGAGTCGATTACCTGGGAACTGATGGTCCTTACACCACTGTCCACGTGTTGCACCGGCTCTGGGTTTTCTGGAGCTCCTGTCACCAGAGGATTAGCGTTGCCAGTGGACACTGGCTGCCAACAGGTGGTTGTAGCTTGTCGTTTTCCTGCAACTATGGTGTCGTTCAGGGCCTCAGGAGTGGCTACATTAGACGTTGTAGAAGAGCTTCCGGTTGCACTGGACTGTGGTTGAGGTCGCTCGTGGAATGTTTTCGAGCGTGTTAGCGAAATAAGTTCGGAGTGGGAATGTAATGTCCTGGATGGAGTCCTAGCCTCAGAGTCGTCCTCTGTAGTCCCGATAATGAATGGTTCGACAGCTGTAGGTCCAAGCGAAATAATCCGGGCGTTAAATTCTATGCCAGTGGACGGTACCGCCAAGGTTAAAACAGAGGTTTAACCAGCGAAATAGGCAAGTGTCTTACCCGATTGAGTGGCCGTTCTGCCCGTATCTTGTTTTGGCCAATGAATTGGATCAGGGTTTGCATCGGTGCTATTTCGTCGAATTCTTCTCGTGAGAATAAAAATAAGGAGGAATACGCCAAGTGCTAATGCCGCAACACCTGCAACCACTCCGCCAGCAATCACGCCCACATTTCTCTTACCAGTAGGGTTTGTGGTTGTGGTTGAACGTATGGTAGGGTCTGTCGCAAGGAAATAATCGAACCAAATTGTCCCCTCTCCTGGAGTGGGGTCAGGATTTACTTTGAGCATTTGGACCTTCAGGGTGCTACGACAAAGCTCCAATAATTTAAATGGAGAGAATTCGGCTGGGACTGGCTCACTGTTCTCCGACGGAAAGAGTGGGCGACTTCCAGAACTGTTGATTAAAGGTATCTCCAGGTCCACCTTGGGAAGTAATCTGAGCGGGAAGAGCGCTATCGACCGCGTAGCTGGTTATAACACCTTCCGAAGTCACGTCGATAGTCCCATACACAACAATCGAAGTTCCTGGGGTTGACAATCGCAGTTGTGAATGTTCGACGATCGACAAGTGCAGCGAGGTCATTTACTTACCATTAAAATCAACCGTGAAAGAGTCACCTACCACCGTAGAGCTTGCCACCGTACTCTCGTGCTCTAAAGCGCTCCCTCCGCGTATCCATGTCCCGTTGTACGTCACGCGAGAAAGGTCTTGATCGTCAATGAGGATGTGGGACATGACCGCAAAGGCAGGAGAGGGTAACCCTCATCCCATGGACCCCCGAGTTAAATGGACCGAGGAGAACATATCATCAAGATACAGAGGCGAAAGATTCCACGGTCTGCCAAGGGTATAAGTGGTACGAATCGACTTACGTACCCTTATCGTACTCTGAAACCCCCGGGGTCTTCAGTACTCTTCAGTTATGATGAAGGTATGTCTCCATCCTACCGGATACAGCGTCCATATACATTGGAGATTTGGCAAGACAACATCGCCTTCGTCCTTCAAGCTTCAATATTCAATATTCAATGTTGGCAGGTATTCTGGCACACAGATTTGAGCCAAAAAAAGGCCCGGAAACCGGGCATCCGAGTCGCATAAGAGCCGCGACAAATACGTGAGATGCTAAACATACAGCGGGCGTCGATGACGACTCCGTGCCGAATCTATATCAGGTTGCTGGAATTTATGGCGTTGGATTGTTGATTTTAAAAGTGAAAGAAATGAAGTGACCTAGTATGAATCTGGGATGTTGTATCAGTGAAAGGAAGAATGGATGATGAACCGAAGTTTGAAGCACAGGCAAAGGTCCATCGCAGGCAAAGAAATTGAGTGACAAGTATAGTCATCATTCCAAACCCAGTGGAAAATTTCTCGTTCGAAGTCCGTCTCTTTCGCCGTGCCCGGCGGATCACTTGCGTGTCCAGGCCGTGATAGTCGACGCGAAGCCATTCAAGTTCTCTACTTGAGATATCAAGCCAACTCCATTGACGCTCAACTGATACCCTGTTGCGACTGTCGACAGACTATAAATGCTGATGTCAGATGTCGCATCGAGGTTCACAATCTGCGCTTGGCAGCTTCGAACGCCCTGGCAGTCTTGAGAGTAATTCTATCAGATATGTGGTGTTGGTTAGGAAGAAAATCAAAAAGAAGAGAACAGCCAGAACTAACGATAAAGAAGCTGTACAGTCCGGCTCCTGGAAGAGCGGAATTGAGCTTGTTGCGACGTGCATGAAACGAAAAGTGGCACACCGAAGATAAGAATATCGTTTGAATTTTTCACCGTCAGCGCCCATGAGGATGCATTCCCCAGGTAAGGAGCCGGGTCATGGTAGCGCGTATCGAGGCTGAAAGGGGTCGGCGCCGCGGGTTTAGGTTGGAAGTACGGCTGAAATTTAAATCATTTTACAAATTAAGGATCTGAGGTATGGGAAGAGTACGCACGCTTTCGGTTTGAATCAGGCCCATATAATGATTTTTAGCGCCAGCCAAGTTGTACTGATAAATAACATGGTGTTCGGCTTCATTCGCGTCAAGTCAGACTATGCGATGCGAAGTCAAAATATAACTTACAAGCGGTCCCAATCATCCATACCGGTCCTTGGGATTCTGAAAGGATTCCACGTCCTGCGTACACTGTGATCATGCCTTCACCACCATAATCGAGGTCATGGTCTGCGAGCCAAACCCAAGTACTCTGCAAGGGTCGGTATAAGCTTTATGAAAGGTTCCATGACGATGGAGAAGAAATAAATGAAAAAGTCGCGTACTTCAAAGTAGCCAGTCGCAGAAGGCGTGATATGAAGACTCAAAAAGGCCGCATAGCAAGGGTCGTATGGACCAGTACCGAACTGGGGGCATGTTGGAGCTTCGAGATTCGTTCCGTTGCCTGCAAGTGTAAGGCGAATGAGCGACACGAAAGCAAGCAGAATGAGAAGAGGCTTACTTCCAGCAAGCCTGACATACGCATCCGCAGGAAGTTAAGCCCAAATGCAACACCATTTAGGAAGATTTAAGATGTAATCGATTAATCCCTCACCGTATATGGGAATCCCACATGCCCGCGCCTGCCTGGATGCCTTCCGGCTCCTTAATATTCCACTCCACGACAATCGCACCAGCAGCGGGGCCTACAGTCGTGAAAACTACGTCTGTAATCTCCATGATCCCCTGCGACCCCTTCGTGCCGACACGCACAACAACCTGTGGCTTCTTCTGGTCCTGAAAAAGCTTGCCCTTCCCAGCAAGAACAGACCACGCCTCGCCGACCAGGCGCGTTCCGGCAGGGATGGTGAGCGTAGAGGAAAGGATATAGAATCCAGCATCGAGGAAGATGATCTTGCTGTTGGCGTACTGGACAAGGAATGTATTAGAACGCTGGGTATGAGGGCGTGGAGTTAGAGACTCGCCCGATCGAACAGGGCCTGCAGCGCCGCCGTATCATCCGTCACACCGTCTCCGACTGCACCGTAATCCCGAGCGCTGACGAAGTCGCTAATGTCGTTGTACTCATACTGAGGATGAACTCGGGCGACGATTTTTCCTTCGTGGTCCAGCAATGATGCTGCTTTCGAAGGCCCAGAGATGTGTTCTTGCGTAAAGCTCCCTCTTTGTGAGGCGCCCTGGTACACATTTCCCTGAACCCAAGACGCAATAGTTTTCGTGGGAATGGACGGTGAGGTACCAGGAAGGACGACGGAGCCGTTCGCTACACCAACGGCTACCGGTACGTTTGTTAAGTTGATGTTATTGAGGACGATTGAGCCATCCAGGGTTCCGTTCGAAGGCTGGGTTATCTGGATAAAGATTGGCGTGTTCGTCACTGTCGCGTCGATGATAGCTTGGGCACCAGCAGTCTAAGATTTGTCTCCCGTCACTCTATGGCTAGACAACGGGAAAAGAATCCTACTTGACCACCTGATGCACGACCTCCGGTAGCGATCTCGAACCCGATCTGGCAGTTGTTGAACTTGACGCCTTGATACGTCCAACCTGCAGAAGACCGCTGAGATCTCTCGGGAAAGTCTCGTAACAAGATCTTACCCCAATTCCACAGACTGTAAATGCCGGTCTGGGCATTGTTGATAGTAATGTTTTTGACTGTGAATCTGGAGAAAGAAATGGATTCGTCATATGTGACCACGAATAACTTAGGCGACTAACTGTTGATTGCCTCCCCATATGCCAAATTTTCCACCATTAAACACCAAGTCGCCCATATATCCTCCGCTAGTTCATGTCAACTCCGATTTCGATTATAAATAAGAAGCGCGACCAGCCTTCCATTTTCCATCCAAATGCCTTTGGCATTGTTAGAAATGTATTAAACCGGTACTGATGAATTGTTGAGCACCTTGGTGGGCAGTGTTCGGTGCACGCGACAACTCGAACCGGATATTGATCAAAGACGTTGCTTGCGCGACTTGCCAGTGGATTCCAGTTCCTTGCTGCCTCTCAGGAGAAACTCTGCGAAAGGATACATTACGTTGACGAAACGAAGGAGTAAAGTAGCATACTGCGTCGTATCAATGACGAAGTTTCGAATTGAGCGATGGCTGTTGATCAAATCAGATTGTTGTACTCTCCGACTTGGAGAGCAGGCATACAAGTTATTCGTTGCTCCGAACCATTGACTGCCTCCTCCGCCAGGAGTGTAAGGGTTCGCATCTGCAGTGAGTGTAAAAAAAGCTCTGTAAAGAATCAATGGAATGTCGAAGTCGTACCGATCACCGCCATGCCATTGAATTTCGGTGAAGCCAGCAAGGTAGGTGGCGTCTTGGCATCTCCGATAAGCTGGGTGTAATAGTATGGCGTGACAGGCCCAGAGACGAGGTATGTCCTGAACGACGCAATGAGACCGCTGTCCAGTATAACATCCTCAGATGACCCACCCCCTCGGAAAATAGACAACAGCAGGCGAAACCCTAGAGAAGAAAAGGCGTTGCCACTGCTTGATCAAATCGAATTCCCAGCAGGGCACGAGTCAGAGCTCACGTCGAAGATGGGCATGTGCCGCGGCCACATCGATTCTGAGTAGATATCGCAAGGCTGAAAATGGATCAGACGAGCCTCTCGAGTCTATCATTGGTAATATCACTTGATAGCATTGGTATCGTCGTGCACACCATCGCCTACTGCGCCGTAATCCTGAGGAAAATTCGGACGGTCAGCGTTGCCATCTTCGACTCCATATCATAAGAACACACCTTCACGTTTCGAAATACTTTATATTCGTTGGGGTCTGGATTGAACGGCGCTTTCCCTTGGTGTTTGATGCTCTCCATCCAGAACGGGGGCGTGTCATCAGAGTAGCTAGCCTTGTTGGCACTGGCCACCGATTCCTGGTGGACTTTCTGCCTTGATCGAAGGGATAAGGACTTCAGAGACTTGACAACCGACTTTGAGCTCATCTCGGGGGCTCTGTGAACGAGACCTTGATCAACAATGACCGGGACAGTGGTGGTAGCATTGGTGAAGGTGTCGAGTTCGACAAGCGTGACGACCGTGAGGACGAACAACCGCTTAAGGGACCCTGACATCATAACGCGTTTAGGGGCTAGAAGTGAACCGAGAGGTCTCGCAAATGGTAGAGCGCTCTTATACTAGGCCACGTAAGAAGGATCAGGATATATAATAGTAAATTCGTAGAAGGATGCAACTTCGAAGGGAACTAAGTTCCTTCAAAGGGTACTTGACTTCGAAGCAAGTTTGATTCAAACTCATTCATAAGACGCGTGGAGACGGTTAGCGAACGCACCATTGAAAACGGGTTGGTGGGTCTTGATGATATGGTATATTTTCACTGGAAGAGAAATGACGTCAGGATAAAACCGGAGATGCAGTGCTGGTAGCACAGTAGCACTCGAATCATTCCCCAGATACCCCGGCCGTTGTGAGTCAAATGTGCCCAACCTTCCTTGACCTCCACGTAATTATTTATATAAGCATAGCATATGAGGCTCCTTCTTCACCCTGAAGAATAAAATTCAGAAGTAGCTAGGGGGTGGCGCTCATCTACCGGGGTGGTCAAATGGGCGTACTTGCACATGCCATGGCCACGACTATCGAGGCCTATAACGCCGCAAGGAGACGCAGAGTCTATCAGCGTTTCGGCACACGACACATCCTGGTAGTATCTGCTTTACTAATCAAGTGGTGCCCACTGTCGGGCAGGTACAAGGCCGATTTGTGTACGCTCATATGAATTACATTAATATTTTCAATGCACCAAGGCAGACAGGCCTTCGAATAGCCTTAGACTTGATGAGAAAGACCTGTTTCGTCCAATGTCCACTAGATATCGTTCAGGAAATAGTGTGGTTTTGGAATAGAGCAAAATACGCCGACCACAACACAACGACGGGAGACCTTCGAGGGAGAGAGAAATGCCAGAGGGGACAGACCTTCAAGTAGTTTTGGGAAAATTATTTGTGTTATAGTCTAGTGTCAGCTCTATAAGTCCATGCAAATGCGAATATACAGGATGAATTGCAAATGTAACGTCTACCTTCTGGCCAAATAAATGCCATCGGTTAGCGGCCAAGGCTGACTCCCATCACTTGGATTGGTGCATATGTGATTTGTGTGCGTATCTGCTGCTCATCCGTATCCTCCTACCGTAATACCACAACAGGAACGGTCTGCCGGTCATCAGGTTAGCCAAGTCCCCATAAAACGGACGAAAAGGGTATGCGTACGCAGGACATCCCAGTCCAATGGCCAAACACGCCAGTATTGTGTCTCCTTTCCCATATCCAAGCTTGGCGTACATCGCGGGTGCGAAGAGTGGGAAGCCAAAGCCCGCGAGAGAGCGTAGACACGAAGCTGCCGCAAGCGCTAATGAACAGATATCGCGCGTTAGCATTGTCTGGAGAGGACGCGTAGAGTGAAGCAAAACTCACCGGAAGCAGCGTGCAGTGTGAAGGCGTCGACGAGGTAGGTCTGCATCGCTTGGAAGACAAGGATCATCCCGGCGCCAACGCACGCAATACCCTAAGCGTAATTCAGTGTCACAAGCAATGTTTAAGTGAGGGTCATGGCTCACGATATCAGTGACAATCCAATGTAGCCCTTTCTGTGCCGACCAGCCACTGAGCAGGAGCCCGAATGGTAGCAATATCGTTCCAGGCATCATGGAGGCTGTAGTCCACGCCATTCACCAAAGTCGCCCTTCACAAGGACTTAGAGACGAAACTTACGCAATCGAAATTCGGGCTCCCCAACGCCGTTGTTCTTCTTCTTGAAGTAGATATAGATTTTGTCCATGACCCTCGCGTTAACTTGCGACGCGATCGTCAACCCTACGCCGAGGGAGATGTAGTTGAGCCCTGCGATCCCAACGCGCTGGTGATACACCCTCGCAAAGATCTCCGGCATCGTAGTCAAGAACACTGAGGTGAGTTCAATGTCAGCTATCTGTAATAACCACTGACCCGAAGCGGATGCAGGACGTACGGTAGAACAGCCCATAGACAAACGCCATATAAATCCCAAGCAGCTGGACGATCGTCTCGAACGCGAAAAGCTGGAAGGGTCTGATGAGCGCCTTTCGGAAGATTGATTTCCATCTGGAGAAAGGAGGTTAACGTTAAACGTTAAGAGTCAAGAAAGCCAAGAAAGTTTTAATACACACGATCTGTCGTCACTGCTTTCGTACACGGTCCTGACATGTTTATACCGCCTAGCCTTTTCGGGATCCATATTCGCGCGGATGCCCTTCGCTTTTTGCTCGAGAAGAAACGGGGAGAATGCTGGCAAATTAGGATTAGAAGTAGAACACCTTCACACTAGGGTGACGTACTTTCACGAAGGAAGAACAGCCCCGAAATCTGGATGATTACGTCCACGATGCTCGTCGACCAAAACTGCAACTGTGGGTCACCATCCAAATTCACTCTTGAGAGTAACTGAATAACTTACCACCCACCTCCACGTCGACCGCTCCGCTATCCAGCCACCGCATACTGGTCCAATAACCGGTCCGAGGAGTGGCGCTAGCGAGTAAATGGCAATCGCCTTTCCTCTTTCTTCAGGATGCCATGTGTCCCCTAGAACACCACCACCAACTGAGAGGGGCGCGCTGCCTCCGATTCCGGCGAGGAAACGAAATGCGATCAGTTGGGATTGATTTTGCGCAAAGCCGCATCCAGTGTTCCAAGCTACATAGTGGTATCAACGATGAGAGTACAGCACATGGAGGTGAGCATACCGAGATAGATTAAATTCGATAGCTGAAGGACACGCGAACGGCCATATATCTCGCTCAAGGGTCCTATAAACTGATCAGAAATTCTTGTTAACCTTCGTCCTCCCCTCGGTTTCAACGACACATACCAATGGCCCAACGGCTACGATGCGAATTCTTAAGACTCAACTCTGACAAAGGGTACAGAGGACTCACCATATCCCAGAATAAACACACTGGTGGTCATGGCTATCAGCACTGAGCTCGTTATTCCGAACTGCTGTGCTATTTGTTCACTGGCGGGAGCCACCATAGATGAGGAGACCGGGGAGATGAAGGTGAATGACGAGACGACAAGCGTCGCCGCCCATTTCTTTTTGTATGACCAACTTCAATCGCATCCTGTATTAGATATAGTCTTGGCGGGGTGATTGAGATTCGTGAACGCACTTTTTTGGATTGAGAGGATCATCCGGTCCTTCCCAGTCCACCCATAGGACGTCCCCTTCCTCCTCTCCCTGCCCCTCGCTACTCTGCCCCGGTACTTCATAAGCTTCGTCCTTCGTGCTCTTGTCGTTCGCATCTTCAGGTAATCGCTCGCCGGGGAGTGTCTGTGAAGACGAGCTGCGCGACATGGGAGGTGGGGTGCTCGTGTGACTCTGTTCGGGCATTATTTGTGGGTGTAATATGTGTCTTGTGGTGCCGTCCTTTTGGATGCTTATAAGTAGTCGTTTTCGGCCGTAACGTCAAGTCCAGAAGTCGAGTGAGGTATTCTTCGTGGGGAGCATCAGTTCAGTATATAAGTCATGAGGCCGGTAGCATACCCGGGGATGACTACCCCCCATGACATGGCTCTCCATCGCTTCCAAAGCTGTTCCCGAGGGACCCCTCCGCCTAACTTGAACGACTCTTTCAGAGGCTCGCCGTGGCCTCTTCCTTCATCTCGAAGATTCGTCCTGCCGAAGTGGTACGTGGTGAGATCCAGCTGGTGTTGCTTGCACCAGTCCAAGCTCCGGAACGTTGCATGTTGGCCTGTGGGTAAAAGCGCGGAAGTTCACTGCATAGTACGACTGCCGATGTCGGAGTGCTATAAATACACGATGATTGGTGTGTTGGGCAGTGGAAGAGCTGAAAATATTGACTGCGTCATGGGTAGAGTACCGCGGCAATACTTCCGTTGCCGATCGGACTTTGTGGCTCATATAGGCGGCAGGTGTTTCGGCTTCTTCGGAGAGCAATACGAGAGTCATGAGAAGAAAATGAGGGGAAACTTGCTAGAATTGGAATCTGTTTTTTTTCTCAAACAGAATGGCAAGTTCGAATTTAGACTGAACCGCGCCAGCACGAAGGAGCGGTCGATCTAGTGTTGCCGCGGTTCGGTTATGGTTAGTTGCGGTCTGCTAACGACAGTTTAGGTAATTAAGCGGTTTCAAGCGGCTTGGAACTGGTTCGACTGTGATGAACCGTATCAAAAGTCCATATTTGGAAGGCTCGTTCAGTACTCCATCGTATTGACAGTAAGAGCATGGTTATTGTTGACAAAAGTGCCTCATTAAAGAGGAGGCATCCATTTGAGCTGCTACAACTCAAAAAAATTGCTTTCTTATTGTTTCAATTTAAATAAACGAACACTGTCGTTTTGCATGGTACTTTCAGGTTGATCACATGCCAGTAGTACTAAGCAAGCTCTCGAAAAAGTAACAGGATCTGAGATGCTTTACAAACCACTGTAATAGAGAGAAATATATCTTAAATGCATTGTAAAACCAGAAGACTGCCCAACAGCCTTGAGGACGGGATGGGAAGGGATATTCTGTGACGAGGACTACCAATTATGGAAAAGAATTGAAGCTATTAGCTCAGCGGGCTCGAGACCAGTTTAAACCAGTCAGTTAATCCCGGTTAATTTGTGGTTCAGCTTGCGGTTTAACCGGAACCAGGCTGAACTGTGGCAACACTAGGTCGATCCGGGCCGATAAGCTGCCAATGAAAAAGGAAAACTCATACAAATCATGTAGGGGGATTCAAAGCTGGTGTACATATATGCCAGCTGATGCGAAAAAGTAGACCTGTGACAGTTTTAAGAGGTGTCGTCATGGCGTTGCAGGACCTCGAGAGAGGGTTAGTAGCGGTGCACTTCTGAAAAATTTGCTATTTGAGGCAATGAAACCATGTCTATTTACCACCAGACCGGAGACAAGAAAGATGGGGGATTACCTTGTAGAAAGCGACGTAAGTATTGCACACGCCAGGACAGGAATGGGTAGAGCACTAGGTTCTGCTGTGTGTTTAGGTCCAGCGTGTTTTTGTGGTTGAAAGAGATCTCGACCTTGGCTCCAACTTGGAAGTATGATGTACTCACTAAATTCATTTGTGTAAAATGAATTTGTCTTGCAGGGATTGGAGGAGATAATCCACAGAAGAAGTGCTTGATGTATATTTATATAGAAAGATAGAGAGAAATCATTGGGCTGAATCTAGCAGAGTGGGAGGGTACATAATTATTCTTCAAAGGTTTTATTTCATGTAGATTGGATTCACTGTGCGAGAAAATACGGGACCCTGCTGGCAATGGTCCTCTGAGTCTAATTCCCGATTCAAAAAATAATAGAGTCATGTGCTTTCAGTGGCTAGTAAGCTTCTGAGGTACCGAGCCTAGTTCAAGGTGCCGAGGCAGACCATGCAAGCATAATGGTTAATGTTCAACCGTTGATCTTCTGCACTTAGATTCCTTGTTTCCACAAGTGTATCTAGGCTTCATACAGAGGAAAAGATTTATGTATAGTTTCTGACATAATTCGCATGAAAAAAGCAACACCATCGTAGACTGGGGCACTATGACCTGAACAATTGAAGGCAAGGCTCATCCCGAACACAGTAAGTGATCAAATGTACTTGGGAAGGAAATTTTTTATTGAAGTTTTGTGTGATTTTCTATGAAGAATGAAGAAAGAAAAGAGGAAAAGTCTAGACTGCATAGAACTTCATTTGAAGAAAAAAGGGGGCCCTGTATAATATTGGCGATTTAAGAGAGGATTCTTCCCCCGTCAAGCTTCTGGATGTTTCCAATATAAGCCCACTGGAAATTGCCGTTAGTCGCACTGAACATGTCATCGCCAATAATAATCGGAGGCTTACATTCTCGAAACCACTGTCTCCATTGAGTGAGAACACTCTGGACCTAGCCCAATAAATTTCGTATCTGAAGTACTGTTGAGTATCCATCCTCCCTTGTAAAGGGGTTACCTGCGTACCCAATGGTTCCGGCTCCATACATGTCCAGCTTGTGGTGCCAGTGCTCCCAATCGACACCCCTGCTACCGTTCCAGAGGTGGGAGTGATCAGAATGGCATATAATCCAGTTGAATTCCTGGTAGCGGGAACGCATGGTCGAGACGGTATTCTTGGTGAAGCCCCCACGGTCCCACTGGGTTGGAAAAACACGAACAAGAGTGTCGAGGGTTAGCTCTGCATGCATCGGAGGTAAATGAATGGCTTACATCGACATCTTGCTCGATCTTCTTGAGAATGCTGTCGATGATGGAGCAGATTTTGACTGCATTGATCCTGGGCTCAGGGGTCTTCGTGTCGACGCCGTTACGGTCAACCTCAGCATCGACCAGGACAGGGATGACGGGCTCACCAGCAGTACTGGAGTTGGAAGGCATTGAAGTTGCTTAAGGCTGAGTTATCGAAGTTGAAGAATGAACAAGTTGGCGACTCTGAGTTGGGCATTCCTTCTTTGATTCTTGGACACCTTTTATATGCAGACAGGTCTGCCTCTGTGGGAAGCAAAATGCAATACCTGTGTCGGAACGATCTCGCTCCGTGGTTTTCTGAAAATTTCGTACATGTTCAAGCCTATTTGGGCAGTAGACGGTGTGCTCTACACCAGCCTCATGCCCGTCATAGGCTCCTTTTCCGATCTACTCTAAATCTCCATCTCTATTGCTTGGCGAGGCAGTGGTGGAACACACTTTTAGGATCTTGGATAGCCTTCCTTCTCTGAAAATGGGCATAGCACAATGTTTATATTTGGAAGAACCACTGACCACTCCTGGTACCAGAGTGTAGCAAGTCCTATTTGGCCCAGTGGTGTGTGAGTCGTGTATCCCAAGAAGGATGTCACTATCAACGAGACGATCAAGGGCCTCCTTCTAACACTACGGTTCTTTTCGAGCATGTTGGAGAAAGCAAACTCAAAATCGGGCTTCTTGTTGGACAACGGACACCATGGTTGTACTTTTGAATTTGGATGAGTACTGCAAGCGCGTAGAGCCAATCAAAATACCGGGAATGATTTAAGCGCTCATGTGGCAGCGGCAGTAAGGAAGAAAAATGTCGGAGAAAATGTCGTCGCCGACCATCTAGACGAGATTCCAAGACGCAGAAGTTGTTAATACAGGGTCTCCTGACAGTGAAGATCCCTGCACCAACATCGGTGGTGGCACACCATCGTCCTAAGAAGCACTCGTAGTCGAGGTCAACTGAGTGAACGCTCATTGGCCCATAGCTCACATTCGGACCCTCTAACTCATTCCTGTTCTCTGCGGCGCCACAGTATCTTTCTCTGGAGACCTTCCACACCTTAATCCGACAACGGCAACTTGGCAGGTCTACTGAGAGTGGAACACTTTTTGTGAGAAGCGAAAATCATGCACCCACGGCATGGTGACATGCAGCCAATGTGGTTCAAAGAAGGGGTGTTTTTGTTAAACTTCCGGAGGCTGTAGGACATCAAATTCCTCCAAAGGGCATCACCAATGATATAGACGCCTTATGGCCTTCGGTCGGGACACGCTGGAAAGAAAGTACATGGGCCACTGAAAGTTCTTCAGCAAGAGAGATAAAGTTTGCGAATTGGAGGGGACGAGTTGCCGATAAAAATAAATAATCACCGAATGAAGAAGCGTGCTCATGCTGGCATACATGCCAGCTTCCATGAATATCCACAAGAGAATCCTATTTTCGGATATAAATTTTCCCCATTTCAGAGGTATCCCCATCTGTCATTTAGACTCTCTGGCGAACAGTGCAAACTTCAAGTGGGGGTTGGAGTGTTAGAATAGGAGCAAGTTCCCCCAAGGTATCTCCAGTCTGACAGCGCAGTTTCTTTGACAAGCTCTGGCAGGAATTCTTGAGCGCAAAAAGAGTGGAGTGTGTTTTTAGAACCAAGGAAGAGAAATCACTCCAAGGGGTCCTCCTCCAAAAAGAATGAGTAAGTGAATTAGGGCATTGACAAAAATTGACTTACCATACGAGAAGGCCAAGGAAAAGCCAGCAAGAAACTTCCAAATGGCTGACTGGGAAGAATTCAACAAGGTGCTAGGGGATGAACTACTTGACATCCCACCCCCAGGTCCTCTCCACACCCCACTGGAAATTGACATCGCTGCAAGCACACTAACCAAAGCCCTCCAAAACACCATAGAGAAGACAATCAAAGAACAAAAACCACTACCACAAGCAAAGAGATGGTGGAACAGTCAGTTGGAGGAGCTAAGAAAGGCAAAGAACAAGTTGAGTACTGAATCGTACTGTCTACGTGCATTGGAGAATCACCTGGTGCATGCAGAGAAATGGCAGGCTATCACGAGATTTAAGAAGGCAGTTGACAAAGCAAGAAGGACCACTGGGAGGACTTCCTACAGGACATCTCAACTGCTGACATCTGGACAGCACACCGGTATATCAAAGAACCACCCATGGATGGAGGAAGACCAAGGATACCCACCCTCAGGACCAACGACAGAAACAGTAGGGAACGGGAGGTGACTGACAACACAGACAAAGCAGAAACCTTTGCCAAAGCCTTCTTCCCACCTCCACCAGCTGAAAGCTCAGTACCTGAAGATTATGATTACCCAGAACTGCTCCCAGATCCCCCTGATATCACAGAGGATCAAATACGACAAAACATCCTCAAGTTATCACCCTACAAAGTGCCAGGCCCAGACGGGATCCCCAACATTGTCCTACAAAAGTCCTATGACAAAATTGCCAAACACCTCCCACACCTCTTTCAGGGCATTCTACAACTCAACATGTACTATGAACCATGGAAAGAATTTACGACGGTGGTCCTACGAAAACCTGGAAAACCCAGCTACGAGATGTAATGACCTGAACAGAGGGGGGGACTTGGCCTCAGCATGCTCTTGTGCTGTGCCCCTACACATCATCTGGTTGTCCCCAATTTACAGGAACTGCCTTGGTCTTGACAAAGGAGAGACAAGAAGAAGTCATCCTGGCCAAGGCCCAGGAGACAGAGGATGAACAACAGAGCAGAGGGGTTGTCAAGGTTGAGATTCAAGCTGGGGAATCCAGTACACTACCTAGCTACTTATACTATTGAGAACAATGGAGAAGATCTAGGTTATGTAATGAATGCCAGCAGAACAATGACAGAGAACAATGAAGACAATAATGAATGAAACAATGAAAGTAAAGCCCATTGAAGAACCAGAACAATGAACAATGGAACAATAGAACAATGGGTTCAGGAATGGGATGTGACACAAGAAGGCAAAGGCCTACAGACCAATCGCCCTCCTAAACACTCTCACAAAGGTACTGACAGCAATAGTGGTGGAAGACCTCACCTACCTGGTGGAGAAGCATGGACTCATCCCCAACAACCACTTTGGTGGCCGCCCAGGACACACGACAACAGATGCCATCCACTACCTAGTGCAATGCATTAAAACTGCATGGAGGAAAGGAAAAGTTGTATTGATACTTTTCCTCAACATCAAAGGAGCTTTTCCGAATGCAGTCACTGATCAGCTACTACACAACATGAGAAAACGCCACATTCCAACCAAATATATCAAATTCATAGAGAACCTACTACAAGGATGATGCACAAGACTCAAATTTGATGACTTCCTCTCTGAGCTCATTGCCATCGAAAACAGCATTGGACAAGGAGACCCCCTCTCTATGATCCTATACATCCTCTACAATGCTGACATGCTCGAAATTACAGACTTTCATCAGGATGAGGACTCTATCGGATATGTGGACAACTTAGTGCTACTGGCAATAGGGGATGACTTCAAGGATACCACCAGTACCCTGCAATCAATCATGACAAGGCCGAATGGGGGATGGAATGGAGCAAGACACACAACTCAAAATTTGAACTCACGAAATCTGTGGTCATGCATGTAACGCAACGCACCATGAACGAAACAGGAGAAGATGGACACTGAATCCCGCTAGATAGACTGCCACTCGTCATTGGAGGCAGGGTCGTTGAGGAGGTAACCTCCTTCAAGTACCTTGGAATAATCATCGATGTGAAACTACAATGGACAACTCAGGCCAATAGGGCGATCGAGAAGGCCACAAAGTACATGCTACAGTACAGACAACTAACGAAAATCACCACAGGAATTCGGCCCAGCCTCATGAGGATGCTTTACATCTCCACAATCCTCCCGAAAATGACATACGGCCTAGATGTCTGGTACACCCCACCAACCAAACCAGCAGGTTGCAAGAAAAGTCTTGGATCGGTAGCAGCCTTGCGACAGATGGGGACAATCCAATGCATAGCGACAAAAGCAATCTCAGGCGGACTCAGGACGATTCCCAATGAACTTGCGGACGCACACTCCAGTCTCATGCCAATCGACTTAACACTACTTAAGATCTGCCACAGATCCATGGTAAGAATGCTGACATTGCCCAGATTGCACCCCCTACACAAGCACATACAAATGGCAAAAGCGAACACCCCCAAGAAATTCCCCAGCGCCATCGACACCCTCCTCAGAATCTTCCAATTGAAGGACAAACACATCAAGGTCATCTCACCTGCACCAACACCACCCACCTTTGTGCCAGCCTTCAAGCTCAATGTAGAAGGTACAAGAAAAGTGTCCATGGAGCAAGAAAAAAGTGACAACAGCAGAATCAAGATCTACACTGATGGCTCGAGTCTCGGGGGCAAAGTAGGGGCCGCAGTGGTGCTCTATGAAGGAGAAGCCAAAGCACCAAAGACGGTCCTCAGGGCAAGGCTAGGCTCCAACAAAAAGCACACCACCTTCGAGGCTGAGGCAGTAGGGGGCGTACTCGCCACGTGGATACTCGCCAGCTGCCACATCCGAACTAACGACACGATCAGCATATACACAGACAACCAAGTGCTCATCCAAGCATCGAGAAAGCCAGGGGCTAAGCCTGGTCAATACCTCCTTCAAGATTTCGTCAATAGGCTCTCCAGGATAGTAGGTACGATCTCACTCAGATGGATCTCAGGACACACGAATGTGAAAGGAAATGAAATGGCCGACCAAGAGGCAAAGAGAGCAGCAGAGGAAGGCTCCAGCACAAGAGAAGATTTGCCACCTCTCCTACAACAACGACTTCCCATCAGTGCGACAGCCGAGAAACGCGCGTACCATGAGGAACTCAAGACTATGTGGCTCAACGACTGGGACAACTCCCCCAGGAAGGCCAAGTTCGACAACATCGACCCTGCCTTCCCTTTCCACCGCTTCCACAAGCTACAAGACTCACTCAACAGACCACAAGCCAGCATCCTAACGCAACTAAGGACCAGTCACATCCCACTGAACAGGTACCTGCACAGGTTCGCCAAACGAGATTCACCAAAATGCACACATTGCCCGAGGATGGACGAAACAGTAAACCACTACCTATTCCAATGCTCAAAGTACAGACGGCAGCGACAGGAAATGATGAATAAGCTGGGTGTCATGACTAGCTCTGACCTCAACCTACGACTACTCACAAGCAACCCAAAGGCAATTCGAATACTTCTCCAATATGTCAGCCACACAGGAAGATTCAGTAACTACAATGGTGATGTGTTACTATCTAACTTACAAGTGGAGGATGACAACAATGACGGTGACAACGAGTAATAGATACCCTCAAGAACTTTCTCCACCCTTTCATCGTACCCACACTCCGCCGCAACACACTGAATCGACCAGCACTTCAAGCTCAAGACAAGCGACTGATTGGACAGCAAGTCGTAGCACAGCAAGTTATCTCCAAGTAAGAACACCTCGAATCATTGTACCTATCAGCCCTAGAGGCGATCGGGCATGCACAAGGCACCAATCGAAACCAGACAAAACGAGTACAACAAGAGGATAGACGTGCAACGCCACCAGCCGTCTAGAAGTGGTGGATCCCTAAAACAGCGGAGCAATGCTCCAGCTGGGCCTTCGGACCGGGGAGCGAGCACTCGGGATGCGCCTCGGGAGGCGCTGGGGATAACCACGGGAGAATCAGGCGGAAACTGGCACAGGGGCCAGGAGCGTAGCGTAGCAGTCCAGTAGTACAAGGCCATTATGGAACCCGAAAGGGTACCGACAGGCTAGAACAAAACACAAAAAAAAAAATCCAGAGCTGCGCACCAAATTCTCAAGTGAATTAGGGCAAGGAGTTTGATTGTTGTTCCATAAAGAGATAGAGCATGGACACCTATAAAAACGCTGCACTGTCAAGCAGAAGATCCAACTCTCAGGAGTATCGTACGTCACGGTTGTGCACATTTCGTCTCTTTCGACCACTGCTATTCCACCTCAACGATGCCATGTCTTCTACCACAAACCCTCAAGTTAAAGCCCTCCCTCTCGCCGATGGGGAGGTCGACCCCAAGACTGTCGACATCAGCGAGCGCGGAAAGGCCGATCTCGCTGAAGACATCCTGCAGATCATCAAGAACATCCTCGACGGTATCTTAGCTGACGACGCGGTATTTCTTTTCTTTCATGCGGGGAAATTTTATTTTGCTTATTCTTCCCTTCAGAACCGTGGCAAGTTCACGAAGGCCATGGTCTCGACCATGTACAGCAAGTACCCCGACTTCAACTGGGTGTGCTGCCACACTGCCCACTCCTACAAGTGGGACGGGACCAAGGGCGTCGAATGGGCTCACTTCCATGAAGAGTTCGACCTCCAGATTGGGGGAACCATCAGGTATGCCTCCGATTTTGTTTTGGCGTGAAGACAGGCCCTGAACGTGTTTTCCCAGATACGAAATCTATTGGGCTCGTTCTGGAATGTTCGCCCTCCATGGTGATGGTGGCTTTGAGAACGTGAGTCGTCAAATTTTTATTATAGGTTCGCCATACTGACCCATCTTTCCAGTGGGCTTACATCGGCAATGTCACCGGAAAGTCTCAGGATGGAAGGATCCTTGTCTTCTCGAGGCCGTAGATTAGTTTCTTCACTTGTGGTTTTGCATGATGCCTCCCTTGCGTACCCAAACTTTATGCCACCCTCCTGCTTCACAGTCATATAACCAGATAAAAATCTAGAACCTTGATCATGATCCAATGAATGTTTTTTATGCGGACGCCTAACCAGGGCTGCACCCACTTTGAATCGTTCAGTCACTCGACATTCAGCTCTATTTAAGCCTCCGAACGGGCAGCTCAGCAATCCCGCCCGTCCGTCTCCGCTCCTCTCGTAAAAAGTACCCACGGTGGGCTGGAGGGCACTCCCACAATCTAGCTATGCAGGTAGTATGACTGATCTAATACTAGGTACATGAGAAAATGCCAACCAAATGAACCTCAAAGACGCAGCCCTTTCTGTGCAGGCCAGCCACTAAGCAGGAGACCGAAGGGCAGCAATATCGTTCTAGGCGTCATGGAGCCTGTAGCCCGCCACTGTGGGAAGCCGGAGCTGGGGAAATACCTGCTTTGGGGAATTCTGCCCCAAAAGGCAGGGAATTCCGGGGATTTCCAGTAGCCGGTAAATAAGTTGTATCTAAAAATACATGAAATTCCCTGCTTTCGGTCGTCCTGCCTCCAAAAGGCAGGTATTTCCAGTGTTTTCCGGCGACTGGGAATTAACCCATATCCAAAAATACCTAAAATCTCCTGGTATGGGTCCAACCGTCTATTTCCCTGCTACGGAGGGCAGGTAAAATCCTGGGTTATGGCTTCTTTCGGTGAATTGCCTGCCTATGCCCTATGAGGTAGTCATTCTGGCACTTAGCTATCTCTGCAAATAAAATCCAGCTAAAATAATGGAATTTATTGCTGCTCTAACACCATCTTGCCTTCCATAGTTATTCCCTCCAACTGTCCTCATCCTCACATTGAGAATCGAAAAAATAGCTCAACGATACACCAAAAATATGCCTACGTTCACAACCTTCAAGCTTTGTATATGCGCTGTAATACACCTTGTCATTTGCCATGGGTGATACCTTTGTGTGTTGATAAGCTCCCTCCCGTCATGTTGTCATGTTGATGGTGGTGGAGCAGTCCTAGGACAGAGGGGCAGTGGAACGATAGAGAGAAGGTGGGTAGGTTGAGGTTGCGGTTGAGTCTGATGTGGGCAAATGGCATGATTAGCTTGTAGTTTTCTCGTGAAAAGATGGGCCTAATCACCTCTGCGAAACCCTTTGCTCGCACCGTTGTCTGCCAGTCGTCAAGCCATGCTTGGCCATTGTTGTTGGGGTAGTGTGAAGGAGTTCATGTAGCTGGTCCTGCAAGAGTGGGTGGCATTCATCAATGCAGACTGTTGGTTCGTTGAGCTGCACCTGGTTGAACAGCTCATTGGGGTATGAGTCCAGGCACCGAATACGACTCTGGAATTGTGACACTTTAATTAGCTACTTGTGGATACACACAGAGGAGAAGAGTACACACCAGCACCGGCGAATGGGCAGCATCGGCGGTGGTAGCGCAAACCTGGAAAGCTTGGCATGCCGACAAGGGACAGCGGACTTGGGGGTCAGTTCGACTAGTGTTTGGCATCGTCTTGTTTGTTCCAATAGGTGTCCAAACAAAGTGAGGTTTTCTTCCCCACTTTGTTTGGACGCCTATTGGAACAAACAAGACGATGCCAAACAACATTGAGCACGTGACAGTATGCGTCCCGTTTTGAGCCGCAACGTGTCCTCCGCAGCTTGCACCCCAACCACCCCCTCCCCATTCTATCTGTGGGCACAGATGGCCATATAACTACCTCAAAACTAGATGGAATACCCGAACGAACTAATTCCGCCCTCCGATCTGGCTGATCACGAATCGGATCGCCGCTGGAGCCTGAGCGCGTCTAGAAGTGATACTGGTGCTGTAAGTATGGCCTCTTATTCAATATATGTGTTCATTTATGCTCATATTTTGGATTTCTATGGCCTGGAGTCTACTCATCCACAATTTGTCCACTGTGGCCCCATCTCTGGCAAGTTGAAGCTACTCTTGAGTACCAGCCCTCTCTAACTTTCAGCGCGGCATCATTGGCATATGCACAACTGGCAGGGATGGCTCCTGAAGCCGTAGGGCACATGCATGGTATAGAAACCACATCGAAAGCGAAGGTGGTTATAGACAGCGCCAGGCGAAGGTAAGCTCACCTTTGGTTTTGCTGTTATGTACTCACTCACAGCATTATTCCTGCGAAGACCAGTTGCGAGAAGGAGCAAATGATACCATGGGTGGCTCTTGTGAGGCAGGTACGTTGTTCCTGAGCTCATTGACTTTTGAGAGTGCATTTTGTTGACGTGTCTACAGGATTCAAAATCTGTTCGTGTGCTTGGTTCGACATTGCAAATATTGCTAACCTGCACCACAGCCCGAAACTTGGCGTCTACGTTGTTGATGAAGGAGGTGTCAAGGTACGCACCCTCCGTCGCCCCCTTGTGTTGGTACTGATTTGATCAGTAATTTGTACCAACATCTAGTGCGCGCTCACGCTCCCATTACACTCGGTGAGGGGCGCCGGGTTTCAGTCTCATTCGCATTGGAAGATCGCAGGAGGAACCCTGGTTATCAAGAGCTCTATAGGGACCGCCAGTGCTCCATAGAGCCACTGCGAGCAGAGGATCACGACGGCCTACGTACTGGCTTGTCTGGTACATCTATGCCTTCAATTGACTCTCACACACTGATTCCTTATCAACCATAGTTGTGGCAAATGTGGAATCCCTAGCGATAGTATGTTTCATTCCGCTGCTTCTCGCTGTACACAAATGCTGACCCGATGTCGTCCAGACCTTTCTCAAGCTCAGAAACGCCAGTTACGTCATCCACAGCTGCTAGGTATGAATTAATCGTTGTCCCATTCAATAAATCACTCGTCATGTGCCCCGCTTTCCCCAGGCCTTTGATGAATAGAGCGGTTCGCCGCGAGCTCGACACGGGTGCGACGGAACTCAGCAGTCAGTGGGGAGCCTCAGATACTATGTACAGATGTAATATTTAACTACAAATACAACTGCTTTGAGCTCCAGGACTATGACTGCCTATGAGACCGATGAAAATAGCAGCAGGGTGTAGGCGCCCAAAATGCCTGCCTGACTGCCACGAAAAAATCTGCAATAGGCGCCGAAATTTGGGGTTTTTGCCACGTGTTTCCACTTTTTTTCGGTGCCTGAAACCCCTAATACTCCGGTTGTATTGCAGGTTAAAACAAGGCTAAAACAGGCGGTAGTTTACGGTGCATACAAGATACCGTCGATATCAGTGCTATTCCGACGCGGGTTTTTTAGGAGCGTCGGCTGCCCACAGTGCCGCACCATTCAATACATTCTAGTTTCACAAGGAAGTAGAGGTAAAGACGAAACTTACGCAATCGAAACTCTGGCCTCCGACGCCGTTAGTCTTCTTCTTGAAGTAGATATCGATTTTGCCCTCGACTCTCGCGTTAACCTGCGACGCGATCGTCAACCCCACGCCAAAGGAAAGGTAGTTGAGCCCTGCGATCCCGACGCGCTGGTGATACACCCTCGGAGTCGCAAGTGCCAATCATTGGTCTCAAGCGGACGTAGGACGTACAACAGAACAGCCCATAGACAAACGCCATGTAAATACCGAGTAGCTGGACGATTGTTTCGAACGCGAAGAGCTGGAAGGGTCTTATGAGCGCCTTCCGGAAGATTGATTTCCATCTGGAGAAGGGGATTAACGTTAGGGGCTAAGAAAGCCGAGAAAGCTTAGCACACACGATCTGTCGTCACTGCTTTCATACACGGTCCTGACATGTTTATACCGCCCAGCCTTTTCGGGATCCATATTCGCGCGGATGCCCTTTGCTTTTTTCTCGAGAAGAAATGGGGCGAACGCTGGCAAATCAAGATTAGAACTCGAACACCTTCACTCGGGTGACATACTTTCACGAAGAAAGAACAGCCCCGAAATCTACGCCCACGATACTCGTCGACCAAAACTGCAATCACAAATTAACATCTCCCTCAGAGCACTTACATGAAGAACTTAATTGACTGGGTCGTGGGTAGAGTACCGCGGCAATACTTCCGTTGCCAATTGGAGTTTGTGGCTTATATAGATGGCAGGTGTTTCGGATCATTCGCAGAGCAATCCAACTTCACCCAAGAGTCAGGAGAAATGAGGGGAAACTCGCGGGAACAGGTGCGTCGCTTCTTTCAAACAGAGTAGCGTAGACCGAGCCGCGTCAGAGAGCGGATGATCCGGGCCGGTAAGTTGCCGATCAAGGCTGTCGGTGACCAAAGCAATATTCGAACTATAGAAATTGGAAGAGAATCTATCGAGAGTACGGGAGGAATCATAGAGAGAGAAAGAGCGATAATACGACAAACCTATCTGTCTCTCCTGGTAATGGAAATTTCTCAGAGATTGCTAGTTGTTTCTGCGCGACGCTTCGCTTCTTCGCGATTCCTCTCGATGCCCTTCTTGACTTCCAGTTCCCAGTCTGTACCGAGCCACACAACGCAGTACTCGCCGATCCCAACAATGAAGAGGGCGACGACTTGGCCTGAGGTGATGTTAATTGCGTCACTGGCAGGTTTGAAAGTGAGACGACTAACCAATCCAAAGACCTTGCAAGCCTAGGTCGAACTTAGGGTGGAAAGCCAAGGCAAAGCCCATCGGGAGGGCGAGGACGTAGTACGCGACGAGGTTGAAGAGAGCGCCAAGGTGCTGGCGGCCTTCCCAGAGTGTCAGCAGGTGAATTATATGTGAGAGAACAGACTGAAATTGACCTTGACCACGAAGGACTCCACCGCAAGACCCAGCGAGGCCGTCGGCGACTTGGAAGGAAGCGACCAGCGGCGTCACCTTGCTCACGAGCGAGGCGACCTCCTTATCGTCGCTGAACAAGAGACCGAAGACCTGAATGTTACAGATTGAGATACCACAATGGAAGTTTGCATGCGGACACTCACGTCCTTCGCAAGCATCATAGAGGTCATGACAACAAGACCGACGATGACGCTCAGAAGAGCAGCCGAATGAGCGGCAACTTTCGCTCTAGTGGGACTTCGAGAACCGAGGAGATTCCCAACACGAGTGGAAGTGGCCACTCCGATCCCGAACGGAGGGGTATTCAGGACTATTCTCAGTCAGTCACCAAAATACACCTAATTATTGAGGAGATAAACGCACTCTGGTCTGTAGTCATGATTACGGACTGGGCGGCAAGTGGGATTTCGCCGAGACGACCTGCGGCTAATGCCACGATCTCGAAAGCGGCCCTATTATCATCGAATTTATCAGCTGTGGCTATATGTTTCAGGATTCACCGTGACTCACCATTCCGTGCCAACCATAAGAATTCCAGGAAGAGTCAACTTCAGGAATTCATAACAGCTCTGGAAATCGAGGACAGCAACGATCTGGATCCCACCCCAGGTGCCATTTTGCTTGTGAGCGTCGGAGAAGCACGTGAAGATCCCAAGAGAGACGAAGCAGAGCCAGTAAGTGATAGAGACAGCTAGAGGCACGCCGAAGAGTCCAAGAGGTGTGTAGTGGATGAGCACGATGTCCAGGACAAGGCTGATTGGGAAGACGATGATGAGGACTCTCGTCGAGGCGCTCATAATCCCTGTCGAGTTGTTTTCAGAGGAGATCGCGCTGAGTGATGCGAGAGAGTGCCCACCTTGGCATTGAAGATATTTCTTCAAGCTCTCAAAACCGACGTAAGCAGGAGCACCCAGAAACAAATCACGTAAGAACTTCTGCACGTCCTTCGCCAACACCACAGACTGGCCAAATGCGAGGAGTATTGGTTCGATGAACGCCCACATCGCACACACCGGGATCATCAAAACCCATAGCACGAGAACGCATCGCTGAAAATGGATCGAAAGATCTGTTTTTCGCTCGCTACCCGTAAATGCGAGAGACCCGAGCGTGTCCAGGGCAGTCGTTCCGCCCAGAACGACGCACCAGCCTAGCGAGAGGAACATACGGCCAGAGTGAGGGAACGGGTGGAATACTCGCCGGTTACAAATGCGAACATGAGGGAAAAGACGGCAACGGAGACCTCGTGGGGTCCGAGGCGACCTGTGATGACGATCGAGGTGGTCTGAATGGAATTTTGCAGGATGTAAGAGAGAATAACTGCGCGTCTTGGCTGTTAGAAGTGGATTAGGAGACATGAAGAATCTTACCTGGGATAGAGTCCCAACTTAGATCTGATCTCAAGAACTTGGCATAGGACGATAAGTTGGCAGGGCCCTCTCGACTGTTCCAACTACGGAGAGCGACGTGGTTTGCACTTGAGCGTGCTCAGCGTCCAGTAACGAAGGCGTGGATTCTGTGGCAGGAAGAGGCATTGCGTCCATGAATGAGCTATGTTGGGGTTGGGAGGAAAATTCGCTTTCAAGCGCTAGCACCGTCCTTTTATCTCCGACACCTCTGGGTTCTCGGCATTTACCGGCATATCAAATCGCTTTGAGCGCTAAAAGCATAGCTCCTCAGACACACCCAACTTCCAAGTCCAAGTTAGCAAGTATTTGAATCTAGAGGCTCGTAGGGTAAAATGGAATCTCCGCAAAATGAGCAGACATTTTTTGACCGACAGGTACGAATGGCCTGAGGTCACAGATGCCTTCCGGTGGCCGGGTTTACCCACTTCACGTTGCCGGGTCTAAGGTCATGAGGCAGGCCAAGATGTCTCGAGTCGGAATGGTGTCAGCGGCAATAGCCGGAAGGAAGATGGCGCCTTACGCATTGACTTTCATTCCGAACGCATCAACCGCCATCTACGACTCATGAAGCTTATTTCTATCCTCACCACCGCTCTCACCGCCATTGTCGTCCTAGGACACGGCGATGATGCACACCATGATCAGATTCCTCTTAACTATGTCAAGTATCCGGAACCAATCTATCGTGCTGGGGAAGGTCAGTAATCTCCATCTCCTAGCCATGGAGAAGGCATCTTACCGTGTATGTTCATAGTCACGGCCGACGCGATATTTTCCGGGATCACTACCTTTGCGAGGCTTCCGTGGGTTCAGTGTTTGACGAAGGAGAAGGATGTTCCCTTTGATATCGCTTTCATCGGCGCGCCATTCGTGAGTCGAAACCTGACCGAAGCCGGACGCAGCCCTCAATCCTCTTCCAGGATACGGCGACGAGCTACAGACCCGGAGCCCGCTTTGGACCAGGTAAATTCTACACGTTTGTCAATCGGTCTGCAGACTGACAGCAGTGCAGCCGGTATCCGTGCTGGTTCTCGCAGACTTACTTTGTACGGCGGATACAACGTCCCTCTCGACGTCAACCCTTTCAAGTCGGGCCTCAACATCGTTGACTGTGGAGATATCCCTGTCACGTATGCGTTCGCACTCGATTCCCTTTGTTTATTCTGATAGGCCGTACGACAACAAGTACGCCATCCAGCAGATCCACGACGGGCACAAGACTCTACTCCATCGCGAAGCCTATTCGCCTCTGGGAAACGACACCCTCTCTGGAAAGAAGCTCTCGCCCATCTCACTCGACGGCAAAAACCATCCCCGTATCATCACCCTCGGCGGCGACCACACCATCGTCTTGCCTATCTTGAGGTCAATCTACTCCGCCTACGGACCGATTTCTGTCATTCACTTTGATTCGCACCTTGGTGAGTTGATTCATATAATTCTCTTGGATGAATGAGCGCTTATCAATTCCTCGGAAGATACCTGGAAACCCTCCGTCTTCGGCGGCGCACCTTCCGACCAAGCAGCGCTCAACCACGGCACCTATTTCTACTGGGCGAGCCAGGAAGGACTGATCAACAACGGGACATCAATTGCAAGTACCCTCCGTTCCATTACCCCTAACCCTTTTCTCCTTTCCCTTCGTGTTCTCGGTGCACTTTGATCCTAGTTCGTCCTTTTCCTCTAGCACGGTGCTATCAGGACCACCCTCTCCGGTCTGGAAGACTACGACAACGACGACAACGCAGGGTTCAAGCGCGTTGAGGCCAGGGAGATCGATACCATCGGTGAGTAATGTGCTGTACAAATTGGGCCTTCGAAGCGTATACTCATTGAACGCTGATAGGAACCGCCGGTATCATCAAGAAAATTCGCGACACCGTCGGGGAAGGTCCGGTGTATCTCTCCATCGATATCGACTCTATCGACCCCGCTTTCGCGCCGGCCACTGGAACCCCAGAGACTGGTGGATGGTCCACCCGTGAGCTCCGTACGATCCTCCGCGGCCTTGACGGGCTGCACATCGTCTCTGCGGACATTGTCGAGGTCGCGCCGGCGTACGACACGAACGCGGAGTTGACCACAATGGCCGCCGCCGACGTGAGCTATATTTTTAATCCCAGCGGGATACTCCTACGATTTTTGACGCTTTGGATTCAGGTCCTTTTCGAGGTTCTGAGCGTTATGGCCAAGACGCCGTTAGGTAAGGTTCAAGACTGAAGTTGATTCAGCTCGGTTGGGTGGCGAGAGAAATTGCGCACCATAACACCAAAATAAGTTCTATTCCTCTGCGACTTGTTCTTACTCCTGCTGTTCTGCATTGACCTGCTTAATATGACCTGTTTTTGTCTTTGTTCGTCTACGTTTTCGGAAGGAGGATCGCTTGAATATTTCATGGATTGTGACCGGTGACCTTAGAAGACACGCGATTGGTGTAAGCCCCCATCCTTGTTTATGCATTTATGCCTCAACGGTTCGGGTAGTACTCTTCATTCCCGTGAAGGGACTGCTAACTAGGTAGACCCAGTACCTAGTCTGAGTAAAAAGTATTCATTGAATCATCATCAGGGTTCTAAGTTTTTTTATCTGGCTATATGATTGTGAAGCAGGAGGGTGGCATAAAGTTTCGGTACGCAAGGGAGGCATCATGCAAAACCACAAGGGAAGAAACTAATCTACGGCCTCGAGAAGACAAGGATCCTTCCATCCTGAGACTTTCCGGTGACATTGCCGATGTAAGCCCACTGTAGAGATAGGTCAGTATGGTGAATCTATAATAAAAATTCGACGACCGACGTTCTCAAAGCCACCATCACCATGGAGGGCAAACATTCCGGAACGAGCCCAATAGATTTCGTATCTGAGTAAACACGTTCAGGGCCTGTCTTCACGCCAAAACAAAATCGGAGGCATACCCGATGGTTCCCCCAATCTGGAGGTCGAACTCTTCATGGAAGTGAGCCCATTCGACGCCCTTGGTCCCGTCCCAATTGTAGGAGTGGGCAGTATGGCAGCACACCCAGTTAAAGTCGGGGTACTTGCTGTACATGGTCGAGACCATGGCCTTCGTGAACTTGCCACGGTTCTGAAGGGAAGAATAAGCAAAATAAAATTTCCCCGCATGAAAGAAAAGAAATACCGCGTCGTCAGCTAAGATACCGTCGAGGATGTTCTTGATGATCTGCAGGATATCTTCAGCGAGATCGGCCTTTCCGCGCTCGCTGATGTCGACAGTCTTGGGGTCGACCTCCCCATCAGCGAGAGGGAGAGCCTTAACTTGCGGGGTTGTAGTAGAAGACATGACGTTGTCGAGGTGAAATAGCAGTGGTCGAAGGAGAGGAAATGTGCACAATGTACGATACTCCTGAGAGTTGGATCTTCTGCTTGAATATGCAGCACCTTTATACTCTTTGTGGTGTCAGTACTCTGTCTCTGTGTGGGATATACAGTCGAGTTTATGGCCTCCGTTAATCCACTCTTTCCTTTCGGAGGGGGACCCCCTCGGAGTGATTTCTCTTCCTTGGTTCTAAAAACATCTTCCGCTCTTTTCGCTCTCAAGAATTCCCACCAGAGCTTGTCAAAGAAACTTGGCTGTGCTGTCAGACTGGAGATACCCCGGGGGAACTTTCCCCTATTCTAACACTCTAACCCACACTCGAAATCTCCACTGTTCGCTACGGAGTTTAAATCACACATGGGGATACCTCCGAAACGGGGAAATTTTATATCCGAAAATAGGATTCTGTCGGGGAGGTTCTCACAAGCTTGTCTAGCCAAGCGTGTATGTCGAATTGAGCGGGGTTCTTGATCCAGCGATTGTCGTTTGTATCGGCAACTCATCCCTTCCGATTCGCAAACTTTATCTTTCTTGGTGAAGAGCTTTCACTGGCCCGCGTATTTTTGGCCCGTCCCAATCCAAGGCCATAGAGTGTCTATATTATTAGCGACGCACCCCGGAAGAATTGGACTTCCTACAGCCTCCGAAAGGCCTCGTCCACTACTTTGAACCGCATTGGCTGGGTCTCATCATGCCCTGCATGCATGGATTTCGCTTCTCACGAAAGGTATTCCACTCTCAGCAGACCCGCGAAGTCGCCGTTGTTGGATTAAGGTGTAAAAGGTCTCCAGGGAAAGATACCGTGGCGCCGCAGAGAACAGGAATGAGTTAGAGGGTCCGAATGTGAGCTATGGGCCAATGAGCGTTCACTCAGTTGACGTCTACTCTACGAGTGCTTCTTAGGACGGCGGTGGCACATCACCGATGACGGTTCAGTGTCAGTAGACCCCTGATTAACCTCCGTGTCAAAATTCTCGTCTAGATGGTCGGCGACGACATTTTCTCAGATTTTTTTCTTCCTTACCGCCGCCGCCACACGAGCGCTTAAATCATTCCCGGTATTTTGACTGGCTCTACGCGCTTGCGGTGCTCACCTAAATTCCAAAGTATAACCACGGTGTCCGTTGTCCAACAAGAAGCCCGATTCTGAGCTTGCTTTCTCCAACATGTTCGAAAAGCACCGGTTAGAAGGACGCCCTTATTCGACAGATCTTTCCCATCAATAGCAACATCCTTCTTGGGATACACGGCTGACACGCTACCGGGCCGAGTAGATATTCTGACGCCAGACGTGGTCGGCGGTTGTTCCAAGTATAAACATTGTGTTGAGCCGATTTTCAGAGAAGCAAGGAGATCCAAGACCCCAAAAGTGGGTTCCACCACTGCCTCGCCAAGCGACAGAGATGGAGATTTTGGGCTCTCTGAGGCCGGTACAGACCACTCCGTCTACTGCCCAAATAGGCCCGAACATCTACGAAATTCTCAGAAAACCGCGGAGGGAGATCGTTCCGACGCAAGTACTGCGCTTTGATTACCATAGAGGCAGACCTGCCTGCGTATAAAAGGTGCCCAAGAATCGAAAAGGGAACACCCAACTCAGAGTCGCCAACTCGTTCATCCTTCAATTTCAACTTCGACAACTCAGCCTCAATGTCTTCCAACTCCGGTACTGCTGGCCAACCCGCCCTCCCTGTTCCAGTCGACGCTGAGGTCGACCGTAACGGCGTCGACACGAAGACCCCTGAGCCCAGGATCAATGCAGTCGAAATCCGCTCCGTCATCGACGGCATTCTCAAGAAGATCGAGCAAGATGTCGACGTAAGCCACCCATTTGCCTCCTACGTTCGCAAATTTAACCCTCGACACGTTCGTGCGTGTTTTCCCAACCCAGTGGGACCGTGGGGGCTTCACCAAGAATACCGTCTCGACCATGCGTTCCCGCTACCAGGAATTCAACTGGATTATATGCCATTCTGATCACTCCCACCTCTGGAACGGTAGCAGGGGTGTCGATTGGGAGCACTGGCACCACGAGCTGGACGTGTACGGAGCCGGAACGATTGGGTACGCAGATAATCCCTTTACAAGGGAGGATGGATACTCAACAGTACTTCAGATACGAAATTTATTGGGCTAGGTCCGGAGTGTTCTCACTCAATGGAGACGGTGGTTTCGAGAATGTAAGCCTCCGATTATTATTGGCGATGACATGTTCAGTGCGACTAACGGCAATTTCCAGTGGGCTTATATTGGAAACGTGCAGAAGCTTGACGGGGGAAGAGTCCTCTCTTTCTCCCCTTAAATCGCCATATTATACAGGGCCCCCTTTTTTCTTCAAACGAAGTTCTATGCACCCTCGATGTTTCTTTCTTTCTATCCTTTTTTTCATCCATTCTTCGTAAAAATCACAAAAAACTTCAACATTCGTTCCAAGTCAATCTGCCCACTTACCGCGTTAGGGATGAGCCTTGCCTTCGATGACTTCCATTTGTTCAGGTAGTAGTGCTCCGATCCATGATGTTACTTTGTTAAACGCTATGCATACACCTTTTTATTCCGTATGAAGCCTAGATACCCTTCCGGAAACAACAAATCTCAGTGCAGAAAATAAACGATGGCGCCACAACGTTAACGCCGTAACCCCCTCGTTTTAGCTTAATCCCCTGCCTTTGAGAAAGGTGATAGTATTAAGGTGACTTAATCCGATTAATCTCGTTGAAAGGTCAAAACACATTTTTTTATAATGATTAATTTACTCTTTACATGGCAGCACTCGACGGATTAAAAAATAAAAACAGATTAAACGGATTAAAATTTGGGACAGCTTAAACGGATTAGTCTGATTAAATCGTAATGGAAACTTTATATCAGTGACACATCGACTATCATTGTGGAACTATTAGGTCTGTCTAGAGAGACTAATGGAAACTTGGGGTGAAATGACGGGACCGGTCAACTTGGATTAAGCGACTTGAGCGCGCTGAAAGACGAAGAGCAACAAGAAAATCTGTTTAATCGGATTAAACAGATTCAGTGCAATTAAACTGATGATCTGATTTAATGCCAGAGGATTAAATCAAGAGGACGCACGAGGAAGGCACTCATTCACACTTGCGAAGAAGCCGAGTCCTGCTGGGTGCCACTGGCACCCAGTCTCAGGAGGGTCTAGTAGTTGACCCAGTATGCGGTCGAACATGTACAAAGCGCACCACCAGAATACTCACTTTGGCTGCTTTCCCGGTAGAGGTACGGCGGCGGATGTAGGAACAACAATCGGCTACCTGAGGGTCGGGCGGCGGTAGGATCTGGGTCGCAATGCAAAAAAAGGCACATGAAACTTGGATCCAACACCAAGGAGGCATTGGGGGAGGAATGCGAACTGTCATAATGCTGGGGGACAGGAAAAACGCGCTGGGAGAACTCCCCATCTTATAATGACCCAGCAATCTATTTGTGGCTCATCAAAAGAGGCCTGAGTGGCAGGATGAGCCACTTCGCCACAATCTTATTGTTTCTTTCTAGGTCCTTTTGTCATTCATGCTGAACGCCGTCCCCTCCTGTGGTGATATATAAAGAGTGGCTTAGATCTTGCTGAAACGCGCGTCGCTCGGTCTTCAACTTGGGGTGGCTGTGCTAAGGTTGGTGCCTCACAACCTCCACTGTCGCAGCCTCCACCGTCTCGCCATCGCCTTACCCGTCTGCCTTCAAACCAGCACAAGATACTTCAACAAGGTATGTATTCCAAATCTGAAACATATCAGCCCTCCTTTTACTAACAAACATGCCCTTATCTTTAGTTTATCTCCGTCTCTTGTGCCCCCT